AGTCCCCGCCGGGCCGCGGCCCTCTCGCTCCGAGCCCGGCTGGGCTGCGCCCTTTGTGTCTCCGCGCTCCCGGCGCTTCCAGGGGATCCCCGCTGGAGAACGGGGGCCGGGTGTCGCTCCCCCCGCACTGCGGGGCAGGGAGGCTCCGACCCCGCATCCCGGCACTCCCGCTCGCCCAGTGGGCTTGGGGTGGTAGCGGGGAGCGCCGCAGAAAGTCGCGGTGATAGCGACAGTAGTTGCACGGAGAGGGTTTTTTGTTTTGCTTTTTTTTTTTTCTTTAATAGTGACTGAGCTACAAAATAAAATTAGAAGCCAGTTGTGACTGAAACTCAGTGCTATGAGTGCGACTCCAGAGTGTATAGGACTCAAGATGGGTTTTTGTTTATTTTTTGTTCGTGCTAATTTCATCTTACTTGTCCTTTAGGCCATGTTTATCTGTTCTTGATAAGGTAAGTTTTTATTGGTTTGCCTTTTCTACACCCGAGGAAAGCACACATGTTGGCTGTAGGTAAATTAAAATTTTGCTTAAAAAGAATGTGAAGGAATTACAGTCTAGTACAGTTCCAGAGATGAGCACTATAGTTTTTTCCTTATTATTTTTTACTGTTAAGGTTGACAACAGATTTTTTTCGAAGGGAAAGAAATATGAATAAAACTATGTATGAATGTTTTTTGATGCCTTTTTTTGGGCCCTGACTGTATTTCTGTAAGCTAAGCAGTTAACAACAGAGTCAGGATCAAAATTTTGCATCTTTTCACCCTCTGGAATATGTTTGCTGTCAGTGACACATTTTAAACAACATAATGTGTTTTAATGAAACTTTTTTCCTTCCTTCAAAGGTGGTGAAAAAGACAATATCAAGATGAGTAAAAAGCCTCCAAATCGTCCTGGAATCACATTTGAGATTGGTGCTCGTTTGGAGGCACTGGACTATTTACAAAAATGGTACGGAAGACTTTGTGTAGTATTTGCTGTGAGCATAATTTTTTTTGTGTAGTTTGTGTGCTTTGATTATTAAAATCAGTGCACCACATGTTGACAGTTTCAACATACGAACTTTATGAATTTCCACCAAAGTCCTCTAAAACTGTTAGCTTTTAGGAAAATATTCTCCCTTCAGAAATTGAGCTGAACTTTTCTATGGGTTTGTGTTTATTTGCTTTTACTGGCTTGTGCAGCTGTAATAAGCAAAGAGCTTTTCTGGAGTAGTGTGGAATTCAGTGTTATGGCTGAGGTGATCGGTGTGTCAATGAGGCAAACTTCATGATCAAAGACTTCTTTTGTTTTCATTTGAAGGCATGCAAGGGGAGTTGTTTTGTATTCAGTTGTCACACTTGACAGGTTCACAAAACTGATTTAAAAAAAAAAACAACAACACATCCTGGTTTGGAGTTCATGGGATAGGTAAGGTACAGTTGTGTTTGTGTTAAACAGCTGGAGGAATGAAGTGCTTAAAAGTGTGACTCTGCAATCACCCAGGCATATTGTGAATTCAAAGACTATGAAATGGAAATTGTGGGCACAGGGACTATGCTGCACAGCATGTGTATTGTGAAAGGAGCTGTTCTGGTGAAATAAATTGTTAGTAAAAATTTTACTAAAGCAAGTGGGCTAATTTGTTGATGTGTACTGACCATGCTAGTTGGGTTTGAAAACTCCCTGGTTTTGTTAAAGTAGGTGGCAGAAGTAGTTAATACTTCTACCTAGAAATTTTTTCTTTGCTGCTGTCTGTTTTATTAGGGCTAGGAAATGTAGAGGTGTGTACCTGCTTTTCTGTTGCATTCCTGGAGACCTCAGCATGTTCCTGTAAATATCTGGTCCTGTTAACTCCAAATGATGTGAGAGAGAAGTCTGTGTAGTGTTGACATGTTTGTTCCATTATTTATGTGCTCTGTATAAAAAGTTGGGTCAAACTTTTTATTTGTAGAGTTTTGATTTTAATTATAGGAAGAGTGTTTTCTTAATGAATTGACTCTAAAGGACTTATAGAACTGTTCTTGTTCTTACCTGTTGCTGTAGACTGGGTTTTCAGCATACTGATTTTGTAACTGAATGGCAGACTAAGGAAAACATCCAAAATAGAACAATAAAACTTTTTATAGCATCTTCTATGAATAGAGATAGTTGGTTAATGTAATCAGGTAACAAAAATTAATATGTAAAAATAGTTTAATTATATCAAAAGAATCACCTTGAATGTCCAGTGTATAGTTTGTGTCAGACCTACCCACTCTTCTCTCTTGGAAGGGTTGCATGTCAGTGCTGGAGTTCTTGTCTAGGTTTGGATTCTCAGGCATGGCCATGTCACAAGCTCTACAGCTGAGTTGCTGGGTGTTTTCAGAAAGAATAGAATTTATCCTGAACTTGGAATTGATTTATCATCTGTATCACCAGGAAAACCCAGGTCAAGTTTAAATGCATGTAAACCTTTGTGGTGCCATATACAGAAGAAAGTTAATATCAAAATTTAGCAGTTGCAGCAACAATGAAAACAGGACTGTATTTCAAATGAACTTGTAATACAGAATGAACTAATAATACAAAACCAAATACCTTGTGACAGAAAATCTACTGTTGTGCTATTATTAGGGTGTCAGGGGTTGCAATGATAGTCTATGGGATTTTTTTTAGTTGGCTTTCTGTTGCATAAGGAGGTGGTGGATGTTTTTAAAATTCTTTCTATATATAATCTATATGCATTCTTCTCATTTGCATGCAGAAATACATACTTCAAAGAAAATAAACTTGCTGAACTTACATGAAATCTCTTTATTATTTTTTAACAAAAGCCAAATGGAAGAGCATTGGTATTGCTTAGCTCAGTCTTTCTGCGAGTGACAAACTGAGAACACTTACTGAAAAATAGCCTTTAAAAGGATTTTAATTTTTTTTCTCCATTTTCCTGAAAGCTTGCTGTCATCTAATAATCATGACTAGTTAAATAATCAAGAAAGGCTTCTAGAAGATGTAAGAAAAAATACAGTAAAGTATGTTTTTGTTTATGAGGTACTTTTGCGGGCCTTAAATTTTCAACTGTGTAGTATTTGCTGCAATTGAATTCCATGTTTCATTTATGTTCTTTAAACTTTGGAGAAGTCATCTGTGTTCCTTGTCTACTTATTGCTTTAAAGCCCTGTGATTTTAAATGAAGTTTTTGCAGACAGTGTTTGGATCACTGGTGTCATTTGTCATGTACCATGACAGAGTAGACGGTAGCCTGGTCAAACTGGTCAGGAGAGACAGGCTGTCAATGGGCTTGTTTGTTTTTGTTTTATTGTGGAGGTAACTGCAATTGCTGCTTTATCAAGCGCAGCAGTTACGCTGTTGCAGGGGGTTGTCTTGCATAAAGAATTTGTACCACTTGTTCTGTTGAAATTTGCTAAAGCAAACCATAAACTGCAGCTCTAATCAAAACTGATGTCATCATATGTCAGCAGATAATAGATGGGGTTCAAAATTGTAAAAGAGAAAATTATTAAGTATGTGAAATGATCAGGGGCTTGAGTGTATGACCTATGAAGAGAGAGTGAAGAAATTTCTTCTTTAGCTTGGAGAAGGCTTCAGAGATCCCACTGTCAGCCTTCCAATACCTACAGGGTATTATACATCAACAAGACTTAGTCAAACAGGCACAAACTGAGATGAGAGATTCAGACTAAGTTCAGAGAGAATCAATCTTTTTCCTCTTGGGACAGTCAAGCAGTGGATCAGGTTGCCTGAAGAGTTTGTGGGGTCTCCAGCATGGGAGTTTTTCAAGACTGGGATGGATAAAACACTGGAAAACCTGGCCTGTTGCCATAGCTGACCCTACTTTGAGTGGGAGGTTGGACTAGAGGCTTTCTGAGGTTGCTTTCAGTTTGAATTCCCCTGTGATCTCTTTGAAAAACTGATACATGTGCATACACTCTCTTCTGCCTCTTGCTGACACATCAGATGAGGAAGCAGTAGAGCTGCACATACCTGCAAGTGCTTGTCTGGGTGTAAGACAGTTCTTGAGCTGTCAGCTCCCACAAGTAGGACACTGTCCCTGCAAAGCTGATGTATTTAAAGATGCATCTCTTCCTTTTTTGATGCTTTTGTATTTTTTTTGTTTTTTTTTTTTTGGTTCTAGCTCTTGGTTGTCCTGTAAGCAGCAGACACTGATTTGAAAAAAACTACTGTTTTTCTGAGACCGCAGTCTTTATTAATTTGCTCGAACTAAAGTCTTAAGTTAGGTAATGAAGCACAGATAGATGGCTCTTGTTTCCCAAATGGAAACAGCCCTCTAAAATAGGTTACTTTTCAGAACAATGTTACTTCCTCTTAGTATATTTAATTATCTGGATGGATTTTCCCACCCCTCCCCACCCAATATGTAGGAAGCCTTTTCCCTGAAAGACTTTGAGAAATCTTACTTAGTACAAAATCTTACTTAGTCCAGTCCTTGGTTTGGATTTCAGTTGACCGGGTTACCTGGCAGGTGTTTGAAAGGGAGGTGAGGACCTGCTTTGTATTTAATGCAATATATGTATAAGAAATGTGGGAGGACCTAGAAATAAGTGTTTGCAGATTTTGCAGACACTAGAACACTATTTGTGAAAGTCAGTACAGAGGGTATTTGGTTTTACATACTCTATGAGGTAGAAGGAAACACTTTCTAAACCAGTGTTGCAAAGGCAAGAAGTATGAGTGTGTTTGTAGAATTTGTAGGTGCAAACTTGGGCAAATTTACTAATGTTTTTGTGTTCTTTTTTACAGTTTGAAATGCCTATTTTCCCATTTCACAGGGCAGTTCACACTTTTTGGTCACTTATTTTTTTTCACATCATGCCTTTAACCTTTCAAAAGTGCTGTCTGTGGCTATTGATGTGTGTTGAGTGCATTGGAAAAAATATTTAGTGTGTGTGTTTTGTTTTTTTTTACACTGTCAAGAAGTGAAGTGGGAAGTTCTCAATTATTTTTTATTGTATAAATATTAGAACTCTGTTGTTGCCTGACCAGGGCTTTATAGTATAAGTTTTAAAGCCATATAGAATTGTAGGGTTTTCCAAAAAAAGTGCATAATTCCAATGAGTTGGAATCACCAAGATTGGAACCTGAGAATGGAGGGCATGCAATGTGTAAACTGGGCAGATAAATTCAGCTAACAGCAGTTCTCTTGTTCTCTCTTTGAAAAACAGCCCCCCTGAAATTTGGATGTAACTTCATTTGTGATTACTACATATTCTTTCCAGCACCATTTTGAAAAAGCACACCCAAAATTTGCAGAATATTGATTCTTCCCGTAAAAGAAACTCCTTGATTATTGAATTTCAATGTGCTGGTCTGTTTGAGGTGTTTTGTTTTGTTTTGTTTTTTGTGAAATGTGAAGACTTTCCCCTCAAGTTTTAGAGTGTGTTTTTCTGGTTTGTGCTGATGAAGTGTTGTCAAATCTGGTTCTATCTCAGTTTCATTGTGATGACATAGTGTGGCTTACCTGCTGGGGGAATAAACCTGACTGGAAAGTGGTCTTGGCCTTAGATATTATTATTCTTTGGTACTGTAAAGAACAATATTTGTATCCCATTTTGCAGTATTTCTTCAAATGCCTTGAACTTCTAACTCTGTGATAGAGGGAACTTCCACATAAAATTTCTCAAGTGTGTGAGATGTAATAATCTTCATATTAATCTTTTTAGTTCATGGAATTGATTCTTTTCAGTAAAGATACAAAATTACCAAAAAGATCTTTCTGTGCAGGGGATAATTTGTAGGAGTAAGTTCTGCAATGCCTATGTTCTGCTCTTGTCCACTGTGGGATCAGAGTTGTGAAATATTACTGTTTGTACATATTTGTGGCACAATGTGTGGCTAAATTTAGTAGATATTGAGGATAATAATTTGTTGCTAAATACAGAATTGTGTTTGGGTTGTCTAATAACTCATTGCATATGCCTGGGCAGTTCCATCTCTAAGGACATATCATAGACTTTTAGAAAGATTTTGATAGTAGAAATTATATTTAGCAAAGAGAAATTAGTCTAGAGATACCTTGAGCTTCATGTCTTATCTAAAGTGATCTCTAATGAGAATTAATATTTTGCACATCTTCTTTCATTAACTCATGCTAACTTTTTCTCTTGATTTTGTGTATATATATATATATATATATATATTAATGTCTTGATTCTTGGCCTGCTGAATCATCTTTATAATTTTAAATATTTGTCTCTAAACTGTGCTCTTCATTTTGCATTCCTCTCTTATGTGGTTTGCTCTGTCCAGGTCAGTGCTGTGTTCTCCCAGTTTATCCCTTCTGTTGTCTCTCACACAGTGCTTGGAACGGTGTCTTTATTGCTGCTACCCACAGAAAGCTCCTGGCCATAAGAAGGGAACTGCTGTAGGGATGTGCCATAATGGTTGGAGATGTGTAGTAAAAGAATTCTCTTTCAGCTGGCTGGCCCTGAATTTTGTAAAACAACCATAGATTTGCATCACTGGTGTCTGGCATGTGATAAACCTAAAACTTCTACCTGTACTGGGAAAGGGCATCACCATTCTTGGCTTCCATTTCACTGCTGCAGCACAAGCTCTCATTTCTGATTGCTGCAAAATGAACATTCTCCCCTGTTGCTTTTCTGGTGTTTTTCCTTCTCTTCCTCTGTTAAATACCTTGTATCATCCTTTTACTTGTAACTCCATAGGTTACATTGTTTCTCACACACTTGCCGTAGTAACAGTAACTTTACTTTTTCCTCTGCTTTTCCTGCTTTTTCTGATGCTTAGTGTCAAGTTCTAAGTCTGAAACCGAACACTCTGGGAGATGAAAAAAATTAGAAATTTTCATAAAAAATTTCTAAGTGTAGCTGCATATGGACTTAAAAAGAAAGTATAACCAGAAGCAGGGCTTAAGAAAACCATCTCATAGCTGACTTATTTTCTTGAAGCCTTGCTCAAAGTTAAACCAGAATGTTGCTGCTGGGATACGGGTTTGACCTATAAGTTTTACATTCTGTTTTAATGCAGTAGATCATCAACTTCACCATTCTTATTAGATTGTTTTTGTCAGTCTACTTTAGAGGGGGAAGAGAGGCTGATCTTATTTCTTTGAAAGACTTGAAAAAGTATCTTGAAAAAGATTTGTTTAGTGGAGTGGCAAAATAAAGTTTTCTGTTTTAGACTAAGACTTTGTGGGCTGGCTTTTTTTGGAAGTTCAGCAAGAAAAAGCTGGGGTCTTAAAGAATGGGTGTAAAAATATTTAGCATTTCTGAAATGTATAAACTAGAGAAATGCAACAAAAGCTTGGATTGTCTCTGAATTCTGATGTGACAGTGAAATGTGCCTGCAGTAGTAACCTAGAAAATCAGAGAGATTTTCTTAATCAGCAGCTCTTGAGATATTTAAATGTTGGGAAGCTGTATATATCACTGCAGTTGAAGAAGTAGGACAGGAGAAAAGAAGGAGCAAATTGAGAGAGACATCTTTTGTTTTAATGTGCAGGTCCAGTTACTAAGAAAGAAGGAAAGACTGTACTTCCTGATAACTTTATTTTAGTCAGAACACAGTGTTAGAGATTCCTTTAAGAGCACAATCAATATTTTAGAGAGATTATATTTAAAATTGATCATGTTGACAGGTTCCCTATATATACATCAGTTGCTTTTCTGGCTGAAGAATTTGCAGTAGGACTGGAAATTGGTAACCCCAGCTCTGCTTTTTTACTACTGGTCCACAGTAGAATTTGGTTTGAAAAACAAGTTGTGAAAGTTAAAGGTGGATGTCCTTTTCCTGTGGTCTTTCTTTTCTGTACACATGTTGTTAACTTTAGAGCAGCCCTAATATAAATACTGGTAAAAAAAAATAAAAATTAGTGATATAATTAACTTCCTTTTTTTTTTTTCTTTTTTTTTTTTTTCCTTAGGCGATTCTGAGCACTTTTGAATCTATTTCAGTACTTCTGTGAAGGGCAGAAGGAGTTGAATTCTGCCTGATTCCAATTTTCACTGTTGTGTATAGATTCTTGAACTAAATGTTATCCAACCAATTCAGTTACTTAGCCTTTTTCAGACCTGGAGATTTTTCGGTACAAAGTGTTAGTACAACTTTCTGGAAGTTTGTAGGCACTATTATATCTAAACCAAGAAAGAAACCTTTGAGACTTAGCGGTTCATGTTTAATACTCCAGGTATCCATCTCGAATTGAGAAGATAGATTATGAAGAGGGGAAGATGTTGGTGCATTTTGAACGCTGGAGCCATCGCTACGATGAGTGGATTTACTGGGACAGCAACAGGTTGCGACCTTTGGAGCGACCAGCATTAAGGAAAGAGGGGCTGAAAGATGATGAAGAATTTGTTGTAAGTGGCACATGTATTTTGTCTTAGACTTTTGTAAACTGCTTTACTTTTTTCCTACATTAAATCTCTCTAACACATAATTCTTAATATTTTTGTAAAAAATTGAAATTATTTAAGTATTAATTACTAAATTTGTTTCAAATAGGATTTTAAACCTGGAGAAGAAGTCTTAGCTCGTTGGACAGACTGTCGGTATTACCCTGCAAAGATTGAAGCAATTAATAAAGAGGGTATGTATTGCAGTGGTCCATTGGTAAGATCTGATTGAAAATGCTGTGGTGTGGATTTAGTCTGCTTAAAAAAGTAATATGACTATAAAGTTTTCCTCTCTGCTCCAATATTAAGTGAAAATGTTTTTGTATATCAAGTTTAGTAAAAAGTTTGGTTTTTATCTTTATCAAATTTGAAAACTGAAATTTCTCCTAGAAGACAAAATGCTTTTTTACTGTTTTTACTGTTTCGCTGATCAGAAGCTCCTGTGCACAGCCTTAGGACTGTTTTGTACTATTGTTGATTTGAGTTAATGTTATATTTAAATTTTCATAATTAATTCTCTTTATTGAAGAAAAAAAATGGAAATAGGAAGATAAAAGAACACAGATTAAATACTTCACGGTGGTGATATTCCTAATGAACATAAGAAGTTGAGATTTTTACTGTAGTTTAGAGCAAATGAGGATTTGGGTGTAAGTTGAACTGTTTCCCTAGTGTGACATCTTAAATATTATGTAACTATTTCAGTGAGTTATGAACAGAAGTGACTCAATAGCTTAAACATACCTGAAATTGTCCAGCTGGACAAAGAGTAACAGTATTAAAGCAGGGTTTCATTGGTGTCATTATGTATGTTTTTTTGTTCCTCACTTGATCCTGAATAGTGGTAACACCTGGGTACTCTTGTCATACAAAATAACATGCAAAACATAAAGCTTTCATAGTAACAAGGTGTGTTTGTTTCTTAACTACTCATAGTGATTCCATCAATTATTTCTAGGAACATTCACAGTGCAATTCTATGATGGTGTCATTCGGTGTCTTAAAAGGATGCATATCAAGTCTATGCCAGAGGATGCAAAAGGGCAGGTAAGAATACTTAAAGCAGTTGCTTTGTTAGGTTTTGTGTAGTTGTTTGGGTTTTCATTGTTTTGTTTGGTTTTTTTGTTTGTTTTTAATATCTTGAAACAGTAGAAGTGTCTAGTAGCACAACTAGATTTTGATTAGATTTTATTCTAGGCCCTGCACTGCCTTGCTTCACCAGTTTATGGATGATGCCTCAGAGTGTGCTGCTCCAGTGGCTTTGCCTCACTGAAATGTCTGGCTGTTGGACACTCCATTGCCAACTAATCTGTTCACAAAGCCTTGTCTTACTTTGTCTGCAAAACCAGGGGCATCCAATGACTTTTCCCTCTGGTGTCCTTTCAGGAAAAAAGCTTTAGCTTGTCAGCAGCCTGTGCTGCTGATTTTCTTTTTTTTTTTTTATTTTATTTATTTATTCCCCACCCTCTGCCTGTCTTTTGTTTGCTATTATGAGAGCTTTTTGCCCAAGTGTTCTTATAAACATGACTTTGGGCTTTTCCACTCTATATCAGAGCTTTAGGGCAATCAGACAGATAAGTATTTCTTGCCTCTTATAATGTCCAGTTGCTGTTAAAGAAGAGATGCTGAGTAGAAGTTGAGGGAGACTATGAAGTAGAGGACATGATTTAGTCACTGGGCCAATCTTTACTTGTGAAAGGGAAACATCATTGAAAATTCTTACATGCTTTCAGTGCAAGTGCCATTGCATTTATCTTGCATGGTAACTGTGTTTTCATATTTAATGAGAAATTATTCCACTGAAACTGTTTGAGACAAAATCCATGAAAACTGGTCTTTATTTGCTCTTAGTTTTCTTCAGAGTACTCCTAACTTTGCAGACTTCAAATACTTCATAATTACCATTGTAGCCATCCGTATTGTGACCAGGGCAGATGGATAATTGAATTGGCTTGAAAGCATCCTCACATCCTGGCTTCCAGGGTAAAGGTAGCTGTATGGTAGGGTTGATCCTCTATGCAAGGGACACTGGAACTCAGTGCAGACATCACTGCATTATTTAAAAGATGTTTCCTGAAGGAGATTAAACTGAAATCTATAGTCACACTAACCCTGGCTTCTTGCTGCGGACTTAAAGTAACTCCGTTGAACCAGTGTGTAGTACGGGTAATGTGATTGTGACCGAAAAGAAATAAATCTTTCGTGACAGTGGAAAGAGCTCCCTAATTCTGTCCTGTGCTTTTTTAGGGAGCAATGTTGTATCTAATCTTGAGTTACTACTCTTAGGCCACAGGCAATTTCAGCTTAAAAAAAAAATAGTAAATCCATTACTTCACAGCCATTATGTTGTCCAAACTTGTTTGGTGGCAGTCCAGCTCATCTGTTATTTCTAATTTTTCTCAGTAGTTGAGAGTTATGGTGCCACTTATGCATCTTGGGGGTTGAATGTAGGCTGCTTCAGTGAAATCTTGAGAAGGAGTTAGGGGCACAAATTTACACTTTCTGATGGATTTAGAATTTTTAAGTTGTCTGGATACAAGAACACCTCCAACTGTGCATTCTGTAATGCTTATTGATAATAGCTGTAGCATTTAGTCCTGCAAAAGTAGAAGTAAGCATGAAAGTCTGTGTAGCTTTCAAAGGCAGAGATATAATTTTTCTTGCAACTTATTTTGCATATAATGCAATGGAAAATGTTTTTCTAAGTGTTTTTGTGTTATTTCGGAATAAAAACACGAAATAAGATTTGGTTGAAAATCAGTTATCTGAAACTGAGCTTTGTTTAAGCCTCAGACTCCCATGGATGGTTTTGTTCTTTTGCATTATTTATTTTATAAGAAAATATTTACTAAAATTTGTGTAAAGCTTACAAAAATGCCAAGACTGTAAAATGATTTTAAAAATTAAATAGAGTTGTCAGATGCAACACTTAATGCTTCATCTAAACCTGTAACTTGTATTTTGTGCATTTCCAAAGTAAAAAATACATTTCTGGGGATGAGTGTAAGCTGAAGTTACTTCAAGTTTTAGTACATCAATAAATTTAACAAATTTTAAGATCTTTTTGAAAGGTGTGTGCTAAGCATGCAGAATTTGAATTACCTGGAGAGAGATAGAGATTAATTAATGCTTTGATTTGAGCTTAGTGTGACTCGAAGGAAGAGACTGTAAATGCTATGGCACTCCAACTATTTCTGAGTTGCAGCAGAAGTGTGTTTTAATAAGACTCAGTTGTGAGAGTAGAAGGGCAAAATTTTTAAGAGTGGAAAATATTTGTGTGTCTCAGTGCAATGAGTCTTGAGACTCAGCTGGGGTTCAGATAAATACAAATTAATCAAAATTGCACAGATCTTTGACTAATGTAGTACAGAGAGGGAAAAAAGGGATATTGAGACTGCCCTTGTGAGAGCACATATGAAATATTTGGATAACTTACTTTTTCTGAGCACATATGAAATATTTGGATAACTTACTTTTTCTGTTTCATGTTTTTTGTTTTATCTTCGATGTAATCAGGCGCGCGAGAGGGAGCAGATAGCGCCGGAGCTGAGATTAGTGACGGAAATCGAACCAAAAGAAGTGAGTTTTGAGGAGGGATTTGAAGGAGAGGGAGGGGACTTGGCACACAGGAAGAGGAAGCTGAGGAAAAAGCGTGGATTTGCGAATGGGCCAGAGGAAAAAAGAAGATGTGACAGGAGACAATGTGAGCCAAGATGTAGGTGGGGCAGACTGTATAGAATTGAAAGGTGAGGGTAAGGAATCCAGGCTTGATGTGGAATCAGCCAGTCAGTAGATTCATATTTTATGTATGTGTATGTATGAACGTGTGGGAGTTGGAAGTTATGGTGTGACAGAAGAGGAAAAAGCAGCTGAATCTTTAGTCCTATGGAGAAGCAAAAAGGTGGTGGTTGTAGGCAGGTGAAGGGAGAGCGATGTATGTGTGAATTCTGCTATTGACGCAAGGGTTGGATTTTGGAAATTATTCTGGTTTTGCCTTCCCACTGTTGCAGGATTATAGTTACACAAGGAATATTTTAAAATACAACTTTTTTAGCCAATTGATGTGTAGGGCTGTTGAGTAATTTCTGCTGATGTATTTTTTGATCGTGTAATTTCCTGTGTTTTGATTTAGTGAATCTAATTAGCATAATGACAGTTTTCCTCAGTAGTCATAAAGTAATGCTTTGTTTTCTAACTGCTGTGGGCCATTACTATTCTCCTGTCAATTTTCTCAGCTTACTTGAAAGATGAATTTTAGTAAGAAAGAAAAAGATGGAAATACACATTTTGGATGTATTTTATTTTTATTTTTTTTTTTTGTTATATATGTAAATGAGAAGCTCACTGAAGTGAGATACTGAGGGAAGTGGGAAATCAGGCTGGATGATGCAGAGTAAGTGGTTCAGAGTTACACAACTGCTTCCAATAGGGAGACAATATCAGGAAATGAAAGAAAAGTAGGGAAAACTTCTCTTAGGATTTTGCTTTTCTCCATTAATTTCTGATGTGTTCATATTTGGGCCCTTGGCTTTGTATGATCTGGGAATTTGTCCTACTATTAAAATTTGTATCTAGTTTTTGTGATATCTATAATATTTAGTGTCCTGCTATTACAGTTGATAGAATAGATATACTATTAGCCTGAGGCAGATTTCAGAATTTATTGTGCTTTAGGATCCCACTATTATTCTTCGATTGTTTTGTTAATCTTTTGGTAAAAATTCTGAAAAAGACACAAATGTGTCTTTTTGAAGGCAGAATTCCTGTGCTCTACAAAAGAAATATAGTCACCTTAGAATCTTAGAATTCTCATATGTCAAGACCTGTGCTGCTGAGCAGTCACTCAACAGGAATTCAAGGTTAAAAAGCAGGCATAACTGTCACTTTAGTGCCTGTATGTTTAGTTCAGAGCCAAAACAAAAATGGACCCATAGTTTCTGAACAATTTAGAATCACAAAATTGTTTTAAGTTGGAAGGAACCTCTTAATATAATCTTGTCCATCCTAAGTGGTCAAGGTTCTCTTCATTGAGCTTAAATTTACGTGTCAATCTAGGAAAAAAAGTATAACTGTCACCATAATGAATGTGTCTCTTTGGCTTCTAAATGTTCAACCTTTGTTTCATTGTTATGTGTCTTTCTACTGTAAGCTCCATGTTGTAAGAACAGTATCTGAACAGTGGAATAAAATACAAAGAAAATCAGAAAACACCTTTCCATGTTGCACTTAGACGAGGCTACTTGGTTCATCATTGTCTTTTGAACCTTGACATCTTCTGAAAGTTTTTGATCCCAAGGTGCTTAGTTTGATTGAAAATTAGGGTGCTCTTTAGAACATATTTTCATGCAGGCTGCATTACTTCCCCTTCCCACTTTTATCATAACATCTAATCTCCAGCCATGTTACTGATCCTCTTCATCCCTTGGCCAGGGTACAGGGTAAGACTCCTACTCTCAAGTCTCCTAATTCCTCACCACCACAAATAGCTCAATCCTTTTTATGTCCTGCTGGATGGCTAGGGCTCTGGATGGACTGGAATAGGTATGCTCGTTTTGGCTGGCCAAGAGAGAGTTATGTGTGCTTTTGACTGACAATGCAGCTGGCAGTTAGACACACTCGTTTGTGCTGGCATGTCACCAAGTGGCCTCAGTAGTTGCCTGTTGTGTGAGCATTGCCAAAGTGCTTCCAAATTTTGCTGCGGTGTAATGTGTGTGTGTCTGCATCTTGCATTGAAAATGTGGACATGTTACACTTTATCTTAGAGGAATCAAAACTGTTGTTGTTTCTAAATATGTAAGTTGGTACAAAGAAGAAACATAATCCATATAAAGTAATGATTTAAAAGTATTGAACTATGGAAAAGGAAAAGCATAATGCAAGGAGAATTAACACTGTGTTATGATTTCCTCATATGTCAAGGCAAAGAAACCCTCAGCAGAACAGAAACTTGAAAGACTTATGTCTAACGAGTGGGGAAAAGGTTGCATTGGAACAAGATCTGTAAAATCAAGCTACTTTAGATATCTCGTGTGATGACATAACAGCAAGGAGATATTCCAGAGAAAAACAGTCTGTGCAGTTGGGGAAAAAAAAATACTATTTGTAAAGCACTCATGGGTAACTAGACAAAAAGTGTTTTTCATATTTTTTTTTTGTGTGTGTGGTAGTACTTGTAATTCAGAGCACTCAGCTGCTTAATTCCGACTTGTTGATCATTTCTGCTGCCTTCTATATTGCACACAACTTCTCCACAGGAGAGTCCTGTACCTCAATGTTATAGAAAATTCAAAAAAATACTTTAGTCAAAAGGATCAAGTTACAATTTTTGCAGTCAGATTGATCCCTGATATTCAGGATCAAGACTCCTGTCAGGAGTCTCATGTCAGGACTCCCAACATAAGACAGGAGTCTCATCGCTCTGAACTAACGGAAGGAGCTTGGCTCTGCCTAGGAAGCTCTTTCCGTTGGCTTGTAGGGAAGCTTGACTTGGTCTGAATGCCAAAACATAGATTAGATTGGGATGTATTCACCCCTTGAATGTTTCTGTATGGTACAAATAAGCAATTACACAAAATGACACTCAATTACCTTAAATATAGATAGTGAAATTCAGTCATATTATAGAGTACTTTATTTGAGTTAGTGGGTGAAACCTGTAATATGTCATACAAAATGAGTAAGAGTCTGTAGTTGCTCTATAAACAAAGGTGTAATGAGACAGGAGTTATCCCTGGCTTATCAATTTAGTTCAGGAGGAATTCCATGCAGCTGGACACGGCTTTGAGGCTATTGTAGCTTTGTATAATAGGTCAACAACTATGGAATTGTGTGTTTCAGAGCCAGAAGGGTAAGAAAAATATCAGTCTTTTGGGATTGGGAGCTCCTGGGTTTCTAAAGCAATAACACAAAAGTAGTTTAACAGGGAATGTGTACCAACCAGAATTCTATATACAGTGGGATTTGAAAGATTTTTTTTTTTTTCCTTTTTGTCCATGTGGCACACTGATAATGCTTCAAATTCATTTGGACAATTTGGGAAAGTCTATTTTATCACACTTGAGTAATAACTGTAAAAATAAATTGAATTTCATTTGAACATTTCTAGATAAAGCTCACTGGGTTTATGAGTATTTTCTGTTTGAGTCTTAGGCACTTTATAATACTTACTCACCATTTTTTCCTTTTTGGAGGATTGGATAGCTTTGGTCAAAGCTGCTGCCGCAGCAGCAGCCAAGAACAAAGCAGGAAGTAAACCTAGAACCAGTGCAAACAGCAATAAAGATAAAGAGGACAGAAAATGGCTAAAAGTCCCTTCAAAAAAGGAAGAAACCTCAACCTCTACAATCATGCAGGAAGTCCAAAAAAAGGAAGAGGAGCCTACATCTAGTGACACATTTGGTAAAAGCACATTCTATAAATACATCTGTAAATTGTTTTTTCTGTAGTGTTGAACTCCTGTTGCTAATTTTGCGGTTAAGTAATAACCAATATTTCTAGAGGAAAATGTCTCATTTGCTATTATGATAACTTTCTGATACATAATGGTAGTTGGTTCAGAAACTATTTTTATCAGATAAATCTAGTTCAGTCAGCATTTACTGCTTGTGCTAAACTTCTGACTAGCTTTATCAAGAGCAGAACATAGCTTTTTATTGATTTCATTGTATAATTTGGTTGCTATTCTTGCATCTTCTCTTACTTGTGAGATAATCCCTGATCTCGTTTTAAGAAAAAATTCCTATATGCATGATATATCCATATTCAAGGCTGTTTGAAACTGTATCTGAGTTGATAAGATCTGTTAATTTTAAGTCTTTAATGCTAATTTCTCATTCAGTAAAAATTACCAATTTTGAGATAATCTCCATTGATTGTTTCATTACGTAATTCTAGATCTTCAGAATGTGTCTTTTTCCTTTTTTATAAACATTTAAAGTTTCTTTACTAAGAAATTTAAAATATTCTAGTAGCAATTCTGAAGTATTTAAATATTTTGGGTATTATGCATTTATTAGATGTGAGTTAATGAGGTTTTTCTTATGTTTAGAAGTAGGATTTCCTGTAGTGGATGTTCCAAAGATGGCCTTTGTGCAGGCAGAGAGCACTTTATCACACAAGAGGAAAAGTAATCTAGGCAACTCATTTCAGGCAAAGAGAGCTCGCCTAAACAAGATCACTGGTAAAAGACTTTTTTTGTTGTTGACTTTGTTCCTTTTTAATGTAGTAAAATATTCATGCTTATAAAGAAGATACTGAAGTAGGTTGCATTTGGGTTTATAGAACTTCTTAAGATTGTCATGAATTGCATACTACCACTGTAAATTAAAGCTATGGTTAGCTGTGGAGAAACAGAAAATATTTTTTCGTAAAGTGAAAATGTTGCTAAAAAGAGTTTCTAATTTAGAAATACACATCCTTACAAATTGAAACTATAAAGACCTGATTTTTTTTTCAGTGTCTAAATTCCCTACCTTTATTGCTCAAAGGTATTAATGGAAAACAGGGATGTTACTACAGAATACATGCTATACAACAGGAAATTGAATAACTTATCTTTAACATTGAAAAAATGCATTTATTCCAGAATTTAATAGAAATTTACTTGCCTTTGAAAAAGTTATTTCAATTGATATTCCTCTAAATAAGATTATTGTGCTGCTAGCTTTGATCCTGTCAGTATTTAGGAAAAAGTTTTATGTTTGTACCTGTGCTGGGAAAGTATCAGTTGCATTTCAAAAGCAAAAGGGTTGGAAAAAGTTGTGAAGTCCCTCCGTTAACAGAGGAGCTCTTGGACACACTGTAAGAGAGAAATTCATTCCACTCGTTATTCTAGTCCATAATATTTCATATGAAGGCTGGTAAACTTCTCTGTGCTACAAACGGGAGGGTTTTTTTTTTGTTAGGATTTTTTTGGAAGTAGATAAAAATTCTTACTTGTTTTTGTAAAACAAAAATAATCAAATTTGCTAAATTGCATTGTGAGAGTTTTTTTTAGTACTTGTTTTGGCTTCTCCAGCCTTGCATTGGTCTGCAGTGGAGGATGTTTAGTCAGTTTTCTTATGAGAGTGGTTCTGTTTCAGTCTGTCAGTCAGTAAAAATAAAATGGCCCAAATCATGGAATGGTTTGGGCTGGAAGGGATCTTAACGTTCACCTACTTCCAACTTTGCTGCCACGGGCAGGGACACCTTCCACTAGATCTGGTTGCTCAAAGCCCCATCCAGCCTGGCCTTGAACACTTCTTGGGATGGGACATCCACAGCTTCTCTGGGCAACCTGTGCCTCACAACCCTCATAGGACAGAATTTCCTCCTCGTATCTAATCTAAACCTACTGTCTTTAAGTTTGAATCTATTCCCTTTTGTCCTATCATGACGTGCTCCTTCTCCAGCTCTCTTGTAAACTCCCTTTAGGCACTGGACTATAAGGTTTCCCTGGAGCCTTTTCTTCTCCAGGCTGTACAATCCCAATTCTCTCAGCCTCTGCTCACAGGAGAGGTGCTCCAGCCCTCTGACCAGCTCTGGGTGCCTCCTCTGGGCTCATGCCAGCAGGTCCTTCCTGTGCTGGGACCCACGAGCTGGACACAGCAGTGCAGGTGGGATCTGAACAGAGCAGAGGGGCAGAATTACTCCTTCATCCTGCTGCCCACAGTGCTTTTGATGCAGCCTAGGAAAGTGTTGGCAGCTCATGTCCAGCTTTGCATTTGCTGTCCAGCTTTTGATCCAAGAGGGAATGAAAAGGAACTGTTCTTTTTGTACAAAGGAAGCAGTCTTTATAAAAACCCATCTTCTGCCTCCAGGATTGTCATTCCCAGAAGGCTCCTTCTTTGGTTCCAAGTTTTGTTAATGGATGTCAAATTTATCAGCCCCATTTCTACTCTCCTTTCTTATACTACATACATTTTCAGTTAAGTTCCAATTTAACTGCTGCCATGAGCAGTAGTAAAGATACAGAAACTAGAAATGTGTATCAACAGAGCCCTGTTAATTTCTTTCCAGTAGGAGTTAGTAGCAGAGATATCAAAACCAGCTGAAAAACCTTTACCTTTACAAATTGTATTTGCCTGTGGATAGATTCTTATTATCTCAGAAGAATTATGAGAATCATAGTAGTGAGACAGGTTCATACAGACTGAACTGAATAATCAAACCATGATTTTGCAGCCATTTGACTGTGTTACCATTTTAAAAACAGTGTGTCTGTCTCCACAAGACATACTTGGCTAGCAGACAATGTGTTACCTTTCAGTGAAAGTATATTAATCCTTTAACTACAAGATGAAATTTGTCATGCCTTGTAGATACTTCATGTATCTGTTCTCAATTTAACACACTTCTGCAGTTCATACCAGAAAAAGTCTTTTATAACAGTACATTTTGAAAATGTGACTGCTAATGATCAAAATTTTTCTTGCCTCATGTTCTTTGTTACGCATTAAATAGTCATACATACAATATACAATATATTGTATACCAATATATGCTTGCATTGTTTCATTTTTGTCTCCAGCACAAGCCTTTAGATTTGAAGGAAGGCTGAGAATCATGCTGTCGTACTCATCAGAGTGTCTACAAAATAATCAAAGCATTGTAGCTGTTAGGGAAACATTTACCAGGTTCTTATGGTTGTACTGGGGAAATAGTGCAAAACACTATTGCAGGAGGCTGTATGAGGGGAACTCTTCCCTACGTTTTAGTTCTGCATTCAGCATTTGATGCAGAAGGGTCTTCTTGTCTGCCACAAGGCCCACAGCCGCATCAGGTGTTCTTTGCTCACCATTCAACAAAATAAAATTACTTCCTTTACCCCTTCTTTTGCTACTAGCACTGGTAGCAACTACATTTCCCAAAGGTGAAGAATACCTCCTGCTAAGCACATATTAATGCCATTTTCCAATCAGTTTCTGCCTCTGTTGGAATGTTTGCTTCCGCATCTTCTCCTGCTGTGTTGGTACCTAAAACCAGGTAATAACTGCAGTGAGCTTGCAGAACAAAACATTCCCGGTTCACTGTGCCACTCCCTGTTTTGCTTTCTTAGATGCTCTTACAGACAGAGGGTGGTGAACCTGTAGTCCTGGTTTGCAGTAGCTTTTGAGATGGCTTTGTCCTGCAGGCTTGGGGCCTGGTTAGAAAAAACACTTCATGGGGTAGAGAAAAAGGAAATCATAAGAATTGTATATATTGGCAGATCTGAATCTAGATTCATTTAATAGCTTGAATTTCTGAGCAGGGATCATCTAGCTAGAACGAAAAATTGAGAATCTGAGAATGCTCTGGGTTGAAAGAGACCTTAAAGGTCATATAATTTCCTTAAAGGTCATATAATTTCAACATTATCCACTAGACCAGCTTTCTCTAAGGCCCATCCAGACTGGCCTTGAATTCCCCCACGAATGAGGGACTCTTCTCTGGGGAACCTTTGGCTTACAGAACCATAAATGCACCCATAAACTGTAGTTTTGTTTTGTTTTTTTTATTTAAAACTCAACTTCACTTGATTTTGAAAATGATTTTGTGCTTTTTTATATAAATGCATGATGGCAAAGATAAAGAACCCTGCGATTTTTGCAACTTGATTTAAATAGGATAATTTGAGTTAAAAATGTTTATTTAAATCCATAAGACCCAAATCTTTTGTGTGGTCTAATCCAGAATTAAAATCTTACCTGATAATTTTATTGGTTTTTATCTAATAGGATTAAGTAAGTTTCTACTTTTCAGTTAACCTAAACTAAAACATAACTTAATCCAACATAAATAGTAAATGAGATAAAACACTTGGTGTTATGCTGAGTTTTTTTATTTTTATTTTAATGTCTTGAACAGTTCCTCAGAGCCAGACTTCACTAATTTATAATTCATTGGACATTGTGACCTTTAAATTAATTTTGGCCATATGAAAATTTTTATGGAATGTAATAGCAATTCTCTCTGAATTTGTCAAGTTATTTTTGAGGACTTCAACTCCTCACTCCCAATATTGACCTTCACAGAGATTATAATAGCGATTTTTATTCAAATTTATATTTTTTAGGTTTTATCAGTTCTCTGTTTTCTTAATCATGTAGAACTTCTTCTGTCTCTGCATTGTTAGACAATTGAAGTTGTGTGAGGTACAACTGAAGCTATTCCCATATGCTTTGCTGACAAAGCTTTCTTGTATTTATATTCCCCTTGTCTTTACAGATTTTTTGTAGTACTTATTGTACATAAATTTGTAAATAAAGTTACATACTCTAATATATTATTTGCTCCCAATATGGTCATCTTATTGAGGTAATTTGGGAGCTCCACTACTAGGAATATTTGTTTGGAAATTAAATCCCTTGTTGTATTATGTCTGAGAAAGGTTTGCATCTGTTATAGTTAAGAAGTAGTAATACAAACTGTGATGTGAATTTCTCAAAGACTGGAAATGGGAGAGAGTTTTGTAAATAATTCTGATTTCAAAATCTATTTCTTTGTCATACGTTTGGTTTTAAAGCTCAAGTGCTTTGGCTTTGGAAGGATGGCAAGGCTTTATTTTAGAACTGACAATTTTATTTTCTTGTCAGTAAATATGCCAAGGAAATGCTTCCTATATAAGCATGCCATTGTTGGAATGTCCTGTAACTTTTTGGTTTTTCTAATTTAAAGTGGTCAGCTTTGTGTGGAGCCATTTCAGATGGACTCATCTTGTAGATTTGTGCAGTTCATATTTCTTGTCTCAATATTTTGCTTCTTTTTCTACAAATTCGTATTGTAAGATACTTCTAACTAAAAATATCTGCAACTTTTCTCTTAAGGTTTATTGGCATCCAAAGCTGTTGTTGCAGATGGTGCTGAAAAAAAGGAAGGCAACAAAGAAACAGCTCCAGTCCTGGAGCAGGTATGAAATGGTAGAGTTTGATTCTTTTGCAAAGTTCCCACTGGAGTGTGCCATGGAGATGTAGTACCTACAACATTAAAAATTTCCCCTTCAGATATAACAGGGAACTGAAAATTTCTTATGTTTACATTTCTGGCAGAGCCAGAAATATGGAATTTAATTGTCTCTAAACGCAGTGTTGACTTGAATTTCAATAATGAGCTTTTGTGTTAGAAAACTAACAGAAAACAAAATAAAGTCTCCGTGTAACAAAAATGAGGAGACCAGTGTCCCCAGGTCCAGTTTTATAGCTGGAATGACAACTGGCTTAGAAACAGGCCCTTACACAAATTTGATTTGTGTTTGAAACAGGGTTTTTGACATCGCATAGAACTTCTTTTAAAAGAAGTTTCTTTTATATTGTAAGAATTTGGTGTTGTAGGCTTGTATGTGTTTTATGAACTGCTCAATGAGCCATACATTTTGCAAGGGTGTGTATTTTAATAAATACAAAAAAGAAACTTTTAAATAATGTTAAGGGTCTGATTTTTAAACCTGCATATTGGCAGGATCTGGAGGCTGCCATTTTGTCTTTGGCTTGTTGCACTGTGTTCAGGCATTGCTTGACTCCGAGCTGTGCATTATCTTGCACTTTTAAAGGGCTGAATGCCTGAGCATGGTAAAGCAAGCTAAGGATGAACAGTAGTCTTGATTCAGGACATCTTTGTTTTCCACTTATTTAAATCAGAGCCTTAATGTATCTTTAATACAGCTTTTTTGTATGCATTTTCATTCTCCTTTAACAGCAGCATTTGAACAAAGTAGCCTTGCTGCCTGCAATTCTTTAACAAGCACTTCTGTTCTTTAGCCCCGGCACACTCTATGAACAGTCCCTACCCCAAACCTGATTTGATATTTTGGTTGTACTGGTTCTTTAGAGCTGATATATAATTGCATTGCTCTGGTTTTTCCATTGATGCTGCATTGAATGAGAGTCAATGGAACCTGATTTTCTGTTTTTGATGCTGTCACTGTCAGGGCCAGCAGAGCCACTGCAGTACCGATGCATTGACCGATAGTTTGCATAAAGGTTTACAGTGTACTGACATGACATTCCATTTCTCAAATTTTTGCATATTAAAGATGCTATGATTTTCTTGCTACTGTGTGTGATATTTTCAATGTGCAAAAAACTGTGAAATGGCTTATAGCATGTTGTTTTTGGAAGAATCATTACAATGTAAATCTTGCCATGCAGAATCCCATTGCAGTAAATGGGACTTTGTGGTTTACATAGACTGTGTATGCAACAGTATAAACTGCAGTGCATATTTACTATAACCTTTTTGTTATTTCTTAGACTTAGTAACTCGGCTGTTCCTGTTTTATTGATCAGATACAAAAAACAGATGTCTCTGTCATTGTTTACATGCTAATGGTCTGAAAAACCTCATTTTTTTTGAAATAATAGTTAAGCTCCTTTAAAGAGGCATCTAAAATCCCAAATTGTCCTATTCATTTGCATCTAACTAAAACCAGAAACCTTACAAACATTTAAATGATTGACTGTGGGGAGGAAATGTTTTGAGCTTAAAGCTTTTTTTGCTGAGTTCCTGCCCAAAATGAAATTAAAATGGCCGAGTTATAAACCTCCCTAAAAGGTTTTCCGATAACGAAGCTGACATTCCGTAGAGGCTTTGTCTGCTACTGCTATAAAATTGAATGGATGAAATATCTTGTAGGTTTTTTTTTAATAATGTAATACAGAATATGGTAGAAATATTCAGGCCAATAGCCGAAAACTGACTCTGTTGATGCAAGTTTTTGTTTATATTTATACATTTTTAGTTTACAGTTGTCTTAAACCCACAACCTCAGACAATTAGTTGCAGATACAGTAGTTTATTTAATTGTATTAGGGTATGTCATGTTATATTTCCTTTTGACCAAGACCTGAGTAGATGGATAACATTAATTCATTAAGGTTTTTAATGTTAATTTGTCCTGTTAAGAGGTTAAGCACCTTATCAAAATCTTAATTTAATTTTTTTAATCTTGTTTAAATAACTTTGTAATTTGAAAGTAATGGATGCTGTAGTATGTCTTTCACATCTGTGAAGATGAACAATAAAATTGTTTATTTACAAGTTACGACTCTAATTAATTTCTGGTAATACCTCTCATAACCAGCATAGGTATACTCTACAGTTCATGGAATATTTTATTTAAATGAATAAACTGCACTTAGTATGTGTGTAATGGAGTTATTCAAGGTAGAACTGATGTCTGCTGAATGGGATGTTTTGCACCGGATCTTTACAGGGATACTCCCAGCGAGCCGTTCACGTAGCATTCAGGGGCGCCCTTTTACAGACAGAATGTGCACTTGTGGGGATTTGTTTTCCTTTTTTTTTTTTTTTTTTGTTTTTCCTCCATTGGAGCATGGAAAATTCTAGTGGAAAATAAAATTGCAATTTCTGACAAAACTCAGTAATACCCTCAAATCACCAGAGACGTGATGTTTCTAGTTTGGATAAAGTGGTGGCATACGTTCTAGAAATACCTCTCTGCTTTGTTAGTTCTGGTTTTATTAGATGGTACTATGCTGTATGATGCAACTGGGATGAGAAGGGAGACAGGCCTAAGAAATTATATTCAGATATTGTAGTTTGCCCTTATTAGGCAAGTTGTAACACATGCACAGTTTTGGTAATGTAGGAAGAACTTCCAGTGAAAAATTTAAAATGTTAATGTCTGTCAATGCATGCTAATGGTCTAAAAATAGTACTGTTTGTGTTAAGAAGGATGAAAATTGAGGAATTTGGCAAGACGCATTATATTTTCCTTCAAAAACTGTTTTAACTCTTTATCTGCTCATTTTCCCCTGACAGTTAGCAATCTATTTAACCCTGTGGTGCTAGAAGTTGTGATTTCTTCATGTTTGCGCAAACATATAATGTGGTGAAATCCAGACTCCCAGCACTGAAAGGGGTTGTGTTGAGAGTGTGCTCAGTATTGGAAACTTTTCATTGTTTCAAGCATTCCCTAAAGGAGCATTATCAACTTTTTCAGGTTCTCAAAAATACAAATTCCTTGCTAAATATAGTGTTCCTGAGGAACTGCCTAAAGTTTTTATTTTTTGTGGGTTTAGTTTTGTTTTTTTTTTTTATTTTTTTACCTCTGATTGGGGAAATGACTGTGTAGGGAAAATCTTGTCAACTTTTTTTTAGAGCTGCAATCCTTTTGAGGAAGGATTCTTTGCTCATAGCAGTGCCAGAATTCTGGACAACACTCCGAGTCATGATTCAGAGCAGGCAGCCCTGTGAGGAGCAGGGAGGAGGACTTGAGGATCCTTCTGGGTCCCCTCCAGTGTGAGATACTCTGTGATGGTGCCTCAGTGTGTGTGTTCTGCCTTGGAACAGATGCTCTCCAGGTTCTGCTTGGAGACTGCACTGACAGTGAAGATGAAAGGGAAAACTAAAAACGCTTCATTGAATTTTTAAGGAAGAAGGAAAATGTTTTATTTTCAGTTTTTTTCAGGTGTTTCAATTAGTAAGAGTTGAATATTCTGAATACTGAAAACAATTGGTAGTGCTCCTTTAAAAAAAGCAAAATTTAATGTGATGCATTTTAAATAGTTTTCATTTGTACTTAAAATAATGTTGCTTTATTCTGTGTTTGATTACTAAAATTGCTTTTAAAAAGATCAAAATAGAATACAAGAACTACAACGAAGAAACTGAAATAAAAGTATCAATTTTTTATTATTTATTCAGGAGATTGCACCTAAACCACAAAGTCAGAAAAAAAATGAAGCTGATATTAGCAGTTCTGCCAACATTCAGAAACCTGCACTGTTATCCTCAACTTTGTCTTCAGGAAAGGCTCGCAGCAAGAAATGCAAACAAGAATCTGGAGATTCTTCCGGGTGTATAAAGCCCCCTAAATCACCACTTTCCCCAGAATTAATACAAGTCGAGGATTTGACGCTGGTCTCTCAGCTTCCTTCTTCTGTGATAAATAAAACTAGTGAGCACAGACATTTTAAAAAGAATACCGTAACTACTTATAAGAGATATACAGAAATTTCTTTGGTTGTAAATGGCTATTGCTTTTAAAAATGAATCTGCTTTAAATAAAATGTCCAAGTGGGAGAATTAGGGGTAGCTCCCTATTTTAAAAGTCAAGTCACATACTAAGGCATTTGAATTACTCTACCAGAAATAATACATTTAAATAATATACTGATATTTATAGAGTTGTGGCTTTTAAGGGTTAGCTTTACCTCTAGCTTAAATCTCCACACTAGCATTAACAGTGATACAGGATAAATCAAAGCTCCCTTCTGAAAAGGGCCTGATTCATTAAAAAGAAAAGATGTACACTTTGGTGTGGACATTTCCCTCTCTGAGAAACTTCACCTTCAGCAGGCTGACACTCTGTACCTGTTGGCTGTGGCAGTCGTCACCTTGTGTGATATTTCCTCCAAACATGATGTGAAAGAGAAGATGGGTTCAAGATCTGTGGTGGAGAAACATTAAAAATTGGTGTTTCCTTGTCCTAGAAAAATTCCATGGGTGTTCAGCTTCTTAACATGTGTAACTGATTTTCCAAGCACAAAAATAGTTTATCAGAAGACTAGGGAAAGCTTTATTCTGCATGCTTGAATACACTATTTTTTGTGATATTGAAATATTTGAAATATTAAGGTATTTCTATAATTTTTTTTTTGAGATTACGTTAGTTTTTTTAGGTTAGTGTTGCTTAGTGTCAGGTTCTTTGCCTAAAGAACATTAAATGATGAGGCCAAAGGTTGACATAAATGCAGGTTTCAGTAAGTCAAATGCTACATCTTTTTTTCACTTTTAGTATAGTGATTGAGGATGGAAGACTCAACCTGCATCATGTGTTCCCCTTAACTTTGATTTTGTATTTTCACTTATGAGATAAGTTTCTTTTTTAATCTTTGCTCATAGATAACTTTAAATAAGTGGGAGAGGGAGGAGTGCAAATTCAGCCTTCTTTATTCAGGACACATTGGTAAAAATTGTATTTTGTCCCCACAAAATGTTAGCAGTCATCCATATTGTAATACACCTTCCATCCCCACCCCTAGAGCAATGGTAAGTAGTTTTCCTGGAGCATGCTTATATTTTGGATTAAATTCAACTTCTTGTTGGACTTCTATGTAGCAATATTTTTTTAAAAATAGGTAATTTAAAGCTTGGTTACTTAGTAGCTTAGATCTTGTTTGTGTTGTCTTTAATTTTTGGTTCCAAGTTTTTTCTACCTCTAATTCAAAGTTAGTTTTGCTGTGTCTTAATTTTTAAATCTGTATATCTGACTAAAAACTGCTTACAAAAAGGAGAGAACAGTGATTTACAGTGTAATAGCAACTTAAGTGTTTTTCTAAGGCAAAATTTTGTGGAACTGGGTAATATTGAAGAGGTGTAGGGGAGTGTGGGTTTTTTGTTTTTAATGAATCAGGCCTATATTAACCTATATCAATCCTCCTCCCCCGTTTGGTTTTTTTTAAGTATAAAGTTCTGGAGCCTTCTTACTGTGCCATGCATTGGCAGCGTGTGTTTGAATTTCAGCTGGGGTATTGATATCAGGTTATCAGAAGGCAGGAGGTGGGATATAAAATTAAACACTGTTTTCAATTATTTTTTTAAGTTATATGTTAATCTATCCATGACTTTTTAGAGCTTTAACTGTGATCATTTGTTCTGTTGTTTGTTAAATCCTATTGCCCCCTTCCATTATAAGTAACCTGCTGCCTGGGTTTTAAGGGGAGGGTTGCTTACTATAAAAACACTGCTTGCCTAAAACAAACACCTTTACTGGTGGGGAATTAGGTGCCCTAGTAATTTATAATAAATAAGCCAGAATCATGTCTTGAGCATAAATCTTTCTTTGTTCCTGGTAGTCACAGTTTTGTAATTACTTTTACCAGTTTTGCTGTGATTATCAGCTTTGCAAATAAGAGCTGTTTAAAGCACTCCCCATCTTTAGATCTCAAATGCTGCGGTAAGATGATGGTGTATCTCTCTGCTTCATGAACATTGAAAGATCTCTTTTTAGGTCCATCACAGCCAGTGAGTTCCCCTAGATCCTACAAACATAGCCAACGGAGAAGAAGATCACAGCGTTTAGCCACTTGCTCCTTGCCTGATGATTCTGTAGAAAAAGTTTCTTCTCCCTCTTCAGTTACTGATGGAAAACTGTTCTCCATCAGTGGTCAAAACCAACAGTCATCAAAATTGGAGGGTAATGTATCTTAATCTAATAAAGAACTGCCCAAGAGAAATTGAATCATAAAAAGTAGACCTTTCATGGTTTTCAACTAATGGGATATTTTGAACTGCTGTAGCTAAAGCTGTTTGCTGTTCCTATGTTATGTAACGCTGCAATCCAGACTGTTGTTTGTTGGACCCATGTGTATTTTTTAATATGAGATTTTTTCTTTTATGTAGTACCTGATGTTGCTCATGTGTCACTTGAGAAGCGTGGACCATGTCTCCCTCTTGATTTAAGCCGTAGTTCGGAAGTTACAGCACCATTATCTGCAGAATCCACTTTCCGTAATGAATATCCCAGTAAAGACAAGGAAGATATTCAGATGATTACATATCTTTCTTCCAAAGCAGTAACTGATGGAAGAGTAGCTACAACAGCGTCAGGTAAAGAGATTCAGTATACAACCAGAGAGATTTGTAGTTGTAGGGTTAAAATGTGTGTATTCAATCCCATAGAAAGAGGGGATACTTTTTATTTTCTTTTCTGAACACTCAAAAACCTGCCTCTCTTCTGGACTCCATTCATCTGCATATTCTTTGTCTTCACTGGCTTACAGCTGCTTTAGCACTTCTAACATGCCTTAAGGAGAATCTGAGAGTGTGGAACGTAGTAAGCTGTATTTCAAAAATTTTTTTGCAATTGCTAAAAGTTGTAAAAATAATGAACTGATTTTTTATTAACATACTAATTTATGGTTTCAGCTTTAAAAAAATGCTGTTCTCCAAGACAGTCATTGTTCCTCTGCTTTGTGTCTGTTTGTGGTGGAAATTCTGTCCTTCACTTGCTACACTTAAAACTATTTCTGAAAAATCCTCAAAAACTTTTATATAGACTTGGTCACCCTCAGCACAGAGCCCAGGGCTGCAACTCTGTGCTGCCTCTCCCCTTGTAACAGTTTACTGACTACCATGGTTTACATGAGACACTTGGATAGAGGTAACCAAGAGATTTGGGAAAGGATTTTCACAGTGGACTTTAACAGTGGGATGTTTTCATATGGTGTATGCTAGGTGTTCATATAATTTTTTCTAAGTAAGTCTTGTATGTGGGTATCATACTGTTTTTAACTGGCTTCCAAGAAAGAATTCTCTTAAAGCCTTCTTTTGTTTTGTTTTGTTTCATGAGAAAATTGTTCAGAAAAGTAAGAAGAGGGGAAAAAACTTCAAATTATTATATTCTGCTCAGAAAATTTTTTATAAATACAAGTGATAGTAAGGGAGGACAGCATGACCTTAAATGATAGAGATATGACACTTAAACTATATCTTAGTCTAATAATCTATGAATGTCTTAAACGAATTTGTCAAAATAAGGGCTATGGGTATCTCTAGTGAGCCACCACTTAAGCTTTTTAAAATATTAAAATATTACTTAATTACTAGAGTGGAACCATGTGTCAGTCTTCATTTGCCCTTGATACATGGCATAGCAGCAGGATTACAGATTCCTGGGAAAATGACTTCTATAAAAGTCCTTCTTATGTCATGTCTTCTGCCACTAAGAGAAGTGCTTTCGGGAGTTGTGTATTTGCCCACTCACTGAACAAGATTGTAAAAGAAAGCAACAGCTCCCAACAGCCATCTGTTTCCTGTTTGGTAAAACTCTTTTTCAGTTACTAGAAATTTAACTTCTGGCTTTTCTGCTATATTTTCTGGCTCATTTTACATATAGCTGGTAATGCTGGAAGTTGCCTGCTCCTGTCATGGGCCTGTCTCGGGGCAGAGTGAGCCAGTTCTAAATCCAGCACTCAGAAGTGCACTTCGGACCTGATTGTTGAGCTGGGTCTTCGTCTTGGCCACAGCTGAAGCAATAAAATAAAGAATAAGTTTCTTTTAGAGCCACCTTCATTTAATGACTCAGAGTTATGTGACATGTCCACACAGTTTATGTCAGGAAAAAATTCCGTGATAAAATTGTTGTTACAACTTGACTCCATAGTGGGAAGCCAAAAATGTGTGCAACCTCTACCATAGGATAGAATTCATACTGTATATAAAGCTTAATGAATCTTTTCTTTAATCTCTATATAATTTTAAGAGTTACAAGTTCTAAAGGAACTGATTTGCCAGCTACATTTTTTGTCTTCTGTTTTTTTGCCTTCCAGGTACATGTGTTTTGTTCCTAATTTTCATGTATTACAGTTATCCTTCACACAATAAATGGAACTGTGTCTTGAGCTTTCATACTGACTTTCTGTCCAAATGTCAGAAGTTTTCAGTAGGTTGCATCATGTAGCACAACAGCTTCTTGAGTATCAGCTTTGTTGCTGAAAGACTAAACTAAGCAGTTTGGTATTTTTAATTCATAGATTTTGTGGCAGGTTTTGGATCTCTCTGACTCTGTCAGTGGTGTCGCTAGGACTATAACTAAAATTCATGTGCGTTTTGGGTTCATCCCAGTCTTTTAACTCTGGTGAAACATGTTTATCCTCATAATCACATAGGAAAAAGAAAAATGTCGATTTAAAGTTCAGGTTTGAAACCTCTGGAGTTAGTCTACACTACTGAATAAATTTGTGTTCTCTACTTTAGAAGGCATCATTTTGCCTTTGAAACAGCACAGGTTGTCAAGTCACATTCCTGAATCATCCCTAATTACACCAAATTTGTGCATGCTTCAGGAAAATAAATAGGATCCAGTCTTTCTATCAGTACTTTCCTAATTATCTGTTTAAACAATAGCAAGCAAATATATACAAGGGAGGTGCTCGAAGCTTTCCTTTCTCATTCCTGTAAATTCTTGAAATATATGAGAAAAAAGTTAATTTGAATTATGCAGAAACACCTACCTAAGTGCAGTTTAATATACTATATTGTTTAAATGTATGCATTGTGGCTCTATCCATTACAAACTGAGAACTCTGGTTTAAAATCTAAACTATTTTGTAATTGTGTTTTCTTAATCTGAAAGAACTGTTATAAATCTGCATCTGTTTATGGTGTTTCTGCTGTTAAGAGATTATTAACACAGTCTGGACATTGTAACAGAGCTGAACTGGTTTAAGTCCAGAGATGCAATTTGTGATGTAGAAATTTTGACTTCTGATGGAAGCTATCAGTTGAGTCAATTGAAAAAATTATTTGGTGTTGTTAAAAATTATGCATTTTAATTACTTTATTCAGAAGGTACTGACTTGGTATTTTCAGAGGAGAGGGACTAGGTGCACTGAAGTGCAGATGCATAAATGGCGACTCATAGTATTAGCACATAGCTTTCAAAATCATTGCTCAAAATAAACACCTTCTCATTTTGTAGAGGCAAAATAAAAACTATGATGATTCCCTCAATTCAAAGGCTCCATGGAAGTACTGTGCACTTTGACAGACGCCTGTACACTACCCATTAGTTATTGATCAGAGGTACTGCTTTACTAAAATATTGTGAGGTCCTACTTGCAATCATCTGATACTGCACACACAGAACTAAGAATCTTTGCTTTCATTTGCCAAATTGCTTAAAATGCAGATAACTAGTCTTTGGTCACTTTAGTATTTCAAAGACTTTAAATCCACAGTCAATCAGAATACTTGCAAAGTACAGTAGTTTTGCCTTTCTGAGTATATGAAGTTTAGGTCTTTCTGTAGTTGTGCTTATCTTTAAATTTGTGATCTTTTCTCTTGTTTTCCGTAACCCTGCACCATTTATGTTACTTCAAATTTTATATATTGAGCAAACATAATTTCAGCAAGCAATCTGGGTTTTGAAGTTTAAGTAAAAGGAAAATATTGTTACACTTTCTAATCTAACAGTATAATATTTATAATGCTGATATAACAATATTATCACTAGCTGTTATTTCCTATTCTAACACCTGTAGATGATTTTGCTAGTAGGGTAACATTAGGTTAACTATATCGGTGAAATTTGCATTTAAGACTGAAAGCAAAGAAACATTGCATACTTTTATATAATTTCCTTGGTAACAGTTTAATGCAGCAGGAACAAGAAACAGCTGATGTACAAAATTTTCAGAAAATGAGATCAGTCACTTTTGCCAGTCTTACTGGTTTACCTTGCTTTTAAGAGGGATAACCTATTGTTCATTTTGTTACTTGCTCATGTTACTTTAGGAGTGTTTGTTTTACTTCAACCATCTATTAACAGTCAGATTTACTGCCTAATTTGAATGCCTGCCATTCTAATCTCTGCCCTGAAGTTCCCACTTTAGGCTGGTTATGAGGCAATCAAGAACCTCTTTATGGGCTTATTCTTCCTAAAGACATCATTTTGGGCAGGGTCCAGTATCAGTCTGTGAAATGCAATTAAAAGTCTGTTTAGATATAAAATTGATCATATGCACTGGGAATTCAAAACACTACATTAAACATGACCAGCATGATTGATATTTCTATTGCAATATGATTTAAATTGTATATTAATGCAGATAATTATGTTTATGATATTATTTAAACATGGAACGCCATGAAATAGAATATCAGTCAACAAAATAAGTTGCTTCAGATTGCTACAAATCATTTGAGCTTGATGAATTGCAATAAGCAGTACCACTGCAAGCCCTGTTGTACTGTTGTACCTAAGGCACAACATCCTGTCCTGTGCCTGTACTTGCATGAGGGGGCTTGTGTCACTTCTCTATGCCATAACAGGGGAGGTAGTACTGGAAACATGTTATAAACTGGACTGGGAATGCTGTGGTTTGCATTTCTTTTTAATCTGAAATTAGTCTTCTAGTGATAAAATTGATCTTGGAATGGTGACAAAATCAGTAGTTTACCAAGTCTAATCTCTGGTTGTCTTTCTCTGTGCCGAGTGTTAACGGCAGACCTCCCACGTTCACTGTGTGGGAGGTGGCTGGCTAGACTCCTTAACAGGAATAAAATTGCAATTAAAAGTAGCAGTTAAAAAAAAAAAGCTAGTAGTCACATAGTTACTTGCCCTTTTGACTGACCACCTTGTCCAGTTTTGTGGTTATGTGTAAGGCACAGTGATTGCACAGTTGAAAAGCAGACTTTGCAAGCTTTTACACTTTATGTAGGGTTTGAGAATTTAAGATTCTTTATCTAAAATGATTTTCAATTAAGTTAAAGTCGAGAATAACATTGCAATGTACACAGGCATAATAGTTTCTATTTTCAAGTTACTATAGAAAGGCAGTTGGGAGAGTTCTGACAGCAAGATGGGTATTTGCTTGACTGGGGGGATTTCTGCCCGATATTCGTTACTGCCCTTCAAACAGTTACTGATTACTTTGTCAGATGTGCTTGTGTTGAAAATTATTGAGATGCTGAAATCTGTTGTGTTGTGCCTGTTGGAATGAGATCATATTTGGATGTCAGGTCAGGATTTCTTCTCAATAATAAAGTTTAAATACTAATTCATGTAATGCTGAGACAAAATTTCTTTTGAGATTGCTTGGATGGGGTGTTCTCACATCTTTTCATCAAAATGGCAGTGATCTAAATGAATTACGTGCATTTGGGTGATCCTTTTGCGCTCTTTTTAGAAATGAGACAAGACGTTGATAGCATGATGATGTGGGAAAGTGTCACTTTTCTTTTACTAATGTGCTAAAATATACTTATTGCTCTACAGATGGCAGAACAGTTCAGTCCTGTAACAGAGACAAATGGTAATTAGGAAACCCAAGAAAGGAATAATTTGGATAGTGTTCTGTGTCAGTGATAAGTATTCCAAGCAAGCTAAATGCACTTGAAATACAGACAAAGGCTAGAGCCTTAATCAGTCTTGAAAGGTGAGATGGTTGATTTGAGGCAGTAGAAACACTCAGGTAACCCCAGGCGTGGCCGTGCAGCTCGAGTTGTGTGGCAGGAGCCAGCGCACAGAGCTGAGCAGCTGCTGCTGCCTGGGTTGCACAGTACAGAGCTGTGCTGCAGCTGGGCACACCTGCTGTGTGCTGTGAGAGGTGATGCACCACTTGCTATTGTTCTTGCTGGCCCTTCAGCTTTCCAGCTAGTGGCATTTTGGTTGTGTTCCCAGGAAGGCTCATAGCAGTGGGTGTTGTATGAGCTGTATGGTATCCCAGTGGAATTGGGTTGGTCTGTCCCTGTTGGGAAGGCTTGAGGTGTTCTTGCCTTTTCCCCAGAATCTTTTTATGACTGATGAATTTACTAAATTATCTTAATGATGCTTATTTAATGCATTCCAGCTCAGCTCCATATTTTGTCTTGTTGAATATCTTGGCCAATAGCAGGTATATTTCAAAACTTTTTTTTTTTACATGCTTATGCTTTTGTTGGGGGTCTTCTGTTGAGGGATAATTAGACAATTAGACAATTTCTTTGTCTAATTGGACAATTTGTCCTTTGTCAATTTGGACAATTTTCTTAATTAGACAATTAGATGAATACTGGAGCTCTAACAATATTGATGGACACAGTAATAGAGAGTTTTGAATTACCTCAATAATGTTCTTTATAAATAAATTTTATTCTACTTTGATTATTTAAAAATTATAAATATTAGCAGTGACAATTATAATTTTGGTTTTGTTTCGTTTTCAGTTTGTTACTTCCTAACTTGCATCAGATAAAGGGCTAAAAAAACAGCTAAATATTTCACTGAATAAACTCTTCTAAATAGTATAAGATAAGAATTGTCAGTATACGATGCCAAATTCTGGCAAATCACAGTACTTGTACATGTTATTCAAATGTGGATTAATGAAAGAAAGTGAATTATTTAAATATTATTAAAAGCAATGAAAAATTCAATAAGCAGAAATGTTTTATACGTAGGACTAAAAATGTGCCAGAGCTTAATTTCTCTGTTAACATAATGGAGCATTAACTTAAATGATACTGACAGTGTCAGCGCCTTTAACTGTTACTCTTGATGTGGTTTCCTATTATATTGGGAACAAAAAGAAACAAAAAGGCTTAAAAGTGTCAGCAAAAGCACACTTTAACCAGTACAGGTAGTAAAAGTGAGTGCAAATTCCAAAATATAAGAAGAAACATTTTGTGGCATGTATTGTTTTGTATGTAAGACTTAATATCTAGGCATTCTTGTGCAGTAATGATTTGTTAAGTGTGATGAAGGTATGACCAATATTGACATTTCAGTGATCTGACCCAGCCCTGGCTGGCTGCAATCCTTATGGAAAGCCGAGTAAATCCATCTTCTTGTTTTCAGTACCCTTGTCCAATGCACATGCCTTGCATCTGAAAATGTCTTTAACCAATAGTCTCAAGTTACCCAAAGGGAATAGCAAACAAAAGAGGTTTTCCACATCAGTGAGCTCTGAAGGGACAGAGGTACAGAGCTCTGTGCCCATAAAGGAGAAATGTTTTGAGAGTCTGAAGGAGAAAATATTAAAGAACGTGATTGAGAAGGACAAGGATTCAGAAGTTGGTAAACTATAATACTTTTTGTTTCCAGTGCTTTAGACAATAAAAATAATTGTAAAATGACATTAAAAATACTTATGTTGTTTGTATGTTTCTTATCGTTGTGTGCTGTTAGGATTTTTTACAGTCTAATGACTTTTACAAGAAATTAGGTCATCAGCCAGACATTGGCCTTATGTGATATATTCTTCAATTTGCAGGTGCAGCTAGAATGGAAAGAAAAGGAAAACTGGAAGAGAAAAGTTCTTCAACATATGGTATGTAGAGAGCAATATAATTTTTATGAAAAAAAGAAAAATTCTCTAACACTTCCTGTCTCTGAAGAGCAAATGTAAAAGCAGAGAAGATTTCTTGGGCCCAGCTGCACTTTTTGTTTGTTAAGGACTTAAAAAAGACTCTTTATGTATATGACAGGTTTGTAACAGAAGATAAAATGAAGGTGCCCATAGCAAGGAGTTTGAAGGATCCTAAAGTACCTATAAGAGGCCCACTGCTTCTGGATTTTCATTTGACTAGATTTCTTTTTTAGGAGAATGTGTAATACTGGCTATTTCATTGTACTTTCAGATTTGAGATGGGAGGAGCAAACAAGGATTACTAGCAACGCATTTGTCAATTTGTGAAATAAAATACAGATTAAGAGGACTCTGTTTTTATCCTGTCTTCAAAATAAAATAAATTATTAGAGACTGGCTAGAATTCAGAAGTGATTCTAGCTTTTTTCCCAGGAGTAAAGGTTTTATCTCTGTATTCCCCAAGAAGATACGACTGCTCCAATTTCTGTGCAGGAAAAAATCCTGGCTTTGAGGCCTATTTTTTGTAGCAAGTCAATTTCCTTGTTTTTTGTCTAACTGCTGATAACTTAAGAAATTATTGTGGAGCTAAAATGTGGGATGTACTTTGTCTGGGGAGAATTAACAGGATAAAAAGAATTTTTCAGAGTCAAAGTGCTTGTTCTCGTGTGTGGACAGTGCCAACAGTGGTTAGAAGTGAACTGCAGCGTAAAAAAGTATGTCAAATTCCAGTCAGAATCAGTTTTCTGTGAGGATGCCACTGTATAGTGCACAGTGCTGACAGCAGCAGCAGATTGGTGATACTGAATTTCCTCCAAATGTCTTTCTGTAGGCCTAATAGTGTTTCTAGAACAATGTAACCTTTATAACTGGGAATTTTGCACTTATGAAAGCTTTTTCTCTTGCTCAAATATTTTTTTTATAAACTGTAAGTAAAATAGAAGTTATAAGTTATTTATGTAATGTTATGTATTTTGTGTATTTTGCTGTATTTTTTCTGCATTGATATCTTACTTGGAAATACTTATAATGATAAAATATTTGTCAAATGAGATTTTTTTTAAAACTATCATACCAGCAATTAATAAGAGGTGTGTCCAAGATAACAAATAAATTAACTGAATTATTTTGATCTGACTAGACTAGAGCATTTGATTTTGAGTACCTTGTTTAGGTTAAGCTACTTTAAATTGTTTAATTTTTATTGCAGGTAAAAAGAAAGAAAAAGAAAAGGAGAAAAAGGAGAAGAAGGAAAAAGATCATAAACCAAAACAGAAAAAGAAGAAGAAAAAAAAGAAGAAATCAAAACAGCATGGTAAGTTGAATTTAGAATTTTTTAAAGTAAGTAAAACCACTCAGAGTATTTCTAGCACTAGATAGTAAAACTTGTTTGTAAACAATATGAATGTGAAATGTCCAAGAGTAACTTTTTGCCTTAAATATGAAAGGACACTTGGGACTTCTTTTTTCTTGCATTTATAGCCTGTCTCTCTCTATGTGATAGACACACATATTTCACAGATGTTTCTTCTTCCTCAGAAAGATATGCTTGTTGTTTTCATCTCTTTAAAATAATTTGAAACTCTGTATGTATGTCATAGCTATTTTGCTTGGACATTAAAATTATTGTAGTGTTTGTTGCTGCATTTCAGTGATTTGTTGTATGCAGTGCACTCCCTCTTTAACAGTTACTCATTCACAGCTGAGGTTGGTGTCTCTGTTATAACAGCCTTGTCTGTTGCCGTGACAAATGGGGTTTATATTTTACAGATTATGTGTTTCTCTGTCCAAAATTTGTGCTACAACATGAAAATGCTTCCAGATCATGCAGTGCTTTAGTGTCAATTGTGGGTTTTGTGTACTTCATCTTTATACTGGAATAATATAATTTTAAGCTATAAACTTCAATTGCTTATTTTACTTAAATATCATTGGGAGCTTCTTAACTCGCACTGAGAAGGCATCTAGGTGTTTGCAAGAAGATACTGATGAATGCTAGGTATGTGCTCGGTATTGTTCTTTGGTTTTATCTTCTTGTAGTCATAAGGTGATTTGTTGTGGGCTGGGTTTTGTGGGTTGTTTTGTTTTGTTTGTTGTTTTTTTGGTTTTTTTCATCTTTTTATTCCTTTTTGCCAGTCTCGAAACTTAATAGCTTGGCAGAGGTACCATAATTAGATTCCATTTTCTAGGAGCCTTATCCAGTGTTTCTAAATATGAGAAGAAAACATGCCAAATGCCTCAACAAATAGAAATCTTAAATCCACATGCAAAAAGCAGTTTTATTCTTTGCAAATTCATTGTGTGAAAATCTGGGTTTAACAGTACAGAGGTATTAAATTTGGACTGTCTTTAACTGGAGAAAAATTTAAAATACTCCAGTAGATTCTGACTCCAGTGTCTGACCCTGAAAACCCCATCTGTCATAAGAAACAGGACTCTCTCCAGGACTTTATCACTCCATTCTAGTGTGGTGTGGACAGAAGTGTAAGTGTGTGAGGCATGATCCTTTTGTTTGAAATGAAATTGAGGTATCTTGGGCATAAAAAGGGTACAGGTACACTGTCTGCCCCAGGTAAGTTTTGAACAAGGCTTTGAGGCAAAACAAAAAACCCCAGCAAAGACTGGTTTTGTGCTCTGAGTGTGCGTGTGACTTACTGATTGTATAAAACCCATGTGTAGCAGAAAGTAGGCAATGCCTGTTATTTATGCTGCTCTGTTGCAGTGAGGCTGAAAGCCATGCAGCATGAAGTAATCAACTCAGCTGCTCCTTGTGGATACACTTGGGAAGTGCTGGAGATGGTGTGCTTTGGACAGAGACAGTAAAGAGGAAAGTGGCTTCATGGAAGGTGATCTAGGGGAGAAGGATATTATAGAACCCATAGCAGGAAAACTCTAGTGACAGGTGGGAGCAGGAATGCTTCCTAGTGAAGGATGAAAGTGTAGTAGTCTGATTACTTGCTTATATTTGAAGTACTAATTTTTAAGAGTAGCAAATGGGTAGCTACTTGTAATTCCTGATTGAAGCCATGGGCATAATCCGGTGCGTCCAGAGGAAGGCCGTGATGATGATCAGAGGGCTGGAGCACCTCCCCTATGATAAGAGGCTGAGAGCCTGTTTTAGGCTCTCTTATACAAAAGAGAATGCTGGGAAAAGACCTTATAGCAGAAAGGATTGGGAGGGACTCCTTAACTGGGGTTGTAATGATAGGGCAAGTGGTAGCAGTTTTAAACTGAAGGAAGGTAGATCTAGATTAGATTAGATAGTCAGAAGAAATTATTTTCTCTGGGGCTGGTGAGCCACTGGAATGGGTTGCCCAGAGAAGTTGTGGATGTCCCATCCTGGGAAAATGTTGAAGACCAGGCTGGATGTCCCTCTGAAATACCTGGTCTACTGGAAGTGCAGGGGAACAGGATGATCTTTGAGGTCCCTTCCACCTTAACTTCAACGATTTGCAACTACTTGACTCTCCTAGGACAGTCTCTTCAGTTATTATGATTAGGGAAAGGCTTGCAAGTGTTTTTCTTGAGACTGTTGCAAATAGCTTGTTGGGGGAAAAGATACAATGCTGATTGTAAAGATAAATGTCAGTACCACTGTATGACCAGCAGGCAGAAGCACACGATGTTGTCTGTGCTTGGGTGTGTGCTATAACAGCCTCATCCTGCTCCTGTCTCTGGCTGAGCAAGAAGATAGTACAGAGATGTGTAAGTTCAGTGGGGATTTCTGCAGCAGCTGGGCTCAGACACTGTCTGCCCAGACAGCTCCTCTGGATCCCAGTCTTTCCAATTTCTGCGCCTGCAGATATGAGCTTATGAGGCAGCAGCCCAACTGCAGTACAGACAGTCTCACTTCCATGTGCATTCTCATACATTCCCAGTGTTGTCTAGGACTCCCTGGGTCCCCAGAGCCCCCCACCCCAGCTCTCCTGCTTAGAGAGTCACTTCCACCCAGAGCTGGCCCTTACAGACTGACCCACTGACCCATTGCTCCCAGGCCATTTCACCTGCTCATCAGCTGGTCCAGCTTGATCCATGCAAGCAATCAGACACTTGGACTGGCTGCAGGTGCTGTAGCATGAGCTTATGGGTCTCTGTGACCAGAGAGGCCTGGCATGGGGCTGGCACTGTTGTCACTGCAGTCTCTCTGTGTGCTGGCACCACAGACCCTTTGACCAGCAGTGCTACTCCATTTTGTGGCACACAGACCATGTTCTTGAACCCTGAATTGAGAGCCCCTTCCCCAGGTGACAGATGGAAATGAGATGTAATAAAAATTACAGAATAGTTGAGGTTGGAAGAGACCTCTGGAGGTGCAGTGGTCCCACCCCCTTGGAGGGACACTTAAAACCTCTGCCAGAAGAGATGGGATGCAGGGCATGGCCAGGCAAGTGTAGTGACCACAAAACTTTATGAATATGTGGCTTTTTTCATCCTGTTATTCCCATTTTCTCCCCATAATTATCCTTCCCCAAATCACTTCAGTTCATCCATTTTCCCCACCTTTATTTTCTTCCCTAAACATTTCATAGTAAGTCATTTGCAAACCCAAATTTTTCCCCACATCCCATAGTGCCCTCCACTGGCAGCCCCCTGGGCTGCAACTGCCCTTAGTCCAAAAGATGATCCAGAAAGCTGCTGTGGGTAGCACACCCTAATGGGTTTCATTCATGGATAATGGAAGTGATGGCACTGCTGGGAAAGTCTGAGAAGGACTTGGCCAGGGGCTGTTTGTTGTTTGCCTGCTTATCCTCTTCCTTTGGGCTTGTGTATGTGTACTCTCCTGGGATGCTCCCTAGCCCATCCCAGGACCTGTTGGCCCATTAATGTCTCATGGGATGGTCCTGGGAACATCCAAAGAAAATTTCCTTTGGGCTCCCTGTGCTCCTCTGCAGGGGTGCAGACAAGCTTTTGTCATTTAAACTGACAGGGTCATCTGTGTTTGCTTCTAGGTAGCAATGCTGGTAGTGCTGCAAGCAGACTTAAGGCAAAAGAGAGAGTCACCAGCAGCATCTCTAAGGATAGCAGAAGGTGCAGGATGAATTGTGGAAAAAAGAAGACTGCATAATATTCTAGGAAAAGTTACCCCTCTGTACATTCAGAGATGGGGGAGTTAACAATTGGTGATGCTTACCTATCAAACTTGATTATGTTTCTTACTGGAAATTTTTAAATAAAATGTTTCAAAGAGCTTTTGCCATTTCTTATTTACAGTTTCATCATCCTGATACCTCAGCGTTGATATTCTTTGCTTGTCAACATAATGCTGCAGTAAAATCTATATACAATTTTTTTGGTTTTGTTTTGTTTTTTGCATTTGTTATAAATTTTGCTTTGTAAAAGTGACTTCTTTTCTTTTAATTTTTCAGATTATTCAGATTATGAAGACAGTTCTGTTGAATTCCTGGACAGGTGCTCCTCTCCCTTAACGCGGTCCTCAGGCAGCTCTCTGACGTTGCGCAGTATGTTCTCAGAGAAGAACACTTCATACCAGTATCCAAGAGCTATCCTGTCTGTTGACCTTAGTGGAGAAAGTAGGTTGAATGAACAGCAAATTTCAGTTTATAGGTTTAATTTTTCAAGGAAGAGAATTTTAAAGGAAATAATGTGGTTTATGTTTGGGATGGTAGCTATAAATATGATGACTGATTTTATCCTCCATCTATTAAAATTAAAATGCTTACACCCCTCAAGCTGTTCTACAATGTATGGCTTTGGTTAAGTGTTGCTACTCTGCATCTGAGGAGAGCACGTCAAAGGCACTTAGCAGAATTCATCTTGAAATCTCATATACCAGGAGTGTGTTTGAGAGCAATTTTTTTGCTAATGCAGATTAAGATTTTTACCTGTCAAAACTCCCTGTATTTCTTTGAATTATTGTGTCTCTCCACACACAGTTTCACATGTCCTTATTTCTATTAGACCTTTCAGATGTGGAGTTCTTGGATGATTCTTCCACAGAGAGTTTGTTACTTAGTGGTGATGAATACAATCAGGATTTTGATTCAACTAACTTTGAAGAGTCTCAGGATGAAGATGATGCTATCAATGAAATTGTTAGATGCATTTGTGAACTTGATGAAGAAAATGGCTTTATGATTCAGGTAAAGAAGATTGGTGTGTGGAGTTGTATTTTCCATGTGAATGTTTTGCTTGTGAAGGTGCCCTTTTGATGTGTCACAGACTTGAATTATGTAGAGAGCTGTACGTAAGTGAACAAGAACTAAGTGGATGCAGAGCTGTTTCTCTAGGATGGGGTTTCTCTAGCAATTTGATATGTAGGACAAATTGCTAGGTAACCCTTTTCTTTATAGCCAGCTGATAAATTTGGAATAAAGTATCCTCTTCCACACACAAACTATTGCTTCAGACCATCCTGATTATATGAGCCATCCTGGCTTGGCCCTTGTGCTTTGCAGTAGCACTTGTAGAAACCTCTCTGCTGACTGTAAATGTCCCTCCTCTGCGTGCAGCATGTCTCCTGTGCAGACACTGAATATTGTCAGTACTGTGGTGTGTATTTCATCTTTAGAATAGCACTTCTCACACTGGATATCACTACCAGCTTTTAGAAACTGCTGAGAATGTACATCTTAACTTGGTATAGATAAAAGGGAAGAAGAGTATGCCATGTCTGCACAGCATTCAGGTGTTGATGGATTGCAGCTCCTGCTTATTTGTACTCCAATGAGGAGAGCATTTCCCATCCACGAGCAATTCCAAGTCTTTTTTTTCAAGCAATTTATAATGCAGTGATTAAATCAAATACAAAAAGCAGTAAGGAAGAACTCAGTTGTCAGCAACGTTAAAAAGGTCATGAACCTCCTGTGTTTCCTATCCCCATTCAAAATCAGGTTTGTATTCAACTACTTCTGTGGTACAGTTCCTGTTGATAGTATGGAGCCTTTATTGAGATTTAAGGGAAACAAGTAGCGCTGTCATGTGTTAGTGGACTTACTCTTCTGGACCTGGCAGAGCCCTGGAAATGAAGGGCACACGGGCTGTCTCAGGGAGCAGACTAAGATGCAGTGCTGTGTTGGAGAAACTGAGCAGGAGCTCAGCTGTGGTAACAATGTGGAAAAATGGACTGGTTTAACAATCTTTGGAGACAGGAGGGGACACCGTAGCTGTATTGACAGGAGGAAAGGTGACTTCCCTGTTTTGAACAGGTTGATGCTCAAAGGCATGTCAAAGAGGAGAGATTTTCAGCAGTGAGCTAACAGATGTTTAAAACACTGGCAAGCACAGAGTTGAGAAAGGGAAATATCTTTATAAGAGGTAGTTTCCTGCCTGCTTTTGAAGTCCAGTGGCAGCCTGATTTTTCCTCTTCATGCTTGTCTCACTGAGAGCAACCAGTTTGCTGTTTCTAGGCTCTCATGTCTTACCACTTCTATTTTACTCTCCTATTCTCTTGTTTCTCCTCTTTCATTTTCTCTTAATTTTCTTTTTCTTTTAGATTTTCCATTGGTGCGATATTAAAAGCACATCTTTCTAGCGCACTGGAGAGATGCTTTGTAAATATAAATAATTAAACTGAAGAGTTTTCTACTTTTCACTGTTATGCTGTAATGTATTACATTATCTTTCTACTTTACTATAATATTATACTCCTGTCTTATGTTTCGCTACTAAATATGTAGGTGCTAAAATACTGAATGTTGTAATAAAATGCTATATGATATTACATCTTCAGTTTCTTTTTTTTTTTTTTTTTTCCAGTCTGGAGTTTGTGGTTGAGGTAACTTTCAGATCTAGAGCTCTTTTTTTAACTTGATGTCTTTGTCTACCCAAATACAAATTGCCCAACTAAAATATTCTTGCTCAAACCAGCTATTTAAATTCAAGTGCTGTTCTCTGCATTTTGATGATACAAGAAGTAGCATCTGAGTTTTTGCACCTACTTGTCTCAGTTTTAGTTTTTGCTTTTATTGTTTTTTTTTTCTGACATCAGTGTGAAGAATGCTTGTGTTGGCAGCACAGTGTATGCATGGGACTGTTGGAGGACAGCATTCCAGAGCAGTACATCTGTTACATCTGCAGAGATCCACCAGGTACGGATAAACCACCTTTATCTGCAGCCTTGCTTGGGATTTTTGAGCAGAGATGTTACGAATTTTCTTAAATTGTTCAAGCTTTGTCTGTTTTGTGTTACGTGTGACACTTCTTTGGGGCAAGTGATTCTAAGTTTGGCTCTGAGCAGAAACTTCTTAGTTAGTAACATCATGGTCAGTTACGCTAAATCTTATCCATGAGCTTAGTTACCATAGCTTTACTTGTTGAAACTTAATTCTCCCCAAACCTTAGAACTTCACGTCAGTGTAGTCTGAAAAGCCTTTCTAAAGAAGTAATTTTTGTTCAGGGATCTATTCTGCCAATACTTGGAATCAAAATTTGTTAATTTAAATAATTTCTTTGAGGAAAAGGACTTTGTACTGCAGTACACTCAAACATGCTGTGAATGGCATTTCATAGTAATTGCAATTTTATATTGTTTATGTTTGCCCAGAACTTTGTAAAAGTGTGGAACTGAATATTTAAAATATGGGAAAATCTAGCACATCTTATAGTAAACAATAGTGCACAAACAGCATATGTTGAACTTCAGATAGGTCAAATTTGTAAGAACTAGGAAAACTATTTACTTTCCAACTGAATACATTTGATTAGGAAGATGCTGATTTAAAAATTATTCTGTGATAAATCCGTTTTTCTTAATAGTTATTTGGAGAAAAACAAAAGAATTTGGAAGTAAGTTTTTTGTGTTTTGTTCTGACAATTGATACAAATTCACATAGCTGTCTTCTGGTGAAATATCCAGCACTCCAGCTGTTTCAAAAGGGCAGTGAGACTACAACCTCAAATTTACTTCCATTCTAAGTCTAAAAAGTGAAATATGTAAATTGTTCTCAGAGTTTTTAATAGCTATTTTTGAGATGACATATTAGAAAAATAGAGCTTTTTCCATATGCCCCAGTGTGAATCAAAACTGGTGGTAGAGAGTCTTGTTTGATAGTTCTGTGTGGTGTCTCTTTGAGCAGCCCAGCTTTTTCTTACTAAACCCAGCTAATTTGTCTTGTGCTCTTTCCCTGCACTGTATTAGGTACTTCGTTTTCCCCTGCTATGCAGAGTCTGTGTCCCTAATTTTTATCTTCTCTCCCTTCCTAACCATTACTTCTTTTCTTTCTATGTCAGGAGAAAAAAGTCATTCTCAATGTCAGTATTTTAAAGTGTATTGGGATAATGGGCAAAAAGGAGATAGACAGGGTATTCTCCTGAAAGGTATGAAGGGCTTCCATCAACCTGTTCTTTGTTCTGTCTATGATAGTATGATTTGAAATCGAGTGTAAGATATTGCCGTCAGTCTGTCTGGGTGCCTTGTTGTAAACAATAACATTGCAATAATTAGCATTATGTATTTCTAGTTTTGGGTGGGTGTTTTGGTTTTATTTAGTTATGGGGCTTTTTGTTTGTTTGGGTTTTTTAGTAGTTATTTAGCTACTGTAGAAGCTCTAGCTAAACAGTGAGGCCCACATACATCAATACCCTCCCTAGAAGTCTGATGAAAGGCACCTCAAAGGGGAGTGTAAGAGCTCTGCTGTCAGATAACTTTGAAATACCTGCTTTTCCTGAAGCCTTTTCCTGGCTTCTAATAAATAGATATTGACTTCAGTATTGAAGCAAGACATTTGTCTTTTAGAAACAAACTGGGGGTTTTGGATATGTCCGTATAAAATCCACTCTCTAACGTTTCTCTTGGCAACTTAGGCTTTCTTTTTTTAAAAAAGATATAGTAAGTTGCAGTACTTAGATAAATAAAATGCCAATGTAAACTTTTTTTTTGGTGGCTATTTTTTATTTTGGTAACAGCATAGATCTTAATATCATATAGCTTGATTGCAAAGCTGATTAGATTTTAATTTCAAATGCTGTTTAGAAGGTATTGAGGTTTCAGGCTTATTTTTTTTCTCATAAGTTTTAAGACTTTATTCTTAATCCACAAAAATTAATTTCTTACATATTAATAGCAAAATCTTGAGTCATCCTTTCATGGATGTTAGATATTTAGACAAGTACAGCACATAATTATAGCACTCTAGTTGTAAATATAATTCTGGTGTGGCTCAATTTGTTTATTGCTTACCCCAGGACAGAGGTGGAGTGCCAAATATCTCTATGACAAAGACTGGCTAAACAACGGACACATGTGTGGATTATCATTTCTGAAAGAGAACTACTCTCATCTTAATGCCAAAAAGATTGTGTCAACACATCACCTACTGGCAGATGTTTATGGGGTAACTGAAATACTGCATGGATTGCAGCTGAAGATTGGCATACTGAAGTATGTATCACTCCAGGGTTTATTTTCCAGCTTTATATATTCAAGTAGAAGAGACTACCATTATTCTATATGCATTTTTCCCTCACGTTGAACTTCTTTCTTGTATAATATTTTAAATAATTCAAGTGCAAGATGTGCAGTACCCTCAGCTTCAGCAGGAGCTAGGTGTTCAGCACACAAGCAGGTCTGGTCTAGTGGGATTATTGGTGAATTTTTTTGTAAATTTTGTGTTAAAGGGACATTCTAGATTTATCTTAAATTGATGAATGACCTAAGAATACTTCCTGTTTGATAATCATGCTTATCAGTAGCTAAGATCTAGGAGAATTGAATGCTTAAAAATAGTGTTATCCATAACTTGCTTTTTTTCCTCCTCTTCATTGCAGAAATAAGCATCACCCAGACCTTCATCTCTGGGCTTATTCAGGGATGAGAAAAGAACAAGAACAAAGAACTGGTGGGGTAGAGAAAAAGTTAGTGACTTTACAGGACTCTGTTAATCCAGCTGAAAGGACGTGTCATAGTCAAAACCATAAAGAGCCACCCAGTATACCCCAGAAGATGGAAGAAACCTATATCACAAGTGAGCACAGTTACCAAAAACCACAGAGTTTTAGCCATAACTACAAAGCAGTCACTGACCCTATGAGCTCAGATGATGAAGACACAAGTAGCTTTGAGGAAGATCAGGAATATCACACAGAGAATAAAAACTGTTTACAGTATTCTTTTAGAGATGGTGGCATGAATGAGCAGGTAAGTATCATTCTTCATCTGGGAAATTTTATTTGGAAAAGTATGTTTGTTCTGATAAAGTTGAAGTACCTATAGGTATTTAGAAATGTTTATTGCTGTAAGTCAACATATTTATCAAATAAGTCAGCAGAAATCACTAGAAGCAAACTTGGATCACTGAAATTGTTCCAGGTGAAGTATGTTCATTTCAGTTGGTGTATGAAATACAAGGTATAGTTTAAGGTATTGCCTATGCTAAACATTTATTTTCAATCTAATGTTTTGAGAGAAAAGAAACCTTATTCGTAAAATTCAGGGTCTTGGAATAGAACTTACATGGTTTTTATAAGGTGAGGAAAATGGGACATGTTTCTTTTTTTCTCTCAGTTTGGTTTTCTACATGTGTTAGGGGGTTTTTGTTGTTTGTTGTACTAAGGTTTTTTCAATAGTGTTTGTTATTGTATTGTATTCTTTTTTTTTAATAGCAGTGCTACCTAGAATGCCATCCACAAGTAATGATTTACTGACCAACTAATTTCTCCTCATGTTCAACTGCTTTTCAGTCTTCTATATTGCATATTTATTCTAATGAAACATTTTTAGTCAGGATTATATTTTGCTGTTTAAACATCTCTTTCTCATTTTGACATTAATGGTTTGAATCCATTATTTGGTGGAAAAGGTCTGAAACTTGTTAATCTGGTTTTAGTGAACAGTTCTCTGAGCAAAAACCAAAGAGAACCAAACCTTTCTGTTTTCTACAACACCAGCTGTATGAGGATAAATCGTCCAACTCATCCCCCTTTTGAAGTACAGTTTCTGGTGTGGAAGAAATGAGTATGATACATCTTATTTCTTTTTAATTTTAGTTCTAAATGTGGCATGTAAGCTGTATAGTCTGAATGGGGAATTTTTGGCTCATTCTAATTAAAAATACATGTTTCTATGCTAAATTTACTACATTGCACAACTGTATTTGGGTTTATAGTAAGGAGAAATTCAGCAGTGTCAAATACTCTTGCCTTCCAACAGTAGTTTAACTGTATAAATAGTATAAAGATATTTAGAATTAAAGGAAAATATGCATGAGCAGTTAAATAAACTAATATTTTCTTCAGAGATTCAAGCATATATCTGAAAAGCTAGGTGCCCTCTGTTTGACACTGTCCCAAACAGATCTCTTCTTGGTTTAAGTGTTCTTTCCTTTGGGGACACATTGATCACCTGCCACCTTTTTGATACCAAAATAAGGCCTTCTGCCTATACATGATAGGCATGGGAAAATTCTCCTTGGTTTCTCCATGAACATGTTTGCACTTACCTTAAAACTGACATTGAAAGACCATTTTTAAATGATCTGACTTCTCTCCAAGATGCCTTTTCTTCTCTCCTTGTCAAAGTTTGGTTGGAGCTTTGAATTTTCCTTTCTAGCATTCTTCAGAGCCTTTTAATATTCTGATTTTTCCATACTATTTTGTTTTACCCTAATCTGCAGTTCTGTTACATCCATTTCTCTTACAAACAGTATTTGGATTAACTGTTATCAAGTCCCCTTTTGGGCTATGCATTATCTTTAAAATTATATTTAGTTTCCTTGGTTTTGCTTCAGAAAGCACAAGTGTTCCTCACCTGAATATCCTGTTATTTCTTGTCCACAAGCTGTATCCTTAACTCTTCTCCTGCCATCATTTCCTGATTACCTACACTGATCTCAGAGGAGAACCTATTGGATTTTGTGGATTCTTTCCAAGGAGCCAATTGAATATAGAGGTCATTAGATGAAGGAAAAAAAAAACCAAACAAACAAAGAAACTATGATGTTATTTAGATATTTAGTTACTTACCTTTGAAATTTTCTGTAACTTACTGAAACAGGCTGAAAGACAATTTTGGTTTTAGAATTATAGAGCTGGATCCTTTTACAGCAAGGGAAAAGTGGCGTTCCTATGGTATTAGAGAGGGTCTGAAAATAGTAAGGAATAGATATTTTATTTATATTGGGAATATTTTCCATAAGATTACTAACAGTTTGATTACTGAAAACACTGTGGAAGCAAACCTGATGTCTTCAGAGAAGGGATTTTAAATATCATAAAAGCATCAAAACTCTCATACCTTTCAAATCTATCTCTGATACATAATTTTAACTCCTTTAGTGAACGTTATGAATATTAACAATGCTTTTCCCATCTGAATTGCTAATAAAGCTGTCTGCAGGTCAGTCAGAGTTTTATTTGTTTGGTTGGTGTTTTTTAATTGATTTTAAGTCTTAAAATGAAATTTGGATTTTTTTGCTTAAGTGCTTAAGCTTAGAATCCATCAGTTCCTATGTTGTTCCTTACCTATCTTCTCACTCTTCTCACCCTTCCTATACTTTACTGGTGAAAAATATTTTAATAATAGACCTAACACCATTTTTTTCTTATGTGGTGTGGAAAATCAGCTGAGCTCTTCAGAGAAGTGTTTTAAAGTTATTCTTTGCTGTGGCATTTGACATGAACTGACACAGTGTGAGCACATGTATCTGGCATTCTAGTCCTTAAAATAAAATTCAGTAGTTAAAGAACTTAATTGAATATGAAGTCATACTGGATATAAAATGGAAGCTGTTAATCCTGCTAATTACTGGAGATGCTGAGCATTTTTAACTCATTAAATATGATCTCCTTCCACTTTTTAGCTGAAACATCAGCTTTAGAAAGATTAGGAGCTCATGTATTATCTCTGGCATGCTGTGAAGGTGCTAGTTTTATTGAAGAAGTTAATCTTCCTCAGATACTATGTTAGAGTAACTCCACATGTTACTGTAACTGTCCCCAAACAAGTTCAGTTCTGCCCCAAACTTGTTCTTGGAAGATAGGTGGTCATAGGGGTCATAGGAGGTAGATAGGAACAGCAAGTTTTTTGTCTTAATCAGCAAACAGAACAGATTGTCCAAGGAGGGTATGGAGTCTCTCCCTCACTGAAGATACTCCAGAACCACCTGGACACAATCCTGTGCCATGTGCTCTGGGATGGCCCTGCTTGAGCAGGGAGCTTGGACCACGTGATCATCTTTGGTCCCTTCCAACCCGACCCATCCTGGGATTCTGTGAAATAGGATCTCCAGCTTATTTGTGCAAAATAGTGATTGTTGACATGTTAGATACTTCTCCATTGTAGAGAGCTTTTCATGGGAACAAACATTAGGATTTTGCACATTTTTGGTGGCAGTAGATCCATGCAGTTCAGCACTTTGTAATTTAAGTTACTATTTATATAAAAAGGGTACAGAAGTACAATATGTCTTACTGCATTGAACAAAGTATTTGAGCTGATAAACTTCAGTGTTGGGGAAATGAAGCAAAAGGTATAGATGCTTATTTATGTGGAATCTGCATTTTGTTTTAGTCTATTGATGTGGCATGGTATGTGGCTTTCTGAGTAAATTTTTTGTCATGTATACAAAAGTACAATTCTAAGCCAGCAGAGTATATCATGTGACTCAAATGTTGAAATCAACACCAGAAATTAAAACAAAGCAAATAAAAATCTTAAATGGCAATTTTTTTCTTTCTGTTGCTCCTATGAAGAATTCTGCAGAAGGAAACACTGTGTTTGTTTGTAATGAAAGAAAAGGCTCAGAAGAACAAGTGGACACACATCTTCAATGGCAGCTAAATCTCCTCACCCATATAGAGAATGTACAGAATGAAGTCACCAGCAGAATGGACCTGATTGAAAAAGAAGTTGATGGTAACTGCATTGCCACATTGCTTATGAATGTACCCGTAGCAGCATCTCTTATAACTAATGTGTTCAAAGTGATCTGAGGCACTGACAATGGGCATTTAAGTATTCTAATGTTCAAATTTGGGTCCTAGAATTATAAGCAGGGCTTTTATCCTTGATTTTCCCACCCCCTTCCACAAGTTTTCAATGCCCAATAAATTAGATTAAGCACTCAGAGCCCCTGAGCTCAGGCTCAGACTTCAGAAAGCTTAGATGACTTGTCTAGTCTTTGTCCAGATATGAATCATAAAGTTGATGGCTTCTTCTATGCCTTGATTAATTTTTGTCTGGTTGTTCTAGTAATTGACAGTATTTAGAGATAAAAATGGTGTTTATTGTGCCTTCAACTGTTTTTTTATTAGTAGTAAGCAAGTGGTTTCATTAAGACAAATCAGTCTTCATGAGAAATCTTGAATGAAATTATATTGTACAAAAATATTGTAACATATAAGTGTCTATGACTTGCCAGTCATATTAACTAATAATTAAGGGAGCTTGTAGTCTAATCATAGGAGTCCTTAATTAATCTTTTAACAAAGTTGTCTTATTTCTATTTGCAGTTTTACTTCCAGTATCCCTGCTTTTCCTAGGCAGTGTTTCTAAACTAACAGGGTTGACCTTTTCCCTTCTCTGTTTCTACAAGCAGAGAAACTCCTTGAAAACATTTGTTAAAGATTGGAAAACCATTCTATAATCTGGACCTTGTCCACAGGAGCCTGTTAAAGTGGCAGAAGCAAGCCTTGTGTCTAAGGGTTGCATTTTCTGTTCCAAAACTGTCAGAGTAGACCATGAATTGAAGTTTCTTTTTTGTATGTAGAGGGTAAATTGTGAGCCAAGGGTAAAATTTACACCCAGATACCTTTTTAGAGCTACAATCAAATCAGAAGATTGGATTGTTCAAGAGAAATATGGAATTAGTTGGTGTTTCCCTAATGAAATTTCTTCTATTGAATAAGGCTCAGTGTATTTTCCCTTTTTATGAAAGACAAAGTAAGAAAGAACAGTTTAATATTTATGGAAACTGTTTCTCAAAGACTTACTCTAATCAACTTCTTCTTTTTCCTTCTGTAGTTTTAGAAAGCTGGCTTGATTTCACTGGAGAACTGGAACCACCAGATCCTCTGGCAAGATTGCCTCAGCTCAAGCGACGTATCAAACAGCTCTTAATTGACATGGGAAAAGTACAGCAAATAGCAACACTTTGCTCTGTATGACAAAAGGAAGAATAAAGAAGTAAAAATAGGTTCTTTACAGTGAATTTTCTTATTAGCCACAAGACTGACAGGAAGACAGCAAAAAGCTGAGCATTTATATGGTTCTTTGCTGATTACATGAATAGCCTGAAGCTTTAGAAAGAAGAGAGGAAGTTTAGAGTCAGGAATCTGTTTTATTGAAAATATGAATATTCAGTGTCCAGGCTTCAAAATTATATATAATATACTGAGAAAAGTAAATTTCTCAGGATTTTAACATGTTAAACAAGTAAATCCCCAGATACAAGAAAATTCAATAAACAAAAAAAACAAAAACTCTTTGAAGAGCAATGCTACTATTTTGGAACCCTTGGCAAATGTTTCTAAATTAGCACAATTCAGCTGACTAAAAATACAATCCTCTTATCTTGCTGGTGAAAGATACAGAGAGAGCTGTATCTTCTTGTCATGGTCTCCCTTTTAAAATATTTTTTTAAATAGAAATCCCTAGAACAGCACCCCTAGGCTCCTTTAAAACAGAAGTGGAAAATAGTGATCAGATGTGCCAAATAGTATTAAAATCACTGGGATGAGAGTTTGATTATGACTTAGGTGAAGGTTTTTTCCAAAGTCCTACTCGGTGCCAGCAGTCCATCCAAAATTGCATCTAGTTTATATTTTTTTATGTTCTATAGCAGTGTTCAGGAATCAAGGTACAATTTTTGTCCTGGGTAGCTCTGTTCTGATGTCGGCCCTCTGAAAATGTCACCATCCTCACTGGGGATGGGGAACGACAAGAGCAGTAAAACTGTCTGTGACTGTGGAAGTTCTAAATACCATTAGAGAAAAAAATCACAAGATACCTTATCCAAGTTGTTTTTATAAAATTTTTCAGCTTCAGTGAATGAAATGTCATGAAACCAAAGGCAACCTACTTGCTCTGTTAGCTGTTGCTGGATTTTGAGCCCAGGACTTTCCCTGTGCTGATAAGTTGCCGCTGTACCCAGTGCTACATCCGTGTCTGTGTGTGTATGTATATGTGTATAGCTACATGTACATATATACATACCATACACATTTCTATCTACACATGTCTAGTTTTATTACCATAGACTACAAGAACTGGTGGTTCGTATTACCTTTTAACAAGCAGTTTCTAAAATTGAAAATAATGTATGTACAGGTTTTGAAATTTGTAAAATATGACTGTTAAAAGGAGGCTATTTAACTGAGGACATTAAGATACTTGAACATTTTATGCCTCATGTCTGTTTATCAGTTCTAGTTATCTGTATAAATGCATTTTAGAACCGATAGACAGTAAACTTGAATTTACCTTTTGATATGAGTACAAGCCACTGTACATTCAAAAATTATTTAAATTTGCAAACACACTGTTCTATATGTAAGGTACTGTATGTAAAACTGTTTATTAAAACTATTCTGCATACTCTACATTTTCCACTTTTCTTCCTGATCTACATACAAATGTAAAAAAAGAAGTGATTGTTATTATGTACAGACCATCAAAAAATCTTGGAATGCCTTTTAAGGATGCATACAACTGAAAAATGTGCCAAAGATGGATTATCTGGGAAAGACTTTGCAACCAGTGCATTGAACTTTCATGATAAAACCATTATTGAGAAAGAAAGCAGCGTGGCTGGTTCATTGCTAAATTAAACCTATCCTGACCTTTCCTCCCTGTCTGTCATACCTGAAGTGAGTTATCACTCCTGATGGCCAAAGCAAAATTTCCCTCTTACAGAGCAGTTGCTATTTAAAGTCTTCCCGCATCAAGCTTGTGATGTATCACATCACAGAGCTGTGTTATAACATGGAATTATGGAATGGTTGTCAACTCCATAATGCAGAAAGAACATTAGAGCTGTGGAGATGTTGACATCTTATAGCAACTGTTAATAAATACTCTGTGTTATATAGTTGATGCTTAAATAACTGCTTCAAACATGAATAGTTGAGTGACCTACTTGCTTTTGGATATGTGAGATGTTTTTATAGACTATTCACTTGCTGCATATCCTTGAATGTGGTACTGTGTGTACTGTATAAGAGAAGTATAAATCCAGATTAATTACTTTGAAACAAAGTGGAGTGTATTTACAGAATTTATACAGCATACACTGTAGCAATATTATGCAATGTGTGTGCATGTGTGTGATGTAATATAATTGTAAATGTTACTGAAGGTGAAGGTGGACTTGGAAAGTTAGTGGGGAGGACAGAGGTTTTATTCTTACTACAGAGATGGAGGAATGGTATCCTGATAAGGAAATCCTAAGGTCAAAGTTGAAGTTGCCCTTGCAGCTTTAATGTGTCTTCTATTTGTATGTATAATGGCCTCTTAATTTACATGAATATGTAATTTTACCCTTCAAGATCCTGCCTTGTTCAGGATGGACTGTGCTTACAAAAACAATCTGTTCAGTATTTTTTTTATGTTCATTGTGTAGTCATGTATTATAAAAATTCCTGCAAGCATTCATATCTTCTAAGAAATACAATCTCGGTGTCCGTACGGACCATGCTATGTATGATACATCGTGTACTGCTTGAATGTTTCACAAACTTATCTGAGTTTGCTTTCTCAAGTCATGGTGCTGGTCTGTAATATGTGGACGTCAGTTTTTGACCCCAGTATCTCAAGTTTTCAAAGGTTTGGGATGCTTTTGAGGTTTTTCTTTTAAACACGAGTCAAGTGCCATAAAAATGCTAAGTGTTTTGCACAGAATGTAACCTAGACTTGATTGCTTTGCTCGTGTGCCAGTCAACCCCAGTGTGATCTGGCTCTTACCAGAATTTCCTCCTAGCTGGCCTTATTGAGAGAATCTTATTCCTGTAGGCATAATTTCCATCTGTCTTCCTGCTTCCTCTCTAAATAAGCCAGGGATGTACAGTCAGTCTATTTGCAACATCATTTATTTGGGTGTGAATTGTGGCTGCATTGTTTGATGGAGAGGACAGACCCTCTCTGAGGAAAAAATAGTAAAAGGCAATGTAAAGACTGTTTGATACGTGTGTACAGAAAGGCAAAATGTTTAAATTTGCAGCATTCTTTCAATGAATAGTTCAATGAGTTCTAAAGAGTAATAGACAAAAGGGAAATGCCATTTTATAGAAGTCTCTTGTGATTTCACAGAGCTAAATGGCAATTTAAATTGCATTGGAGCCTTTGAATGCCCAGCTTTTTGTCTGAGGTTTAGTTGGGGCTTTGTTTGTTTGTTTTTTTAATGGAGGTATCAGGGTGATTTAATTTCAAAGCCTGCTCCTACTTGTGACCATACCGAAGGCATCTACATCAGGAGTTCTGTGTTTCAGTTGCAGTGAAGGCAGGGCAGCAGTACTTCAGTCATAAATGAAATGTAGTGTTGGTGCTGTGGCCTGGTGTGATACGATGGGGCTGCCACGTTCTGGTTACAAAATGGACATATTCAGGTCATGTTGCAGGGAATGGGTTGGAAGATGCTTCCTGTTAACCCTTTTCTTGGGTAGCTGTAGGTCGAATAGTGCCCATATTTTATGTATTCTGGCCTTACATGCATAGATCTTTGTTCAGCTGTGGAGTGGTTTACGGTGGTAGAAGCCTGTTGTTTTCTTTCAAACAGACAAAGAAGATGGGTTGCAATTTTCTGATAGATGTCCTGTATTTGCTGGGTAGCAAAGAATTGAAACTGTTCTTCCATGGATGCAGTAATCTTGTATGGCTGACAGCCACTTGTCTTTCTTAATTTTGTCTCTGAGCTTCTACATGTGCTCATCTGTTCATTTTGCAGTTTGCATCTGTTTCTCCTTTCATTCTTCAGCTTTCTGCACTCTGGCTTATGAGGTACCTGGAGGGTGTAACTCCTCTGTTCTCATACCCAGTTCCTCCTGGCTGCTGTGGGAAGCAGTCATGGGGAAAGGCCTCTTTGACTCTTCTGTCCACAGCCTCCAGAGCATTCTGGGACTTGTGTACAGTTGGAGTGTGTGCATCATAATCAAAATCTCCAGGTGTTTTTGATGCCTTTCTTAAGTAAGCCTCTTCTGTCTTATGCAATTGGTGATCTTCCTCTACTCCCATCTGGCTTCTAACTTAACTAGACCTGAATTAATGTTACAGCAAAACCCCTCTGGCACCGTTGGGCTCCAGCACTGCTTACCAAACTGAGGCTTGGGATGCAAAGGAGTCATTCACACATTACAGTAAAATTATAAAAGTATTTGATGTTGTAAACCACACTATTTTTCTTTTGCATTTAAAGGGAAGCTGTAATAATTTTTCTTCACTGGAACTTCAAAAGGCACAAAACAGATCCTGAACTGAACTGGAGCTTGGTGTAAAAATCAACAAGTGGAGGATGGGCAGGACTCTGCAAGCAGGGGCTTCACAGCCAAAGAGCTGTCAGGCTGTGCCTTGCCCTATTAGTAGCTCTGTGGAGGTGCTGGTGTGTGTGTGAAGGGGGTGTGTGCAATGATGCCATTCATTTGTAAGCAGGATTGTTTAGAACACTGGAACTGCAGGTTTTTGCTCTATTGCTTAAAGATGTTTCAGTATATGCACCTTAATTTTGGAGTGCTTATTAAGGTCAGAGGCTTAATCACTTTTGAAATACCCATTGCTATTCTCACATTTTTTTAGCTCACAATTTTTTTTCTCTTGTACTGATTGCATATGGCTTTAGGCGAGGTTTTTGCAGAGGCTGTTTGAAATGCTTCAGTAATGGTTTCTATTATAATTTGTTATGTCCTGGGCACTGGGTGTGGGGGTCTGTCTTTAGCAATAAATATTATACACTATGTGTATATGTTTGTATATGGAAAACAAATACAGAGCATGTAACAATGGTGAAAATACACTGCATCGAGTGCAGATTGTGCATTTGGCAGCCATTCTGCACCAGTCTGAACAATCCAAATGAAAAATTGGAGACCACATGGAGAAAATGAACTAGCATGAAAAATCATTCAGGACAGAAATTCCCTTCCCTTACTCTGTGGGCTGGATAACTAAAGCTAGTTCAATTGCTGTTTGCTTCAAACAGCTGTCTTCCTTTCCTGAAAACTGGCCAAGCCTCCTGTGTTCAGCTGTAGCCACGTGCATCAGTGTATTGTCACTAAACACTCTGAGAGAGGCAGCACTGCACTATGATTAAATCTTCTATGAGAGAAGCAAAATACTTCCTTCTGTGATTTGTTTTTTATAATAGCAATAATGTTGACTGCATTCTAATACTCACAATAAAGGTCTGTTGAGATTGTTATGTGCCTGGGCTCCCTTTCCATGGACTTCTCTTCTGGTGAGCTAATGAGTGCATATGTTTTAAAGCATTAGGGAATCTTCCTAAGTTGTGTGTTTAGCCTGTAGTCCTTAGGTTATGTGCAGTCATTGATACTCACTTTTCTACATTGCAAGGCTTGAGGTAATCTTCAGTTGTATTTTAGCCTATAGGCAAATTATACAATCAGTAAATTATTTACAGTACTAAATTAATGTATGTGGCAAAGTAATTAGAAGATATTTCTGTTTCTGAACTGTTTTAGTGTTTTAATAATTTCAGGGTTTGAGTTTTGCAATGCACTTTATTCTTTACAATTAATGTCTTTCAACAATGTATTTACAGTGATGGAATCTCCTCTTTTGTGCAGACATGTGCCTTTGTACAATGTCACTACAAAGTAACTTTAATTTGCTTTTAGTAATTTATTTTAATATCATCCACAAGTTGTTCAAGACACTACTGTGGTAGAAAACAAGCTAACAATGCTAAGGAAGTTCTCTTAGACATCCTGTGGACAAGAGCACAAATGATAAGTAGCAGATGAATGAAATTAGACAGAATCTCAGTAAGTTACTGACATAGAAAAAATAGTTTATTTCACAGAAAAAGTCAATATGATAGTAAATGTAATGAACTTAAAAATTTTAATTCTGAAACGTTAATAGTTGTTGAAGGGGCAGTCTCAAAGTAGGCTCTCAAGCATAAGATACAAGACCAGATTGAGATCTTGGAGCAACACACTGAAACATTTTTTTTAATTATCAGACTTCCTGAAGAAGAGGTTTTTCCAAGTCAGACCAACTGTCTGGCCAGCCCAGAGTCTTGTCTGCAGCAGAAATAGAAATAGGACGTCAGATCTGTACAAACATACTATGAAATATCTGCGCAAATTGACTTTTTTGTGAATGTGTCTTTTACTTCTGGCAAACCAAGGGTTCCTTTACCAGAATTTTTAGGTCCATTAGTTTTATCTGTCACTTGACAGAGATGGACTCCTCAGGTTTAATCCATCTTTTTCATTGGTGGCTTATGGAATTCACAGCTTTGTTGTGTGGCAGGAGCTTTTTTGTCCTTGAACTTCCTTTCTGACTCCACTGGCTCTACACCGTTGCCTTTAGTTCAGAGAAGGTTAAATACTGCATTATTGAAAAGACCCAAAGCAGTTTTGTTCCATCAGCTCCAAGAGTTTGGCACCCTGTTGCTGTCCTTGTGTGACCTGTGGTGCCTCAGCTTTTTTTTTTCTGTCAAATTTTGAATTGATTCAAGTTGCAAATCCTGTGTGTCACTGTGGCTGCAGACCTTGCTCCTGCTTGGGGTTTCAAACCAATCTGCATCCCAGGTGTTGTGAGAATAAAATATCTATTTTTCTACCTGGAATCACTGTGGTACTATTGGATAGAGGGAAACTTAATTTCAATGAATAAGTAAGAAAAAAAGGCCATTTTATTTGTCCTAGAAATGGTCAATATCTGCAGGGATAAATGCAAATTCAAATGTTCTTACATGGGTTTCTTTAGGTTCTTCTGTCACCAAAGGCACTTTTCCAAATGGTAAATTATTATTTAAAATTTGACAAGTCCTGTGAAAAGTGTATTATCTGGGGCTGTCATCTTGTCGTCTTTTGATTTTGCATCACATGAGGTCTTAATCAGAGACAATAGAGTTAAGTGCTTCAAAAAGTCTTGGAAAGAAATGTGCTGAATGTAAACCTTAGTTCTCTATCTGTAAGTGTAATGGTATTAACCTTTTTTATGTAGCTTTCTTAAAATGTATGACAGGATTGTCCAACACTGGTGCTTTATTTAACACAGGAAAACAATTTCTTGTTTGAAATGAACAAACTGATTGACATAAGCATCATTTCAAAATGTTTTCAGTTCTTAAATTTTTTGCTTCCAATTTGCTGCCTCATCTAGGAAGCTACTTCCAGTTGTTTTTTTTTAAACTTAGGTTGACTTCTCAGGCTCAAATTTTATTTGGGTAAGAGTAATTTTTCTGTGGATACAGATGTCTGTGTATTTCTATATAGGAATCATTTATCCCTGGGCCTTTCAATATGTAAAGTTGCAGTTGCACAAACTGTCTCTTCTGCTAAGAAAGTGTATGCAAAACTGGAACAATGAATAAATGTCTTCTTCTTTGAGGTTTGTGATTTCAGTGTCTCATCTTACTGACCTTTATCTTTCCCCCAGCAGCTGTAATTTGTAGTATAGATTGAGTAGATTTTGCTAGTAGGTACAACAAAACAAAACCCTCATTTCCAGCACTAGCGCAATGATTTTGAAGACTTCATAGTTTCAAGGCTGTATTAGCCACAGGGACCTTTTCTACCTCTTTTCTGCTCTTCATTGGTGAGCTAATTTAAGAAGTTACTCCATCTTTTCTCAGGTGCTAAAAATAGAGGTCAATACCACTGTCCCTTCACTGAAGGTTTTCTTACTTTGTATTTGACCAGCCATAGGTAGCCAAGTGCCTCTTTTACTCTGATGAATGTGAATTCCACACATTGCTTTGTAAACAACTTTTTCTCCTTTTTAATCCACGGGCTCTTGCATCCCCTTGAATGTGCATGTACCAAGATGTCCACCTTGGTTTGACGCACATCTAGAAGTGGTTTGAGTGATGCCAATTGCCAAAATTCCTTTTCTCAGTTTTTTAAGAGACTTTTAAGACTTGGCTATTCTTCCCAACTTGAGTAGTTCATAGGTTGTTTTTTTGAGTGTTTCTGAAAGAAATAAACATCATCTTGGGAATCAGCAATATGTAGACATTGTGAGTCTGTACTTCTTTCTGATAATAATAGCCCATTGATACTTCATGCTTTCCTGTCTGCCTTACTCCATTATCAGCCTTTTATAGCAAAGAATAATGGAGACATCACAGTGCCTGCAAACACTGAGCCTGCTGCCCCTGCAGAGCCTGTCTGCAGCACTGGGCTCTCTCTTGTTGCTCTCCTGGGTCTGCCCCATTTTGCAAGGCTCAGACACAAACCTGAGAGCCTTGAAGCATCCTTGGGTCAGAAATACATGTTATGGTCAAACTTTACTTCTTTCCTGATTTAGCCACAGTTTAGATTAGCCAACTAATTACTGGTTATTCAGTTGGATTCTTTTGTTCTGCATGGATATTTCCCTACAAATCCTATGCTAATCCAGAAATTTAGTCTCTTTATGTGCCTGCTTGATCAGGGATGTTACAGGATTTGCCATCTTTATGCCTCTAAAGGTTGCCTTTTTTTGGTCTATCATCTATGCTGGATGTGTTAATTTTTTTCCAACTTGATCTTTCTGTAGGTGGTTGACTTTGCTCAAGTTCAGTTGCTTGAAAGCAAATTCCAAATAAAGTCCCACTCATTTTTAAAAGCCTAGTAATGTGCTAAGGCAAGCTTGTGCTGCTCTTGCAGATCATATTTACCATATCCATCAAACACCATGGCATGGCAGTGGTCTACAGCCAGCACAGAAGGATGTTTGGATCACTGCTATCATGTTCTTAGTCTGTGGGAGAGTGTCTGCAGAGTTTCTAGGCTGTCTAGTACCCATGAATCACAAACAAGAGTGCTGCTCTCACTTTTTCTTGAAATCAGGTTAAATCCAGCTTCAAACATGACTTGTTATTATTTAAGTAATTATTTGGGGCGTATTTATCCAATTATCTTTGTACAAGTGACAGTGAGTTCTCATAATTCCTGGTGCAAGTAAATGCTGACCCACAGTTACAAGAGGTGGCCAATTAACAAGTGAAATTCTGGAACCAAGGAAATAATATTTCTAATATGTTTTGTGTTGAGGATCTTACATGTAATTAGTACCAAAAAGCTTAAGAAGCTTCATGGTCATACTGATGTTACAGGTGGAGGATGAAGAATATGAAGTGAAGCTGTGCCTGTCAGGTACTTGGCTGTGTTAAAGTCCATGGTGCAAGTGGGAGTGAAAGCAAAAGATGGAATACAATTGACTCTGATTCTCAATTCACTTTAGACAGTGAGGTGCATCCATCCTGTTTTTCTCTTACTAAATAACCACATTATGAGCTATATTCGCTCCTAATATGCAGCACCCAGAAGTCTCACTCTGGTCTGTCCCTCAGCAGGCTCAGCTCTCTGGGAATACAAAAATGTGCAGTTCCACTAGGGAGTACAGAGCCAGGGCAGGTGAGAGCCAGAGCTCTGCCCAGAGTCATGCCAATATGCTCAATTTACTTATTGGAATAACTGAGCCCCCCTGCCACCCACTGTGCCTGCAGCCACTTGGCTCAGTTGTGCTCCCTGGAGCAGGGATGAGAGCTGGCTGAGGGGAGCCAGGAGGGCAGTTCCAGCTGAAGAGACCTCTTGCAGTTTGCTCAGAAGCATCATGTGCGTCACTCAGCCAATTCTGTGCCCAGCCAGCAGCACAGAAGTGAACCCATCCCCATGATGGGTGCTATAAAAGGGCAGCAAAGGCTCTGTGGGGTGCACAGAGCTGCCTCACGGACAGAAGGGGATGGGGCTCTCCCATTGCAAAATGGGCTCCATCCCATTTTGCACCCTCTGTTGCTTTATTAGCATAGCAACAGCCAATATATTTGGTAAGTACACTTGTCCTTTTCATCTGCCTGTCCAAGGGTGACTGGTCTTTGTGCTGCTTGTGTGTTGTCCTGATGAAGTATATCATGATCTTGAGTCCTGCACACTGCAAACTTAGCTGGTTATTGTGTGCTGTGCAAAGTAAGGCTGGGCTCCTGGTTAAATATTAAACTATAAGGATCTCTAAGTGGTCAGGCTTACTTGTGTTTATACACCTGGATTTTGGGTGGAAAAAAAAATGTATTCTCATGGGCTAGAGAAGGAACATAGGTAAGAAAAGGTACTGCTGCAGGGTTGTGAAGTTCCTCAATCACATCTTCTACTTGTAGGTGCCATCATCTAATTTAGGCTTGAATGTAAAGATTTTGGGTAGTCTGAGTGGTTCCCCCAGTTCTTTGGCCTGAGTTTGATAGTCCTGCACAACCAATGATTTGAATCACTGAATTAATTAGTCATTTAACTCAGATGTCTTGGTAGACCCTCTCTAGCACTGTACACAGGGACCTCTGCACATCCCAGAGCCAATGTTTGGGGTGAAAATGGGGAGCTTTACCTATGTGATGTTGTCTACAGGTGAGATCACCTGATATTTTGCAGTCCCATGAAAATTTTCACGTAGTCTTAAGGTGTCACAGTAAAAACTCAGAAACAGGTGTGATTGAGAAGCATTAGAAGCACAGGAACCATCTGCAGCTGTAGAAGTTCTGTGAGTTGCAAATTATCTGTGGTATTAAGAACAAGACATTCATCAGATTTTGAGGATGAGGAAAGTGTCAGATCAACTAATCTGCTGTGTAAAAAAGAACTTATTGAATTTCATCTTCCTACATTCTACATCTAAAACAGCAGCAAATGCTGCTTTGAATGCATTAAAAATTTGCTAGGTGGCTTCAGTAGTTGATCATTTGGCCCATTGAAAATTGAGAGCGCTCCTAATATGAATTAGTCTGATACTACTACTAGAAATTCATTATTTTCAAATCTTTCATGAGATTTATAAGAAATACCTCTCATTTTGGTGAAATAGTGAGTGACTTAGCTTAAATAAAGGATAATTACTCAGAAAATTTAATGGTGTGTGTGGTTATGCAAAGGGCTCTTATGTGGTCATAGGCACAACTAAGTGAAGAACCCCAAGTACCAGAAAATTATAGCCATTCCAGTACAGAACAGGGCTGAGGCTGACTAAACACAGGCCTGGGAAAGGGGTTCATGATCATCTCCACCATGTGTTCCTCCTGCAGCTGGCAGAGCAGTGGGTTTGTTCAGTACCTCCCTGTGCTGTCCCACATGGAAACGCACACAGGGAGCGATGGGAAAACAGCCAGAGAGGACCCCTGAACCTGGGATGTTCCCCTGCAGCCCTGGCACTAGCAGGGTTTGATAAAAATGGGTTTGTGGTTGACACCAGCCTTAGGTGTTTATCTTCTTGCTGTTTTCAGAGTATCAGACCGATTCCCAACCGTTGCGTCCATGTGAACTCCAGAGGGAAGAGGCTTTTTCAGCAGGAGAAGCCTACGTTCCTCAGTGCTCAGAGGATGGCCAGTTCAGGTAATTCATCCCTGCTACTCATGTGCAGACACATGATGGGACCTTTCATTGCTAATGAAATTTTAGCTCATCTTGAAGAGCCACTGTATCAGTAGACTGGAGGATGAGAGGTGCAGGAGACTTGAAGGGACTTCCCTGGGCCATGTTGCAGATCCAGCCTCTCCTAAATGAATTCCCTGTTATTGGAATTAATCTCTGGGTTAAGAGGTCAATCTAAGATTAACAGGCTAATCTTGGCTGCATTATTTGCATGTCAAATACTTGGTGCAGTTTGCAGAGTGGTGCAGTTTGCTGTTTTCCTACTCGTGCTCATGGGTGAATGTGTGTGCCAGCTGGCACACTCAGCCAAGTAACTGACAACTTATCACCCTCGTTAGTGGCACAGTCAGGTTTCTTTGTAAAGGCAGTGAAGGAACTAAAAAGCACACAGAGAATAGTGATTTAGAAAGCAGCATGTCAAAGCTGCAAGAAACTAACAAGATAAAGCTGAGGCTGAGTACAGATTGTAATTTCTCTAAATTTCCCAAATTTTTTTTGCATCTGGTAGCAGCTGTGACCATTCTAGATTTGACTTAGAAACTGTCTCAAAGTCTTTGGTGAATCTCAGATCATGAGAATTAGGGTTCTGTCCAACCTGCTTGCTTCCTCAACGACTTCAATTCACATATCTGCAGTTCCTGAAGAGTTCAGAGAATTACTAGAATTAAGGGTTCCCACTGATCAGAGTCAGCAGAAATTCAGCTCTTGCCAGTTCCATTATTTGTGATTTTAAAGTATTTGGTGTAGTGTGGTTTGCTTTATGGTTTTATGTCTGGTACTGACTGAGGACTCTACACACACAGAATAAAATGTTACTTGTGATCTTCTTCAGGACAGTCCAGTGCAGTAGGAATGGTCTTTCCTGTTGGTGCGTAGATGAGAATGGTGTTGAGGTTCCTGGCAGCAAACAGAATGGATATCCTATATCTTGTGAGTAAAAAGTTTCTATTTTTGCTTAGATTGAGTAAAGAACCATTTAAATCTGTGTTTGAACAGCTGAAATCAAGAAAAGGCTAGCCCCAGACTTTGGTGGACTCTAGTTTGTGGTAATTTGCTAAGTCTTTCAAGTGGAAGTTCTGGAGTTTCTTCGGGGCTTATCATGGAAACCTCATACACCTGGATGTCTGTATTTAAGAAGGTATCAGTAAGACAAATTGTGAATGAAAGATTGATTTAATATAATGGCTTTTGAATTGGAGACCTTCAGCCCCATCTGTGGTGGGCTTCTCTCTACCAACTTTCATAACCTCAAGGTCCTCATGCCACCTGGGTGGCAGACTTAGAACTTGCAATTCTGAGAAAACTCAGATATTGCCTCGATAAACGATTCAGTGCCCAACAAGAACCCTCCTCTAACAGTGCCCCTCTCTGTCCTTTTCAGGCTTGTCCTTTTGCCAGCTGCAAAAGCAGAGGATCTTGGTGAGCAGATACATCAACAGCAGCAGCATCTCCTACATCCCTCAGTGCCTGGATTCAGGAGCTTTTGATGAGGTGCAGTGTGACACGGAGCTGGGGCAGTGCTGGTGTGTAGATCCAGAAGGAATGGAGATTTATGGCACCAGACAAAGAGGAAAGCCAGCACAGTGTAAGTAATATTCAATAAAATGATGGGATTTGTAGGTTTAAAAAGCTTGGTGTGAATAAGATTATTGAGTCCAATTCCCTGCTCTCCATAAAAACAAGATGATTCACCTCAGTGTCCCTGCCTGATGTAATGAATGTAACCCCCTTTTAACCTGCAGGGGGGGCATTCAGCTGTTTGTGGGATGTAAATACACAAATAAACATTACCTCTCTTCCTCATTAGGTCCAGGGAACTGTGAGATCCGAGATCGTCGCATCCTGCATGGGTTTGGGGAGAAGAGCCCACCACAGTGCTCAGCAGACGGGGAGTTTCTGCCTGTCCAGTGCAAGTTTGTCAACACAACAGACATGAGTGTTTTTGATCTTGTTCATAGTTACAACAGGTAAGAACTCAGGCTTCTGAATCAGGAAGGTAATCCTGCATACCCCTTCAAGGTACCATCTGACTGCTTTTTTGTGATTTTTGCTACATGGAGTCCATATCCTGTAACTGCACATTATTATGTTTTTTGTTAAAGAATGAGCCAAGTGAAAAAACTTTTTTTCTTCTAGTTTAAATCTGCTGATTAAAAAAAAAAATTAAAAAAATAAATATATTCCATCCCTGCAGTCTAATTGGTGTGTCCTCACACAGCACTGGAGACCACTTTGTGATCTGTAGGTGGAAAAATAGGCTAATTTTGAGACAGACAGTCAACAGCAAATTAGGTAAATTCAGAGGAACAGAGGAATTTGTATATATATATGAGGTAGGAAAGACCATTCCATATGGGAGATGAAAGCAAATGATAACATTCAAACAAGTGATAACATGAAAAGATGAAATTCCATCTGATAATGAGAACCTCTTACCTGTCTAAATATTAGGCAGTGCCAGGGTTGCTGACATGGGTGAAACAGCAAGTGATGAACAGCTGTGCTGGTGCACAACTCTCTTTAGGTGGTTGTAGGGGGCTGGGGAATGCTTCAGAGCACTGGGTCTAATCCCTGTCTGTGGGACAGGAAGCTGCTGTCCTGTGGAGGAGCTGAGACTTAATGCTGTGATGGAGATGTAAGGGCTGAGCAAGGAGAACTGATGGGAGAGGAATTTGTTTTGGCACAGATGTTCAGACTCTCCAGAGAAACCTTTCAGTGTCTGGTGAACCTCAGTTCACTGGCTTGGCACCTCAGTCAGCACCAGTTTCCCTGGTGGAGGGCAGTGCACTAAACATCTCATTGTGACTTGGCTCTGTAGCAGCATTTTATAGTAAATGTCAGTTTTGCTGTTTGGAGGGGTTTCTCTTTTTTTAAGTTAAGTAAAACTGAAGGGCAGGTCTGAATGCACAGTGCAAATTTGTCAGAGCTTCAGGAGAGGTTATTTTGGTGAAAGCAAAATAATCTGACTCTTTTGTTTGTTGGTCTGTGGAGTGTTGAAATGCTAAAAAAGCAATTACAGTGGAGAAATCAATGCTTTAAATTGGCATTATTTTTTCCTCCCACTGGGAGATTTGCCTGCAAAGACCTGTGAGATTGGATTTATTTTCTGTCCATGTCAAGTAATTAATCACAGCAGGATCATTTCAGTCCCAGCTGTCTGCCTTCTAATTATGGCATTGGCTTAACCTATTGCAATCATATCTGAGTATTTCAGGTCATTAATGTATTTATTTTCACACTACTGCTGCCTGAAATGTCATTATTCCTTCTCCAAAGAGGGCAGAATGAAGAGTTGAAGGGAGGAGTTCCACAGCAAAGGATTGTAGCTGAACAGGGATTTTAACCCACATTTTATGTTGATATGGAAACAGTGGAGAAAGTTTCTTTGGTTCTACAGACTGATTTTTGAAATTTAGATATATAATCCTAACTATCTTTCCAATTCATTTCCCTAGACTTTCATAAATATTCCAGAGTAAGCCAGTATGTTAAACCCCCTTCCCCAAACAGACAAATTAGGAAACTCAGAAGTTTAGGGCTAAGACTTTCCCAAATAGAAGACTTCAAAAAAGAATGATGAGCCCAAATTTCCTGCATCACCTGCAGGGCTTGGCTGCTGTTACTTTTTTGCATGGACTGTGTCCAGGTTCTGCCTGGATTGGCAGCCATGTAGAACTCCCTGTTGCAGATTGATGGGAATTCTTGAAAAATCAAAAGCCAAGGAAGATTTTTTTTACTTTCTTGCTATAATCAGTAGTGAGTTGTCTTTGATGGAAGCTAAGAGCAGAGATTCATATTTTGAAAGCCAACAACTTCACATTCATTTATTTTCCTGTATTTTTGAGTGAGAGCATTCTTGTTGAAACACATAGAGACATTATAAATTTATCCATAACTTAAATGTAGTCACAATTGATTTGGACTGGCTCTGAAAAATGTGGAATTCTATGTTATTGCTACTCATCTTAATGGCTGTGATTAAAGAGTCTGAGAAAATAGAAAATGTGGTAAGAATTGTATTTTCCACCTAAGGTGAGAAAAGTTTTGTCTTTTTCCTTGTGTGGACCTAATTTATATCTGTGATCTATTTAGCTATACTCTCAACTTGTAACAAAAACAACCAGAATGAGAAGATGTGACTACACATCTGCCCCATTTAAAATAGTGTAATTGTGTGTGTGACTTTTTAATGTTGAAAATGAAAGAAAGCAGGATGCAGAGTTTTTCCATTGAATCCTGTTTCACTCAGATAGAGGCTGAGTGCTGAGGTGATGAGCTCCAAGGACATGAGCAGTGCAGAAAAAAAGATCATATTCCTGACTGGGCAGTGGACAGCGCTTGATAATCCAGGGGAGCTGAAAGATCTCAAAATAGCCCAAGCTGTTTATGTCCATGTGCACATTGAAGACCATAGGAATATGCTATTTATGTGTTTATACCTTAAATTGTATCATTTTTATACTGCAGAAGTATAAAAAAAGTTCCTCGGTGCCATGAAGTGTGACATTTTGATGTCTCTCAGCATGCCAGTGCCAGCAGTGGAACAGGATTTGACACTCCAAAGTGGAAGGAGTCAGTGAACTTTTAATTTGAAGATGTGGAAGGGTGCCAGAGCAAAGCAGCACTGTACAGAGATGTACAAATTCTGAGACAGGAGCACTGCTGGGTAACACTGGGACAACCCTGGGGTTACAGCCCCTTACTCTGACAGAGGTGCTGCTGCTTTGTGCACTCCCAAGGCTGTGCTGTGATGTTCTGTGGAAGCAGAAACATCCTCTGCTCTCCTGGCAGGAGGTGGTGGTGCTCCCTGGAGTCATCTCTCCCATGAAGACAGGCTGAGAGAATCAACCCTGGAGAAGAGAAGGCTCCTGGGAGACTTTATAGCACCTTCCAACATCTGAAGGGGGCTACAAGGGAGATGGAGAAGGACTTTTAACAAATGCATGTAGTGTTAGGACAAAGGGGAATGGCTTTTGACTGAAACAGGGTAGGTTAGGATTAAGATGTTGGGAAGATATTCTTTCCTGTGAGAGTGGTGAGGCACTGGCACAGGTTACATACAGAAAATGTGGATGGCCCATCCTTAGAAGTGTTGAAGGCCAAGGCTGGATGGATTGTGAGCAATTTGGAAACAGCCCCTGCCCAAGACAGGGGGGTTGGAACTAGATATCTTCCTTACAAGGAAGGAAGAATTCCAAGAGCCCAGAATGTTCTATGATTCAGGCAAAGTCTTGGAGGCAGCAAAGGCCCCTTGCCCTGCTCACCTGAGCAGCAGCTCTGAGCCAGACAAACATTTCATTGCCGTTCTCAGGTTCTGTGCTCTAGAGCATCTCTGGGGCTGCTGGAGTGTGGCACCGAACTGAGCCTGGTCACAGTTTCTCAGGGTGGCTGTGAACTGCTTTTCTCAGTTAATCAGTGCCTAATCCACCAATATTCTTATGGGTGAGTGTCCATCCTTGGTAAAAACCTAATTTGTGTAAGTCTCTGAAGGTGTTGAGCAGAAAATTCCACTGCCCTGCTGCTAGGTTTTTCCAAATAAACCACGTGGAGCTGGGACACCAGACCTTTATAGTATTTCAGGGCAAGGGGATGTGTCTGTAAAATGATATGATTGTTTTAGAACTTAGCACTTTGAAACTAGGAAAACTTCCCTTTTGCTTGGAGAAACCCTAGGATGTCTGTCAGTTTAGAGCACATTTATTATGGTTTTCCAACTTGGACCATATTAACTTTCTTTCTTAACTAATTGCTTTGCTGGAATTTGGCTGCTGTCACTCCTAGAGTATTACATTGGAAACCATCTCTTTGATCTCCAGAAGCCAAAGTCAGTCTTGTACATTAAAAGCCCTTTCTCCTTCTCCTCAACACGTTGAGCCATGCCTTGAAAATGAAAGATATTAGTGAGGTTTTTATCAGCTTTTGTGCTTAAGTGCAGAAATCATACATGGCATGTAAGGAAGGGGAAGCAACCTGGTTTTTTTAGGCATTCTGCCATCTCATGCAGATTTGTGGAAGGGGCTAGTGAATGGGTGTTGTAATAACATTAAGCCAAGGCCCATCTATTTTACACTCTTTGACAAGCTTCTGAAGATGACAATAGAATTGAAAGTGAATTAGATGCTGGTACATGCTTATGAAGGCTCAGAAACCTGTTTGAAGGGAGATTATCCCCTGCTTGTTTAGAAAAATGGCATTTAGGAGAGTTGCTATCCTGCTCAAACAGTGATCTGGATCATGTCAGAGCCTGGTTGCCAAAAGGAGACCAAAAGTGTTTTGCACTGGCCTTGTGCTCTGCAGACATCCTTCTCCCACAAAATCAGGAAGAAGCAGCTGGTACTTTGTTGTGGTCAGTGGGCTTCCCTGGGCTCCACACAGCACACAGAACACTATTTTTTCTTCCAGGCTCCCAAGGGCTTTCCAAAAATTTAGCTCGGTGAGGGAAACGTTCCCGGAGATCTCTGGGTACTGTTACTGTGTGGACAGCCTGGGCAGGGAGCTGGCAGACACAGGTAAGTGCCTTCCAGCATCTCATCCTTTAATCTGGGGGGTGTTGAATTCCCAAGGGAAAGGACAAATAGCAACTATCAGTCTTCAAACTCATTTGGAAGTTCAATTCCAGTCTTACAAGGGCTAAGAGCAGTGTGACCAATGCCCACAGGAAGGGCTGGAGCTCACTAATGAAATCCCACCCTGTCTAGCACAGCTTCAGCCAGCAAGGAGTGGAGTTGGTGCCTGGGAGTTAATCCTGTCCTCTTTGGGATGTGGAATAGGATTTCTGAATGCCCACTTCCTGCCCACACTAGAAAGTTCTGTCATATTTGACATGTCCTATTAGCAAATCTGGGGGGATATAAGGGGCCTGAAGAATGAACTCTTTTCTTCTTGCTTAGGTGGAATCATGGAATTGTTTGGGTTGGAAAAGACCTTTAAAGACATCTAGTCCAACCACTCTACAATGTCCTCCTCTCTCATAACCTCAGGATTTAAACATGTTAATAGTTGATGGGATGCTTTAGAAAAATGTTCTTTTTTCAGCAAGGAGGAATGAGGAGGTTGAGAATCTCCAGACCTTCCTTAGATACTGCGGTTTTAATTTTTAACTTCTTTTTAGAGGAAAAACAAAAAGCACAATAGCTTGAAATTTAGATGATAGATGAGTACTTCAGCATTTAATTCCCAGAAAAGAAAGAAGTACTCAAAAAACCTGTGCAGTCAGAGAAGCTACTGAATGTTTTGGTTTTCAGTATGCAACCAAAACGACTTGTAGTTGCTTTGGTAGCATCTGTTTCCAAAATTCCATCGATTTCTGTACTGCAGGCTGAACCTAACAAAACCACAGCCTATAGACAATTATGGGATGTTTCTCCTGTTTGTTTTGGTAGATGTCAAGGCAGAAAGGTGGTTTCTGGGCACCCAGCACTGGTTTAGGATTGCACAGTATAACTTCACATTTGACTTGTTTAGATGACTGGATTTATTTTTCCTGAGATTCTCCCAGCTTTTCTCCTCTGGTATAAGGGTGAGTTCTTCCTTAAAAGCAGTCCCTGTGCTAAAAGTCTGTCTTTCCCAGGCTTGGAACTGCTGCTTGATGAGGTTTACGACACGGTTTTCTCCGTGCCAGAGCCTGCCCGCACGTTCACGGAGAGCAGCATCCATCGGATCCTGCAGAGGCGATTCCTGGGGATCCAGCTGGCTACCTCTGGAAAGTTCAGGTGTAAGTGACACCCAGGAGATGCTCTGTAAATCAGATGGCAGTTCTGGAGCTTTTATGTGACAGCTGCTGTTGGAGAGAGTTCTTTTAGGAGTTTTTTTTGCTCTAAAAATGTGTAATATCAGAGTTCTGATGCAAGAATTAAGATCCCTGAATTGCAGCTGGCTTTTATCCTCTGCACTGTACATTCTTTACCAGCAGATTGTACCTGTCCTCTGATCAGTGCTTCCCCATGTGCCTGCAGATCACATTGTTTGAAATCCAGTGAACTCTCCATATCTCTTGCCCTGAGATTATGGCGATGGACTTGTTGATTTATTAAATTGAAAGTCTGAGAAAATGCTCCCTAATTTATGTTGGCACACTCAGAAACAGTAAGGATTTTACACTGACCACAACACACACCATTTCCAGGAGGCCACACGAGTTTGGCCAGCAAGGCTGAACTTTTGGATCTGCCTTTGGGGCCCATTCCTTCCCTGGTCAGGGCAGGGATATGGGGAGAGAGTTTCTCCACATACAGACAATGAACTCTGCAGGATAGGAGATCAGTCCTCCTAGACCAGAGCCCAAACCAAACTGCCTTGGCTGGGGAGAGCTGGAATATCCTGTGTGATATTTCATCCTCCCATCCAAAGTCCCAAACTCCTCTGGCATTTCTTTCTGACTCTTGCCAAGGAGTCACATCACCAGAAATATTAAGCAGATAGTGATGTCAGTCTTCTGGCCATTTGGTCACACAGTTTTTCTGGCTTTGGGACAAGCTGATCCTTCTGGGGAGTCTTGAAGGCACATTCCCTCTGCACTGCACGGTGTTTTTGGCTGTGCTCTGGCTGTAGCTGGGGCTGCAGCAGCTGTCAGCACAGATGGAGCTGTACCAGCCACAAGATGGAGATGTGACCTCGTTCATCAGCCACTGAGGGGATGAAGCCCTCACGCTGTCACCCAAAGCCACTCAAATTAGGGAATTTGTCAGAGTCCCCTGGATGAACAGTGCTCACTGCCTCACTCAGGTCGCTGGGTGTAGCTGGAAAGTTCTTGAAGGTGAGAAGTGTTTTTAGACTGACTGGTTAATATAAACAAGCAAATTTCTATTCAGAGGGTAAAGTCCTGTATTGGACAGATCATACCCCAGAAAATTTACTTGCTGAATTTTTGCCCTCTCTTCCTTTAAGGCCAGCTTGAAATAGTAGGGTCTAGGAAGAGTAGACCCAGGAACAGTAGAGTCTTCAGATCCCTGCAGAGGGAAATGGAGAAGTGGGGTGGTCTCAGCCCAAATCTCCACACTCAGGTGCAGATCTGTTTGCAGGAGCAATGCCTCATTCTCTTCAGAAACATCAATGTTTGCCTTCAAATCAGTCCCCCAAGCTGTACATCTGTCTCTGATGACAACTTTGCTTTTGCACTAAGGGCTAGAGCTCCCTCAGCCTCCAGCATAGTTCCCTGGGAGAAATATTCCTGCTCTGCCTACTTGCAACTATGTCTGAAAAATATGTTGAGGTTTTATCTTCTGTTTAGTTTTCAGAAATTAATACCTACAGTAGGAAACCACTGGGAAAATTCTTGATGGGAAAAGAGAATGGAGAATTCCCATTTGAGCTGCTACTTGATGTGTCACTGAAAACAATCAGGAAATTAAATTTTTTTTCCCCCAAATTATTTTTTTTTTCTCCCAAATAGGCAAACAATAGGATCAAACCGAGGTGGCTCTGAAACTTTAGACTTTCCCTGCTTAAGGCACTCTGTTTTCCCTCCAGGCCCCTCGAGGTGTGAGGCTGAGCGTTCCGCAGCGCTGCGCTTCCAGCACCCCTACGCGCCATCCTGCTCCGCCGGCGGGGGCTACGCGCCCCTGCAGTGCCAGCAGCAGGGACAGTGCTGGTGTGTGGACACCCAGGGACAGGAGATCCCGGGCACAAGGAGGAGAGGACAGCCCCCAGCCTGTGGTATGTATGAGATTTGCCAAAGGAAAAAGGAGCCCCTCTCTCAGTGCCTTTAGAACAGAGCAAGTCCTTTCTGGGGTCTGACAGATTCTGCTGTTCAGGGACCCTGAAACCTCCCTACGGTTAAGAGTCATCTTCTAATAAATTATTAAATAGCATACTGCTTTTATTTTGCTGTTATGATCTTTCTTTAACCTTTTGGTTTTGCATGCAGCAAGGCTTTTCTTTGCTGCTCTGATATCTGGCTCCTGACTCCAGGAGCTGGGGTGGTAATATAAGGAACTGACTGGGGTAACATGAGAAACAAGCGATGGTGATTTTGTGTTTTACCTTCTTCCTTTGGTGAAATAGTGTGGAATTTCATCTCCCATTCTGGCTGGTTTTTTCCAACTCTGTCACTGCATATTTTGCCATGAAAACTGCCAAATCCTGTTAAAAACCACCCAATAAACAATTCAGGAAAGGTGTATAGGTTAGGACTTTGAGAGATTCTACAGAGAATACATCATCAAATGAGTGCCCTAAATGGAAATGACAGCAGAAATGTCCAGGGGCTGGAGGGGAGGAGGAAAGTTAAAAACCTTTGCTATGAAGTGCATTACCTAAATATTCAGGATTGTGCTGCAGGGCTGAGGCACAGGGTCTTAATCTGGGGGCTGCCTTGGGGGAAGGCAATTGCTCTGTCTGTGAGACACTGCACAACTTCCCAGGCAGCTAAAATGGGAGGAATCTGCCCTGGGTGTCACGGCTCCAAGTGCTCAGAGTGCTCTGGGCACACACAGGCTTACTGTGAAATGAAAACTTTGTGTGCCTTTGAGGCTGATCACCAAGGATATTGCAAGGGAACCTCTGAGAGGCCTCGCCATATGTTGGGAATGGTTGTTTTCTCTTTGAGTATGCTTTGCTGAGCCCTCCTGATAATTCCTTTTTTTTGGAGGGGGTGGGGGTGGGCTGAAGAAAGGAGGGCAATGACTTCAGGCTGCTTGCAGCTTTTATTGGCAGGCTCAGGAAATTTAAGCTGGGAAAAAATTCTGCAGAGGTTTCACAGATTAACTCCTGAGAAGGTATTTCATGAGGTTACAGCTTCATGCCATGTGTGTGTCTCCAGTTCTCCTCTCTTTTACTTCGTGTTCAAAACCCATGTGGATGTGGTACTTGGAGCCTGGCAGTGCTGGGTTAATGACTGGACTCAATAAACTTACAGGTCTTTTCCAACTTTAATGATTCTGTGATTGTTTAATGTCCTTGGCTCTCACACTCAGCAGTGTTAACACTGGAGAGTCAGAGCACCAGGCAGTCCTGATAGGGACATGCTCCTTTCCAGACCTTTTACAGTAGATTCACGCCAGCAGTGCCTTTGGTGTTTATTCTTTCTTCCTCTGTTTTGATTTGATTAAACAGTGGGTAGGAGGGGAGAGTGTTTATGACCCCTGATCCTACATTTGTTTCATATTACTCTTCTTGTGGAATTGTGGCTTACACTAACTTATTGGCCCTCTGAGGAATGTTCTTCATCCCTCTAACCAAGAGCCAACATTGAAAACAGAAGGGGCCCATCCTACAGAACGTTCTTTTACAAAAGAACTTCTGGGAAGGGACCCTGAGCTCCTGTCAGGAACTGCAGAGCCTGACAAGGGTGCGAAAGCAGGAGTGAAAAAGACATCAGTCACAGAACATCAGATTACTTGTTATCTTTTTAGCAGCTTTTTAGGTTTCCAGCTTTTATCCTTTTTTTTTAACAGGATTTGTGACTGCTTGATCATATTGCTAGGTTGTGGAATAAATGGAGATGGAGTGGGGAGCCCAAGGGAGCTGGTGCTGGAGCAGACTAAAGCTGCTTATCCATCTTGTCCCCTACAGGGACAGCAGTGGTGCTGAGTGAGAAAGAGTGAGAAACATGGAAAATGCACATAACTTCCAAATATCCTCCTGCAGGTGGGAGATGCCCCAAACAGGAGGTTGAGTCCAGATCATTGTGTTCAGCCCTCCCCTATGGAGTTATCTTCCAGGGATTTGTCTAATTGCCCTCTAACCTTTGATCCTTCTTAGCACTCTGGCAATAAATTTCATGATCATGGTTATGTGCTCTACATCTGGACTGTGAGAAATACTGAATAATAATTGTCTATTGTGATCATGTGGAGAATCCTGCTTTTTTAAAAACCTTTTCCATATTTTTTTGTCCAGGCTGAATGTTCTCTTGTACTGGAAAAGCTGTTCCATCCTCAAAATATTTCTCCCCCCCTTCTCTGTAGTTCTGCTACTTTTTCCTCCCTTCTCTTTTTCAAGGACAGGTAACTGTGTGGCATGTGAGTTAAGCTGCTGTGTGCATTCCAGAGATGCAGTCAGCGCCATAACTATCCTGTCTGTCTGATTCTTGGTGTCTTTATATTTAGTAATTCTTTCCTTTTTTGCTGTCTTCTGAGCCCTAAGCTCACTGATGTGTTGCATCCTAACTTGGAGCTGTTGCTGCCTGTGTATCAGTGTACAGATGGGGATGGATGCAGCTACCCCTGTGACACAGGTTAACCCAGGATATGGTGCCCAGGGCCACTGTTGGTACTCTCAATATGCTGACATTTGACTATTTTTGTTGAAATTCTGTATTTTTTCCCTTAGAGCTCATTCATGAATGCCATCTGGTCCTTAGCACTCTATTACTGCTAATTTTAACAATTCATTTTCAAACCTCTTGCAACAAACACCTCACTATGAAACTGGAGATCTAGTTAGGAAACTTTTATAAATTCCTCATTAGTAGGCATTGTTTAAAATAACTTTCTGTTCTTCCACAATTTATTTCTCCTTCTTAGGTTCCCACATTTCACCTGGATCATTGGAGGTTTTTGCTAGCAGCAGGCATCCTACTAGAGAGCTAAAATATTTGGAAAATACATTTTTCATTCTTTCAGCCATGGGAACAGGGATGAGAATTTACATTGGGAAGCAACAGAACCAGTAAAAGACCACAGAACAGAGAACTCAGCAGTGGGGAAGGAATGTTTCCTTTCATTTTGGGTCTTGACTGAAGGATTTTATTTGTAGAGAATATATTTCAACTATATTTCAACTATATATATATATATATAATATAACTATATTTCAACTTCCTTAACAATGTACATGATGCATAGTTGAGAAGCAGGTTAATCTATAATATTGTTTTTGCCTCAGTTGCTTGAAAGTGGCCCTGCTGGGTACTTCAGCCAGTCCAGTTTGTTCTCCACACCAGATAAGCAGTCTGACAAAATTGATGGCTTTTCAAGAGCCTGCCCTCCCTCTTTCAAGGAGCTGTTTCTGGACTCTGGATTGTCATCCCCGCTTGCACAAAGCCCATTTGCCAGCCAGACTCCTGAGCTAGAAACCACCCTTAGTGAAGCCATCACAGGGATGTTCCCATCGAGGGAACTGGCTCAGGTGGCACTGCAATTTGCTGCCAACCCAAAGCGTTTCCAAGAAAACCTCTTTGGAGGAAGGTTCTTGAAGAATTTGATCCAGTTTAACTTCACAGGGGTGCTTGGCACTAGTGGGAAGTACAGCATTGGCCAGTTTTTCCCACAGCTGGATGTGGTGGATAATGGCCAAGGCCCTCTGGCATCAGCTGAGGCATTTTCACTGGAGGTATCAAAGGGAAGCTCCATTTTGAGTAAACCTCTCGTGGGCAGCTTTGGCCGCACAGTGACTCTGCAGGACAATCAGAATCTGATGAAATTCCTTTCTTCTGTCCTGGAACTACCAGAGTTTTTTACTTTTCTTCAACAAGTAATTTCTGTCCCCAAAAGCATAGCTGAAGATTTAGGTGAAGTGGTGAAGCTAGCTCTGGGATCCAAAGGCTGTGGTGAGGAGCCAAAGGACCTGTTTGTTCCAACATGCACCAAGGAGGGCAGGTATGAGGAAGTTCAGTGCTATGCAGGAGAGTGCTGGTGTTTGGACACTTTGGGTAAGGAGGTTCCAGGCTCAAGAATTCAGGGCAAACGCCCAAGGTGTCCCACTGAGTGTGAGAAGCAAAGGAGAAACCTGAAAAACCTGAAGCAAAGCCTGCCTGCAGGATCAGATCTCTTTATTCCCTCTTGTACTGAGGATGGAGACTTTCTGCCACTCCAGTGTTATGGGAAAAATTGCTTCTGTGTCGATTTGAATGGCAAGACTATTCCAGGAATAAGGGGGAAAGCTGGAAAGCTGATGCAATGTAAGTCTTAGGGACTGGAAATTTAAAGATGCTGTCTTTTGTATTGGGATTTCATGGTTCTTTCTTCATATCTGATTACATCTGGAAACAAATGGATGACGTATGCAAATGTCTTCTAACAGGAAAGCAAGCCAGATTTACAGTGGCAGGGGGATAGTCAGAAATACAGTGTGTGTCAGCCTTGATATCCCAAGGTGATATCTAAAGGCGGTCAGGGTGTAGCGTGGGCACACTCAAACAGAGGAGCCTGAGATCTTGCCTGGTTACTGAACATGCCATTGGCACGTGTCTACCAGAGTGTGCAGCTGGAGTGTGTGACATCCATGATGCCCAGGAGACCTGGAGCATCCCTGGAGCTGAATGTGACCCCTGCCTAGTGAAAAAGCCCTTTTACTTCCAGACCAAGTCACCTGGGCACAGTCACTGGCTCATCTTTTCATAAGAAACAAAGATTTTCAGTGCCTTAAACTGTGGACTTGATTTAGTCTTTTTAGCTCAAGGATATATCCTTGAATTGGTAAGATATCACAGGACTCCAAACACAGGAGGGTGATTGCTTGGTTGGTTGGTTGGTACATAGGTTTCTCACAAGTCACAAAGTCAGGCCAAAATGGTGAGTTGCAAATGACTTTTGACATCAGTTTGATAGAGTATGAATTGCCTCTCCTTGCCCTTTTCTTTATGGAATATGAAGAAAGAAGGAAGCACTTAGGCAGTTAATATTCGTCTTTCAAGTTTCTGTGAACTGAAAATGACACATCAACAGGGAGAGCAGACCAAGAGGAGAGCCTGCTTCTTATTTTGGGAGAAATAGCAGTGTCCAGCAGTTGAGAGTGGTGCATAGTGAGGGAGCTCCTCTGAATAGCAGTTTGCAGAAGTAGTAGGGAGTTGTAATGATCTGAATTGAAAGGGGATTTATATCCAACAACCCATTTGTAGTGCAATCCAAAATAAAAAGGTTCAGAATTCTCTGGTGCTCAAAAGAAGATGAGCCCCCTTGGTTGGTTGGGTTTGTAGAGCTGTTTGGTGGCAAAGTGAAATTTGGCTCTGGAGATGGCAGAAAAGGCTTCCAAACCAAACTCACTCCAGTTATTTTGAGCAATGTTATTTTTATATTCAGTAGCAATGTTCTGTAGAGTGTAGGAAGAGAGGACACACAGTCTTAACATTCTGGTACAGTCCATGAGGAAATAAAGTGAGTATTATCCCACTATTCAGATGTTTGCTTTTGCAGTGATTGGCTGAAGAACAAATAACATCCTGATTACCAAATATATCTGAAAATACCTGATTGATGTAAACAGATTCACGAAGGCATTTAGTGGCACCTGGACCCCCAGTAAGAACTACAAGTACCCAGTGTACTCACAACTTTTAAAAAAACATACCTATATTCATCTTGGAGGGCTCACATCCCTTTGGAAATCTTGCCCTGGTTCAGTGTGGGACCTTAATGTCATTAAGTGATATTATACCTTAGTAACAGGCCAGGGATGTTATTATTATTGGGCTGAGTGACCAAGTTTATTAGTGGTGTTTATTGTGCTAGAGGATAGGGGTATTGTATGTCTTTGGTGTGTTCAGAAGATGTGCATGTTTTTCTTTTCCCAGGCCCAAGTGCTTGCCAGGTAACAGCTGGTCAGGAGTTTCTGCGGGCTGTGAAGCTCCTGCTGTCAGATCCAAGTGCTGTGCCTCAGCTGCCCAGCCTTTACCTGCCCCAGTGTGATGCTGCAGGTGGCTGGAGGCAGGTGCAGTGCAGCGGTCCCCCTGAGCAAGCCTTCGAGTGGTACGAAAGGTGGATCACAGAAAACAACGAGGGCAAGCCCCTGCCTGTTCCTGATCTATTGAACATCATAGCTGGCTATAAAGAGGCATCCTCTGGAGACTTTTCAGCTTTTGTTAAAGCTTTGTATGAAGCTGGGCACCAGAATATCTTCCCCACATTCTCCATGTACTCCTCCTTCACGGATCTCCCTCCTCAAGTGCTGGAAGGAAACCTGACCCGTTTATCTGAGAACATTTTGCTGGACCCATATACGTTCTGGCAGCTTCTGACTGAGCAGCTGAGCTACTACCCAGGACCCTATGCTGATTTCAGTGCTCCATTAGGCCACTTTGAACTTCGTGATTGTTGGTGTGTTGACAGCAAAGGAGGCGAGCTGGAAGGAACAAAGGCAGGAGCGAACCAGGTTCCAGCATGTAAGTAACAATTTCTGGCATATAATTAGGAGTGTTTCCTGGTCTTTTATGTTATGCCCCAAGAGAGGGAGGTCCCTTCAATTGCTGTGAAGTAGCAGACAATCATTTGTCAGAAAGATCATCTGCACTGCCATTATTGCTGGATGTCAGAAGTAGGATAACTCATTTCCAGTAAATAAGTGGTGGCTGAGCTTTAGGAATAAGGAAAATAAAGTTCTATATCAAGTTTGTGTAGATTTTATAATTTGGAGTTTGCACAGACAATGTTTTTGCAGAAGGTACTTAGCCAGGTGGTAAAGGATATTAGAAAGTGTGAAGTAAGCTCTCTGTCTACACATTTCCTCCAAGGTGCTGGGCCCTCTTTGGGGTTACTCCAGCAGATGACCTATATTATAAATGCCATCACTGAAATTGTTCTCATCACATAGTATTTTTCCAGCTGTGAAGAAGAGACAGCACAATGAACTGGCAGAGGTTCTAGTTGTGTGGGCAAGTGAGGAATAAAGGGGATGAAGCAGATTAACAGAGTTATTTTGGAGGAGCAGCTTTTGTGGAGCTGGTTTGGTGCTATGAACTGCCCTTTCTGGGTCAGTAGATGTATGGAGGGGACAGGCTGCCACTCCACACCCAAAGGATATACCTTCATTTTCCTTTCTGACTCCCACTTCTGATTATCCACCTTTTTTTGTGGCAGCAACTGAGGGAATGTTCTGTAGAGATGTATTGATTCAGATTGTAACCAGTAAGTAATTTAAAACATCGAGTCTTTGTCCCAGGACATGGAGAACGTTTGTGTGACTTGTGGCACTCTTAGACTCTTGTTAAAGAGCTAAGCACTGACAAGTCTCCTTTGCTTCATTATGCAATTCTACACTGATTTCAGAGGGAAACAGACAATGCTAATTAAAAGACCAGTTAGTTTTCACATGCAAATATTTGCCTGATTTAGATGAAAGCTGTTAATATACTCTCCATATATATATGCTTTTTTATACAGGCCCTGGTATATGTGAAGGTGTGAAGCAAGAGGCCATGAAATTTGTGGAGGATGCAGAGCAGCTTATCCTGGCCTCAAATGGGTCCCAGTTTGCCTTTGGAGAGAGCTTCTTGCTGGCAAAGGGGATCCAGCTGATGGACAGTGAGCTCCTGCGCTCTTCTGGGCCCTATGGGCTGGAGAGAGGCATCTCCCAAAAGCTGCTGCTGGGCAGTGACTCTGCTCTCCAGCTGGCTGCTTGGTCAGGTGGGTGGAAGGGAGAGGAGGGCTGAGTTAAATGGATTCTGAATTGCCCAGAATCTGTGCAAGAGCACTTGGTGTCAAATGCAACTTTGCTGAAAAGCAGGTGCCACTCAGCAGGGGTAATTAATCAGGGTTAATTAAGCTGCCACTCCAAGAATTGATTTCAGTTGTCTCATATGTGTGACACAATGCAAATGTAAAATCTGGGCATTAACCAGCCTTTATGTACTTAAATTTATTTACTAATTTGTCTTCTGATGCACAGGGAATATTCAGATTTTTGCAAATATGTGGATTTAATGTATCCTGTGTTGGGCACTAGAAGCTTTCTTTTACTTCTCTTTTATAGTCCTGCAGTTCTACTGGCAGAGTCACTTTACATCAAAACGTTCTGCTGGGGAAGCAGCACAGCTGGGATTTCTCCCTTACATCCCTCAGTGTGATGGCCTGGGAAACTGGGAGCCAACTCAGTGCTATCAGAGCACAGGTGAGCAATTCCTAACAAGACACTCTGGGCTATCTAAACAAAACAAAACCCCCAAAAAACCCAAACAAAATAAAAAAATCCCCTAAGAATTCTAAATAAAAGATAGAAATCCAGTAATAGTCAGTCTGGAGGAAGGTGATGTGGTCTACAAGATGTGTGTAAATTGTCTGGACTCAGGTGGCAGCTCATTGGGGCTCAAAAATCAGCAGATATTCGGTTGCTTGCTGATAATTGTGTTCTTTGGGAGTTGGTACCAGGGGCTGGTATTGCTTAATGCTTTCACCCATGACCATGGTGATGGTGGAGCACACCCTCAGCAAGTTTGTGGATGATGCCAAATTTCTGGGAGTAGGTGACAGGGCTGCAGTGGGGGAGTCCCACCAGAGCTGCTGCATTTCTGTTTGCACCACTGCTCTCAGGTGTGGTCTGCTTACCCCTGGATAGCAGAGTTACCTGTGACTTGGGTTTACTGACCCCTTTCTGTGGAGCTCCTGAGGGTGAAAATCTTCCTAGTATGCAACATGTAAAATAAAGCTGCTTTTCTTCCCTGGCCAGGTCATTGCTGGTGTGTGGATGAGAGAGGTCGTTATGTGATGGATTCCTTGGTCTCACGCTCAGCAGAACTTCCCAAATGTCAGTTGGGTTTCCTTTCTAAATATTTGTCTTTACCTGCTCTTGCAAATTTTAATATCTATTGGAAATTCTAATATGATATGCATGAAGTAAGGCTTGCTTCTAACCATTGCAAGAAAAGTAAAAATATATTCTTATTTAGCTAATTAATTTAATTTCACTGTGTGTAATTTTGGTTTGCATGATTTGAGAGTGGACCCTCTACTGTTGGCAGCCCTGCCTGAGAGGGGGACTGGACCATTTATCCAACCAGGAATCTCCAGAGGTCCCTTCCAACCTCAGCTGTGATTTTATCAAACACCAATCAGGAATTCCCTGCCTGAGACTGTAGCAGTGCCTAATGCAGAGGTGTGAGGGAGCTAGTGATGTGACTCTTTCTCTTGCTTAGGTCTGAAACTTGATTTCATTTAAGAAATGTTTTCTCTCTGACAGGCCAGACTTCATGTCAGCAATCTCGAGCCAATGCCATGATTTCCAGCTGGAGACAGAGCAGTGCAAAGCTGGACACCTCTGCAGCTGATCTGTTCATCCCCAGCTGCCTTGAGGTGATTTGACATGGCTGAGGGAGGAGGCAGTTTTACCATGCCATAGTCATGCACACTTTCTGTCCAGGCTCCTGTAGTGCACTTCTATTAACCTGAAAGAAAAGACAAAACTAAGAGCTGGTATTGCCCTGCAGAAGGCAGAATTGAAGTAGTTTTGAGATGGAGACTGGGAATAGGAAGCTCTGTGCCTGCCCACACCTCCCTCCCACAGGCTGGCTCTGCCTGGTGCTCTTGCAGAGTGGTGATTAAAAGGAACCTCTTAATTGAATGACATTTGTGGGGCTCTTCCTTCCTAAGCTGTGAGAGGGAGCTGGTTGCAGATGTCCCAGAGAAACAGGGTCTGTGATGCTCTCAAAATGTGGCAGTGAGCAGGATAGAGACAGGCAAGGAATTATGTCATGTAATAGAATCATTACCATATAAATAATCATATATTATAATATAAATCATGTAATCCTTTAGGTTGGAAAACACTGCAAAGATCAAGTCCAGCTGTTACCCCAGCATTGCTGAGTCCACCACTGAATTTAAGCACCACATCTACACATTTTTTGAACACATTTCAAACTAGGATTTTATCAGAGCTTTATCTCAGTGGACTTAGTCTACATCCTTCTTAATGTTTTGACTCACTGATCTTAGAGGTCTTTTCCAACATAAATGCTTCTTGATTCTCTCAGGGACTGGTCTATCAAATTAGTTATGCTGTATTTTGTGTTTCTTTTCAATATGTTTTAATAATGCACAGGTGTAAATATAATAAAACATTTTAACCAACCCTTGGGGCATGGATTTTGGTGTGTCTGTATTAAAATACACTGCTCTGCAATGACAGGTCCTTGATTCTTTGTAGACAGGAGAATACACTGTGCTGCAGAGATCTGACACAGATATTTGGTGTGTGGATCCTGTGTCAGGAGAAATATTCCAGCGTGGCAGCAGAGGCTTGGATGGCAATCCTGAGTGTGAGTAATGCTTTGCCCCCTGCCTGTGATGCCTCATGCTGTTCCTTTCAGAATGCTGCCTGTGAAACATGGGAGACTCAGAGTTTAATTCCTCAGTGATAGGGTACAAACTCAGCAACACTGAAAGGGTATCTGAAAATAATTACCCTTTACTTTCAGAACAGCAGAAATAAAACAGTCTTGGCAAACTTATGAATGTGTTTCTATGCATTTTTTAATATTTGATTTCTTACCACCATTTAAACTAATTAAAAATGTAAATGATCATATCACTACCTTTAAAATTACCTTGATCAAAAATTTTTACTAAAAGCTAAAGTTTTACTAACTTGATTTTTTTTTGCCTCCTAAATATCAGTCTCTAAATGATACACCATCACATTAGTAACAACAACATCAACAACAAAAAAAGATATAAATGAAAAATAAATAACAGCATTTTTTCAACTATTTTTCTAAAGGAGTATCACTTGTATTTTAATCTTTAGAAAAAAATGTGGGTTTTTCTCTAGTATAAGTAAGTTCTTCATTTCTATAATGAAGCAAATAATTTATTTTCTTGGTCACTCTTCTTTCTTCCTACCAAGAAAACAGGCTGGAAGCACTGCTGGTAAAGTCTTTAGGTCAATTTGTTGCATTCTATTCTGTGTGTTGCAAGGAATCTGTCTCTTTGCAGGTCCCAGTGTCTGTACCATGCTGAGGTCCAGAGCAGTCTCAGGAGCAGCTGCCAGAGGCTACGTGCCCCAGTGTGAGGGGGACGAGGGGGGTTTCTCCCCTGTGCAGTGCAGCCAGGACCAGGAGAGCTGCTGGTGCGTCTTGGGCAATGGAGAGGAGGTGCCAGGGACACGAGTGAACGGGGGAACACCGGCATGTGCAAGTGAGTCCTGCTTCAGGGCTTTTACTCCTGAGCAAATCCAGGCCTGAGATTTCACCCACATCCTAAATTCTTCCACTCCCTAGTCAAATTTAATCTTATTTCTTCAGACCTTTAGAGATGTTTGCTCAAGCAACATGCTTATCTTTGTGTTGTAGCAGATTTCAGACCTGCCTGGGCATGCTGTCCAGTTTTCTTCAGGTGTTTTGTGAGGGGAAAAAGAGAATAGATCCTTGATTTTTCCCAATTCATAAAATTGGTTGAATCAAACCATTTCAGCTATGAAACCCAGCTATAAGGCCAATCCCAACAGCTTGCTTCAAGCTTAAACCTGCTCCAGTCTGAGCTGGCTCTGGGATTAAAACCCATTCAGCTGACTAAAATAAAATTTGAAAAATGTATGCTTCTGCCATTCTGGCTCTTGGCTTGTGACCAGAATTGTGAAAAAGATGTGCCAAAACATTGCATATTCACAGAGTATTTCCTGAATGACCAGAGCTGTGAAGCACTGGAATTCACTCATGGTTTCCAGTGAGATATTCAAATGAGAAACTTTTGGATAAATTTAATTTGCAATGTCCTTTATGCATTTTCCCATCACTGAAGTGAAGCAAAATTAATTAAACTTTCTACAAGGCTTTGTTCCAAAATGTAATGATTGGTGGAAAGTAGAGATGTAAAAAGAAAACCTTCAACAGTTGTCTGCAGGACACTGCTGTTTTTGTAGGTTTTTTTTGCTGATTTTTTTTTGATTGTTTGGTTTGAGGGAGAAGAGTTGGAAAAATGTTAGGGAAATGAGACCACATCATTTGCTTCAGTTTCCTTTTGTGATTCTGCTGTACAAAGATCAACACAAGCTTGTGCTCACTGACCGAATAGAAGATGTGACACTTGAGGACATGGGTTAGTGGAGGAGCTGATAGTGCTGGGCTCAATGATCTTACAGGTCATTTCAAATTTAATGATTCTACAATTCTCTTGTAAAACACCTGAATATGTCAACCCAATTGCCTGCAAGATTTTTATCAACCAGGTAGCTGCTCAGCCAACTTGGGAATTTCTTTGGGCTCTCTTGTATCAGTAGAGAGTTCTGAGGGTGGGATTTTAGGAGGCCAGAAGGAGAGCCCATGGCTGTATCTGCCCCATGCTCCTGGTGTGGTGTGGAGATGCCAACTGAGCTCTGAGGAGATGAGCTCCAAAGCAGGGTGGTGTCGTCCCCTGAACCTAGCCATCCAAGGCAGGTCTTTAGCTCTTCAGAGGAGCAGAGCTGCCCACAAATGCAGTGCTGCTGCCATCCTGTACTTTACCTAGAGAAAATAGTGAATAATAGTGGTTAATGACCTTTCTTCCTTAAAATCCTGAGCTGAGAAGAGCTGCCTTGAAAGTGTAGTGGGAACCTGGTTTTACTGAGACCTATTTGTTATTTTCTGCATAAAGATTGAAATAATCTTTATTAGTTTCCCTGGATTTTGAAAGCGCAATGGAAGTTTTCATGATATACAACTTAGTTACTGTGTAAAAATAAAGAATCAAAAGTTAGTTTTCTTCTCAGTCTACCCAGCCTCATGCCTCTAGTCCTGGGAATTACTAATTGTTCAGGAAAAAGGAGTACTATACTGCTACCTTGGAGATCTTGTCTATAAGCAAAATAAGCTGTTGTGGTGGGAAAATATGATAAATTTCTCCTCCAGCACCAGAACAGACAACTGTAAACAGAAAGTAATAACTCAGAGTGCCCAGTACATGCCAGGAGGCTTTCATTAGTTTAATCACTTCCATCAGAGGTAGAACCCAACTTCTTCTAGCTGACATGTGCTGGAGAGACGATGTCAAGTACCCTAGCAGTCCTCACATGCTTCTCCCCTCCTCATGCCCACATCCCATAACTGAGTAGAGACAGAGGAGAGACAGGTTTCTAGAGAAGGTCCTGGAGATGTTAATTTCCTTGTGAAAAATCTATGGAAACCCCTATGAAAGAAGTTTAATGGCCAGGATAAGTATTACAATCTCTTTTACAGAGCTATATTCTGGTGCTAAAACCTTGGGAGATGTATCAGAGGTTTGTTAAGCACGGGTGCCAGGTTTCCACCTTTACTGAGAGTCTGGCTACAGAGTCAATGAGTGAAGAGAAGGAATGTAGTGGCCCCATTTATTGAGTGATTGCAAAAAAGTTGCTGTAAAGGAGACTTGGATAAAAATATGCATTTGGCAATTCAGAGAGGCAGATATGAAAGGTTTTTTGTTGGCATTGAAATGCTCAGAGTTGGAAAACAAAGATGTTCTGCACACACTGGATCCCAGATTCATCCTGCAATGTTTTAGTACTTTAACTGAAAGTTTAATACAAGGTTTTTAATACTTTAAATGAAGTGGCTGCTTAGTTATGATATCAATCTTCATATCTTCATCAGAAGGGGAGAGGGAGGGTGCTCAGACCTGAACCACCATCAATGTTTGACTCTCTTCTATAACTGGGAAGTTTAGAACTGATCTGAGCATTGTAGTTTGGAAAATGATCTATATATACACCAAGCAAGTGAATTGTATGATAGGATAACATCTTTTTCTTTGTAATTATTTAAAAGTGAGGAAGTTGGTTTTTTTTGTTCCTACGTTTTGTAGCTCTGGAACTCGTAAGTATTTAACTATTGCTGGATATATTTAATAATTACGTTGGGATTTGGCTAATATTGAGTGAAGCATTTGGCTTGTACTGATAAGTAAAAATTAATTATCACTGTAATTAATCTGCTATAATAGTCTGTTACAATGGGCTAGCAGGGTTTGAATGACTGTAGTCATACAGAGTGAGCTAATAGGGAAAGTTGTGCTCCATCCAACTCTAAAGCTGTATACTACTGTTTACTACTGTTTATTTATATACATACATAATATATATATAATATATAACATATATATATACACTATATATATATACACACACTACATATATATGTTTATATATATACACTATATATATATATAAAAAAAATATAAAATATATTTATATATAATGTATATTCTGCCCTACTGGTCACTAGAAACATCATGGTGCTGCTGAAGACACCACAGTCATGAGTTCCTGATCTCAAACCTTTCAAACTTCAGTCTAAAGGGAACTGAAATAGGTTTCTTTGGCCCTGCCTGTTTCCACTAGATATCTTCTGTAAAGATTTGTTCTGCTGTTGGTTAGAAATCTCCTTCTCATTTCCTGCTTAAATTTATTCATGACTGTTCAAAATGTATCTGTTCCTAGAAACCACGCACATCCCTTTCTGGACCTGATGCATTGCCCATCACTTTCCATCAGCTTCAGTAAACTGAACCAAGCTGACCTCAAACCAGATCAAAGCTGATGAGTGGGAAAGGCTCAGGGTGCTGTCTAGGTTTGAATCTGTAGATATGAGGGGTTTATGGACTTTGTCAATGTAGGATGTCCCTAACACGTATCCCCTTTCTCCCCTGCCTGCAGGTCCGCAGTGTGCTCTGCCATTTGGTGCCTCAGCAGTTGCCAATGGGGCTGTACTTTGTGAAAACATCCCTGGGCAAGCTCCAAGCATCCAGCAGTGCCAGCTCATGTGTCGCCAGGGCTTCCACAGTGCCGCTCCCAACACCTCGTTCCAGTGTGACACGCGGCAGCGGCGCTGGGTCTCGGCTGCCCCTCTGCTCCAGGCCTGCCAGAGTATGTCTGACCTGATCTGATCTGATCTGATCTGACCTGATCTGATCTGCTGGGGCTTGGGGAGGGCTCAGAGCAATGTAAACAGTGCAAAAATCATCTTTTATCACAGAACTACAGTGTGAATAACAGCCATAGTTATAGGGGTGCTGCTAAGTTGAGGTGCAGGAGATGTGTTCTGTCCTCTGCCATCTTCACCTCTGGCTCTTGGCTGGCCCCAGTGCCAGAAACTGTCCCTCTTGACTGTAATAATAGAGCTATAAATAGCTATTCAATCTATATGCAGATTTTTCTTGTTAGTTAAAAGATGCTGGCACCGTAAGTGATTCTGATGGAACTACTTAGTCCTGGAAGAACAGATGAGCACCAGATGTTTGAATTTGGCACAACTTGACTGTTTATTTGCATAATCAAGTCACTGTTACTTCTGCATCTTTTTTGCAGCAGTCTGTTCTTAAGGATTATTGTTGTATTTGTTGGCTGACTTCTGGTATTTTTCAAACCATTTTGCTTTCAAGAAAAAAATGGCACTTTAAATCTGGAAGAATTTGATGTCCATTCAGAGCTCATGCAAATGGATATTAATGTTGGTCTTTTCAATTATTTTAAAAAATACATACATTCTGATCAAAATAACAATTTGTAGTAGTGCTGAACTTTGAGAAATGCAGGTATTCCTGCCAAGTTTGCAGCTACTTTTCATTTCCAGAATTGGTTACACCCATTAGTCAGTCTTCAGAATGGGTTAAACTCTTGTATTCCAAACTAATATTTTTAAACTTTCAATTTCAGTCTGAAACTTTTGTCTGTTTGTGATTGTGTTTGTGAGGTTTCTGTACATGGTATGAAATAACTTTCATGTTTGCCTGATGGCAGTGGAATTACTTTGTAGGGACAGAGGACAGTGTGTGGCAATCTGCTGTAAAGTTTACTGTAAGCCAAGGATTTCCCCCAGTAATTTGTGTTTGGAATACAGCATGGTTTTAAGGAGAAATAAAAAATTCCCAACCCATTGGAAGGCAATTGAACAAACTTCACAATAATGGAGAATTCACCAAAACACTTAGTAATTTGTTCCAATGGACAATTACCATCACTCTCAAAGATTGTATTTCCTGTTCTTTATGTAAAAAAGCTAAATCAGCTCTTTAATACTCTCTGGGAAACTGAGCAGAGAGAGGGCTTTGTGCCTTGCAGGAAGAAGCAGGGGTTTGTGTCCTCTGGTCTTGGCTGCCATTCTCCTTGGGTGCTCTCCAGGCTTCCTCATGCTCATTTTTGGGGTGAGGGATGAGGAACTGTGCAGTGACACTTGTCTGTGATGCAGGGAGGGCCTGCAGAGGAGCTGAATGAGGGAGAGCTCTGCTGCTTGTCCAGCCTGGAGGGATAAGAGCCAGCTCCATTTGTAGGTAGAATGACAGCAAAACTGCTGAACCTGGGATAACAAACCTTCCATGAAGCCTGGGATCAGTGTTACTCCAAGGGAGACAAAAAATATGCGTATTTTTTTCTTGCTAAAAGCTGATTAAATAGATTTTGATTTTCTGACTGATGAGCTCACAGATTTGTCATCAATTTGTGTGAATAGCTTCACTTGTGTTCGCTGTCAAAAGCTCAGACAGATCTTGTGGATGTCCATGGCAATGTCATTATTCTGCAAATTTATTCTCTCCTAAAACTTATTCCCAGTTAGTTTGACAAGCTGAGTTTCCAGAAGCCCATTTACATTAGTATTAATTGCTTTCACCGTTAAATTACTTTTTTAATAGAAGTGTTTTCATGATTGCATGTAAGAAAAGTGAAAATTGGCAGGTCCAAAATTTTTGTCTTTCTTTTCTATGTATTGGCATAATATCAGCTTTCAGGTAACTCTCTGGAACTTCCTATTTGCTGAGGATTATGAAAAATTATCAGTAATGATCCAGTTTGTCCTTATCCATCTGTGACTTAGTGCTCCAGTGTAAGATATCTCTTCATTATTATCACTTGTTTTTTCTCTAATGCAAAATATTTATCAAGCTTGTGTCTTGCTGCTTGTTATTTACTGACAACTCTACTGCCTTCATCTAAATGGGGGAGATACTTTTGATGCAACATGGAATGTCAAATCAATGTTGTCTTTTCTCAAAGTAACTCTGGAGGTCAGGCTCCTCATCTGTGAGGTTACTAAATGCCACCTCTACTTCATTTTTAGAGCTCCAATTATTTCAGACAGTCCAAGCTCAAACACACTTTCAACTACGCCTGCCTCCTGAGAAGACATGCAGTTCTGACTACTCTGGATTACTCCAGGCATTCCAGATTTTTATTTTAGATGAATTGAAGGCTCGTGGTTTATGTCACCTCCAGGTAATTTAAATTCCTTTTCTTCCATTGTTGGTGGATTTTGTTTGTTTGGTTTGGTTTGGTTTGGTTTTCTTTGGTTGGGCTCTGTGTTGCATCAAAAATTAAAAAAAGTGAGACAGAGCATAGACCTTTGTCTGTTTGAGAAGTGTGGAAGAATGGAATATGCCACAAGATCTGTCAGGATTGGCAGCAATCTCATATGGATGAGTGGGAAAATAAGAGATTTAGTCTCACACCACATCATCAGATCAGTTTAGTTCCAGTCATAAAAGTCATATCACACCAGCCCAATATTTGTTAAAAATTAGTTTCAATGGGAGAGAATATTTTGACTGTGCTTACAGTGAGCATATGACTTACTAAAATTCTATTTTCTTGCTTCTGATTGTACAGCCCCTTTTGACAGTGTTACTTTGAGTATAGTACAGTGCAAATGATTCCTGCAAGGCAGGAACAAGGAAGTCCTCGGGTTGACTGTGATTTCACTTAATTCTGAATTCAAGGTAAATGCATTTGGAAAAACTGGCTCAGTTTCCATGTGTGATGATTCCACTGTCTATGTCGAATGCCTGAGCGTGGATCGCCTGGGAGTGAACATCACCTGGAGGACTCAGCTAGAAAACATCCCAACAGCTTCTCTCCCTGACTTACATGATATTGGTAACTTTTATGTCTCTGATGTTTCTGTGGCTTAAACCTGATTTTCTGTTAATCATTTTGTTTCCATCTTTATAACACTAGCATTGTGTTTTTGAGCTTTTAGTGTTGATATATTTCCCTTCTCAGGCTGTGGCCACACAGGGGAAAGAAGCTATAATTAAATGTTTCTTTCAGATAGGACTGCCTCTCCCAGCTGCTGTATCTAGGATTGAAAATTACTTTATTGAGCATGAGCTGAACTTTATTGGGCATGAACATGTCCCAGATGTTAATTTCCATTGGACAAGTCCTCAGTGGTGGAAAAGTGATTTTATTCATTGTATTCAGAGAAACACAATTCACACATTGTCAAAAACTTAACAGATTTCTTCCAATTTATTTTTTGACCTTTTTTTTTTCCCCTTTTCCCTTTTTTTCCTATTAGTTGCATTATCTTTGACACTAAAGAATGATCCTTACTTCTGACATCCTAGAGCAACTATACAGAGACTGCTGACTGGCAGATATTTACTGTGGTTTCCACAAGAGTTAGGGATGGTGTAAGGAACTTCTTTTAAAGCAGTCAGTATTTTCCTTCAAAATAAAAGGTATTAAGAATATATCCCAAGTTCAAATGCCCTGTGTAGGCACATGAAGAATAGTGGCCTATATCAAGAATTGTGTGGCCAGCAGGACCAGGGCTGTGACTGTCCCCCATACTCAGCACTGGTGAATGCTGAATCTCGAATCCTGTGTTCATTTTCAGACCCCTCACTTCAAAAAGGACATTGAGGTTCTAGAATGTGTCCAGAGATGGGAAATGGAGCTGGGGAAGGGTCTGGAGCTCAAGTCTGATGCAGAGCAGTTGAGGGAGCTGGGGCTGTTTAGCCTGGAGAAGAGGGGAGATCGTTTTGCTCTCTACAGCTGCCTGAAGGGAGGTGGGGATCATTCCCTTCTCCCAAGTCTCAAGTGACAGAACAAGAGGAAATGGGCTCAGGGTGTCCCAGGGGAGGTTCAGATTAGATATTAGAAATGTTTTCATTGAGAGAATGGTCAGGCATTAGAATAACCTGGCCAGGCAAGTGGTGGAGCCATGGGCACTGTTCAGGGGGCATCTGGATGTGTCACTTGAGGATCTCATCTAGGGGTGATTATGCTGCTGCTGGGTTGGTGGTTGGAATTAGATTATCTTGCAGGTTTCTCCCAACCTTGGTGATTCTGTGTGACTTTTCTCCAGTTTTACTGCTTTGGAATGGTGTTCCCAGCACTAAACAGAAACAGCTCTGCCTGCATGTGTCCTTCTAACTTTGGGGCTTGGAGATACGTGTCCTACAACAATTCTGCTTGGTCAGAACTGAATTCAAAGTCCTTCAGGACACGGACACAGATGGCAGCTGCAGTGGTCCTGTAGTTCCTGGCAATAGAATTGATATTGTTTACATCCATTCAGTTGTTCCATATTCTAAGGGGAACACAAACAGAATGAAAGAATGGTTTGGTTTGGAAGGGACCTTTAAAGGCCACCTAGTCCAACACCCCTGCCATGGGCAGAGACACCTTCAACTCAGCTGAGTTCCTCAGAGTCACTTCCAATTTGACCTTGAACATTTTCAGGGGAGGGGCACCTACTGCCTCTCTGTGCAACTTGGTAAAGTGTTTCACCACCATCACTGTAAAAAACTTCTTCCTTACATCTAATCCAAATTATATCTAATCTGAATTATATTTTATCTAATATTCCATTGCCCCTGTGAATATTCAAGAAGTTTGAAGAAAGTGAATCAAAGTAGAAATGTGTTTGGTTTTATATTCAACTTTTCTTTTGAAAGTGTTCCTCTTGGAAGGCATTGTCTTTTTGACCCTCCCACCACTATAAATTCCCTGCAGGACAAAAGTAGTTTTATGTGGGAATGATTGGATGGTTCCAGAGCAGATCCTGCTCTCTTTGTACAATGTAAATTGTCCCATTATGTTCCACCTTCCATTACCTGCTAAGGCAGCTTTGGGGCCTTCTGCTTGAGGTGTCTTTGGGTGCATTTAAACAGGGTGAGTTAGGTGAGGCTATAATTTTATAGACTCTGTACGGATTCATTACAGTCTCCTGTTCATTAACATGCTTGTATTTCTGCATCTGCCTCTGTTTTTATCTGCATCAGTTTCTGTGTGCTTATCCATTCCTGTATTATGGAAATGTTTCATGCTATTTTGTTGGCGTTTTTTTTCCTCTTTAGAAAATGCAATTGTTGGGGAAAATCTCATTGGAGCATTTATAAATGAGATTAAGGATGGTGTTTTTCTGCTGCATTTGGATTCCAAGCAGTTCCTAGCAGATTCTGTCATTGATTTTCCCCGGGATGAAGAGTTTGATCTGTCTCCCCGTGTGCAGCTCGGATGTAGGAGCGGGTTTCGAAGGATTTCATCTCCTGGGAAAGCAGGCCCTAATTCACAAGGATGTGGTATGTCTCATTTCTAGCTTTCCATTCTTAGATGTTGTCAGGAGTCAGTATAAAGCTGAAATTAGAAAGTCATCAGTGACCTTGTGTGTAAGGTTCATATTTGAAAGGTGTGAGGCACCAATGTGAATAGGAGAGATGGGAATTAGTGCTTTGTTTACTATTCAGTGCTTATGAACCAATGATTTGGAAATAGGCATCATGGCACTGGCATTGTATAGAAAGTTTTTTAAACATTTTTGAGATTTTTGTTAGCATTTTAGATCTGTCTGGTAATAGAAGGTCTTTCTGTAATGCATGTGGTCATTAATAAGAAGATTTCACAAAGATAATGTAGCCAGAGCTTCAGATAATGATGGATTACCTAGAATAGAAACCTAGATGCAGAAATACCAAAAGTCCTGACATTGTGAATTCCTGGGCCATGTCCAGCCAGCTCAGATGGAAGATTTTTTGGTGCTGGCCAACACCCAGACCTAACTGCACTTCTGCTCTCTTTTCTTCTTCTTTCCTTCTGTTTAGTCTGCTTCCCTGGAACAGGCTCCCTTTCTGCCAGCATCCTGCTTAGGGCTGCCAAACCTGCCTTTTCCAGAGCTCCCTTGGCTGTGCCAAGCTGTCCTTGGTACCAGGTCACGCTGCCAAAGTGCCTTTGCCTTAAGAGCCCCACTCCTGTTTCTGTCAACACCAGCCTTCCTTCAGATCCCAGTTGTTCTTGTTGGCCCAGTTGTCCTCAATGAGTCCATGCCCCATTTATGGAGTTTGGGATGTATTCACTACATCTAGCCTTTTTTTTTTATCCAGGGAATAGAGGAGAGATACTTGTAGATATGAGGTAACAGAAGCAGGTGTCGGATAAATTTTCCAGTGTTGGGAACATTTTCAGATCTTCACTGCTATGAAGCAAATTTCATCACTTCACTGTTATGAACCAAATCAGAATATGTGAAAAAAACTTATCTACCTACTTGGTGTGGTGTTTCTCTTTAAGTTCAGAGTGTTTTCTAATTCCTGGGTAAGGTACTCAAGTGATGAACCACTTTTGAACTGCTGCAGTTTCCAGCCTGGATCTATAAGGGTAAATTTGCTACAGGTTCAGTTCATCTCCAGTCTGAAACACTTCAGATCTGGGTTATTTAAACATATGCAGAAAAAAATAAATGAATTCCTGTTGAATCCAGAGTCCATAACAACTTGCAGCTACTTAACAAGATGTAGTGTTGTGTTGCTTAAAGGTATCACTATTTTTTAAGTAGAATCCATCCCTTAGAGCAGAACTTACAAAGAACTGGATCTTTCTGCTGAGTACTGCCTCCAGGCATAAAGGCCTCTAGGAAGCAGTGAATTAACTTGCCTTGTGAGTTAATTCATACATATTTGAACCAGCTAGCTGTGGAAAATGTCACTCAGTAAAACAGACATCACAGATATGTGGAAGGAGACAGTTTCTGCTGCAGCTTTGACAGAGATTTCATACTATAAAGCTGTCATAGGTAGCTGCTGCTGGACACTGGTTTGTGTTGCAGGACTGCTTATTTTATTCTGAACAGAAAACTTAGGAATTCAAGTTATGGTTCTTCTAATATATATGGATATATCCTACTCATTCATCCTGTCTAGGTCTGTTTCCCAACTCATAATAGGGACAATTAGTAAGGAGCATCACCTGTGATTACAGATTACAAAGTTATTTGACGGTGGCAGAGATTCTTTATTCTCTTCTCTTTCCTCTTCTGCCTTGTTCTTGAAATACAAATTGTGTTTTCAGATCCTGATCTTTTTTTTATTGTTTTGGTTTCATTTCACTGTCAATGTCATTGCTTTTCCTTCAGGAAGCATGGTCAGCTCAGTAACAACAGGTTTCTGATGTTGTCAATACTTAATATATTCACCTATGAAATGTGACCTATACAAGCCTCTTCATCTCTTGTATTTTCCTTATTATTTAGGATTGCATCTATTGTTGTGTTGTTTCATGCTTTCCTGCCTATAAAATGGGTAACATTTATCATATGTTAGTTTTTCTTATACAACATTTTTTCTTTGTCTCAGCCTTACCCTGAGTTATGTTATGTCATATCTTTGGTACAATTCCTTATGAGTTGTGGGTAACAATATTATTTTAGCTAAATTTTAATAGTAGAAGAAGCACTTTCTTTTGCTAAGGTGTGAGTTAAAACTAAGAGAGTTGGAAACTGTCCAGGAGGACTTTAGGAGCATAACCTTCCTCCCCCATTTATTTCAGGAAAAAAGCTAAAGGCTGTAGTTATTTTAACTTATCTTTTCCTCTTTTAAGGTTACACAGTTTGGTCCCACTGGTAATACATAGTTCTGAGATTTTGGCTGAAAGTTGTTCTCTAGTTTCTCATGTTGTTAAAATGTATTCATGATAATGCTTGAAAGAAGTACAATAAAATGGTTTGTCTCACCTGTAGGGTCAGACTGAACCTACATGTGATGGTGTCAGCATGGCCTCTAGCTGAAGTGATAGGTCCCTCCAAGGGTTATAGAGTCTAGAAAATGTGATTCTGCATCAACATTTTTTACTGTTCTTTGTGTTCTTTTGTCAATTCAATATGTGAGACGAAAGACAATTTTCACTCAAGATGTGATGGGAGACAGGGATGTTTCTTTCACATTGTGACTAAAACTACAAAAAGCCAGGAGAATGCTTTCAAAAGCTTAATTTGTTTCTTTTTAAACTTTAATTGCTTAATTATCCTCTTCATTCTATTTTGTCTTCAATTTAGGCATGTATTTCTCATTTCACTTTAATTTCTGCTGTTCAATGAGTATTATGCTTTTTACATGTGTTGGAAATTGTCTTTGAAACATATCAGACACTCTTGTGTATTAGATGATGGGTTTTTGAAAGTAGAATTCTCACTGATCCAGGACTTTTTGCATTCTGTAATTGATTTTAGGTATGTGTTTTACCCAGAGTAATTGCCTTGATGTGTACTAAGAGGAAAATTTCAGTCTCACAGTTGTATCTTCCCAGACCTTCCCACTGGACTGTTTACAGCAGATGAAGGAAGATATGATAATTTTCCTACTAGCTGTCTTTTTAGTCTATTATAATTTAGGTGGTCCCATGAGCTAAATTCATTTGCATTCTGGTGTGTTGGCCAGAGCAGTAATTCATCATATGGGTTGTAGTGAGAATGGCCAATATTCCATTACTCTTTCTCTCTTGTGGAAGCTTAAGCTTCTGTCAGGATGCAGGGCAAGAACAGAAATAAAGATTTGCACCTTGTCAAAGTCCCAAAATATACATTTGATAGTGTTTTGAAGGAAATCTACATCTGGGAAGCAGCTGTGAAATAACAAGCAGGGGTATTGTCCTGCAAATATGTCTGTGACTCTTCTGCTTTAATGTTCATTTGAATGCTCTGGAGGGAAAGACAGTATTCCATGATATCCCAGAAGACAACTTTCTCTGTAATATGCAACAGGTCAGCTGGAAATATTGCTTCTGGTTGTTTTGAAAATCATAGATACAGACTAAGAACATCACTAAGAACACCTTTTTGTTTTGTGTTTCGGTTGTCATGTGCATAAGTAGTGACTTTTAATCCAGCCATTACTGTTTAGTTTGGAAGTGCTTAACAAAAATTTCTTTACCAGGAATTCTGAATGAAAGTTTTACCATATGGTGGATTTCTGTATGATGGTTTTGGAGTTTCTTCTCCTCAGAGCCTTCCTGTTTGTGTTTATAGCCTTAGAAGTTACTCTTTTTGTAGCTTGTCTTCCTTTGTTTTCTTTCACAACTCATCCACCTGCATTATCTTATTACAAATGGATCTGACAGTTGCAAATCAGGCCTGGACTTGGCATTTCCAAATTGCTTCATGTGCTCTGATTCAAGAACAGATTTTGGGTGATATGAGAAAACATATCACAGCCTGTATTCCTGTCATTGATGAGTTTCATGGTCACTTAAGGTGTGCTTACTTTGTTGTACCACGTAGAAATACATATATTAAGATCATGAAGCCTATGGCAAATCTATCAGCATTTTAAAAATATATGTGTGTATATATACATTTTGTGTGTGTGTATATATATTTATAGATATATACCCACACATATGTGTGCAAATGCCAGAACTGGTTGAATTCCAGATGAGTAATAAGGTGATTGTTCTCTTTGCAGTTGTTTGTCCTCCAGGCAGTTATTTCCAGGATGATGAATGCATTCCCTGCCCTCTTGGCTACTATCAGTATCAGACAGGACATTCCTCCTGTATCAAGTGTCCTGTGGGCAAAACTACCAACTCCTATGGGGCAATCAGTTCTGATCACTGTAAGTTGAACTCATTTTTCCCATAACCTTTATTTCTGGCTTCAAATATCTAATGATTTTTTTTTATTCATCTCTAAGTTTTTTTTTTAAAATTAAATCCTCCCTCTGGGGGTTTTTGGATGGACATGCTCCCTTCTGCATACATTTAAAAGCATTTTACAAAGTACAAACTGTCTGGTGTTCTGACCAAAAATGCATGAGAAACAAGTGGTCAGTTTCATCCAGGATGTTGTGGTTCCTCTAGACGTGTTCATTGTCCTCAGGAATGATGTCTGGCTGCTCAGTATCAGTAACAATCTTGTTATGAAGCTCATTTATTGTCACTCTCATGAACACGAAAATAAGTTGGTTTTGTGCAGCTCTTTCCCTGCAAATACAAACACTTGCCAGAAAGCAGCTATTGAAATGTTCACTAAAGCTGGTGAATTCAGCTGAAATTATTTGTTTTTTTCACAGTTCTATACAGAAAATCAGTTATTATGTCCAAAATTCGTTTTGTCTACAGAATTACCTTATATAAAATAAGATATAAATCAGAGTACCAAGAATGGGTTTTTTGGGGAGTGCCATTGAATATATGGTCTACTTTGTTCTCTTTCAACCTATTTGTTCTCTTAGGTGGGATAAACCTCCCATTTTCATTGTAATGTATCCAAACATCAATTAGCTTTTGCCTACAGTTATCATTCTTTTCCATGTGGGTTCCCTGGGTAGGTATTGGACTTATGCCCTTAAGAGTGTGTTCCTTAGAGCTTAAAAACTTGCATTTGCAATTTTCTTTACTAAATCTGTTCCCTGCCTGGTTTCCATTTTACTTTTGTGCTGCACCTCAGTGCCAGCCCTCTCCCAAAGGCCAGGTTACACATTACCTTCCTACTTTCTTTCATTCCTTGCTGTCTCCTCACAGAGCCTGAAGAGTTTTTCTGAATTAATTGGTGTGATAGCTCTTCTCATTGCTCACAACATTGCACAGTCACTGCAGCAGTCATTGAACAAACCTGTATGACAGTACAGTTCCTCCTCTGTACTTTGCTTTACAAATACATCAACAGAGATTTGATGCATGCCAGAGAATCCAAAAACTGTTTGAAACAGAAATTGAAGTAGCAGCAAAGCAGTGTTAGCTGCAGACTACCATGCTTCAGAGCATGAACTGCTGTGCAAAGCTTAGCTTAATTTTCAGTGAAGTCTCTGCTGTGCTAAAGGAACTTTTAAGTTTCAGTCCCACAGCACTGAAACATTGTCCTACTGCACTGGCAGGACCAGTGGCTGCACAGGAGGTTCCTTCTGAACATCAGAAAATGTTTTTGCTCTGAGGACAACCAAGCACTGGCTCAGGTTGCCCAGGGAGGTTGTGGAGTCCGTGGAGATGGGTAAAAGCCATCTGGAGAGGGTCCTGGGCTGCCAGCTCTGGGTGGCCCTGCCTGAGCAGGGGACTCTGACCTTACAACTTCCAGAAGTCCTGTCCAGCTTCTGAATTTTGTGAAACCCTCTGACAGCATTATCAAAGTGCCTTTTTTCCTTCCCTTGCTCTCGTACCAGGTGTCACATCCTGCCAGAGCAATGAGCAGGGCCTGCAGTGTGATGAAGATGGCCAGTACAGACCTGCCCAGCAGGACCCTGACACCAGGAAATCCCTCTGTGTCGACAGCTTTGGAGCAGCTCTGGACTGGACTCAAACAGAGGATCTCCTTACAGATGACCAGTGCTTGGGTAAGTGGCAGAGGGATATTTTGGATGTGCTTTGACCCCACATGGGTGAAACTTCCTTATGAAGAGACTAATCACCCCACAGGGATGATGGATGGATGGGGATTCACTGTCCCATAGTTACTCACTTCCCCATACTTGTGGCCTCTGCCTCAGGCCATGTTTCTCCTTAGTTTTGCATTTCTTGACTCCACTGGGGAAGTTATTTCTGGTAAGGGAAGAGAGAGGAGCAGGTTTCCTGGGCTCTCAGAGGGCTGCCAGCTTTTGATGTGTGCTGACCTTGTGCTCTCTGCTTGGAAACCCAAAAGAATAATGGGAGGGCTAATGAGAAAGAAGCAATATTAATAATTTATTTGTAAAATTATCCCTCATCTGTGTATTCATGGGAAATAGACTGTTTTCAGCAATGACCTCATAGCTACAACATAGCATCACCTCTGGGCTCCTGCTGTAAGGTATCTGACTTGGGGAGGACATCCTTGCAGGCTGGAGGAGGTTACTTCTGCTTGAATACAGCTGCAAAATGTTGGCTTTCAAGATGAAAAACTTAAAAAGCAAAGAATGTCGTCTATCAAACAGTCCCCAGACTGCCTGCAGTAAGGTCTAGTTGCTCTTAGCCTCAAAGCTTTTGCTTTTTCCCAGAAGTTTGTATATGCTCATCATATGATTGGTATTGAATTTAATGGAATGTTCTGTTTAGAAACTGATGTCATGGTGTGCTTTGAATTAGACAATGTCTTATGACAAGTGTGATCAGTGGAAGGAGTGTGAGAAGTAAAGCCCTCAGCTGTGAAGAGGTTGTTGCAAAAGTACCTCAGTTAAAATCACTCTTTTTTTATTCCTCTGAGCATACTCAGAGACTGATCACAGTTATGAACATGAGGTGAAAGCCTCTGTTGCTCTCAGTCGTGGGGTAGTTGGGATATTTCTCTGCAGAGAGAACTGAGGATATGAATTCTCCTGTTACCGTCAGTCTTCCTGCTTGAACATTTCTGACTCTGTCCAGGGTGGAGCAGTTGTAGATATTTGTGCTTGGTTTTGTGGATCATGCTAGAAGATGTCACTAAAGATATTTTTGACTGTTGAAAGTTCATTTATGACTCTTTAAAAACACAGCAACAATGTGTCATAGAATCACAGAATGGTTTGTGTTGGAAGGGACCTTAAAGACCATCTTGTTCCAGCACCCCAGCCATGGGCAAGGATGTCATTAAAAGATCAGGGTCCCATGAACACCTGAGAAATCTATTTTCTTGCTTGGATTTTTAAATAATAATTTTCTGACTTATTTAATTTTTTTATTTTTTTAAAATTTTGTTTTAAGATCATGCTTCATTTCTGGAAAGCATAATGTGAAGTTAAATTGTTTATGAATTCAACACACAGCAAGACAGTAGGGGCTGAAGGCTGATCTTGCTTTGGCAAGGGGCAGGAAGCTGGGAAGGGTCACCAAAATCCACCTGGTCTTTGGCTTTTAAGTCTTCAGACAGAAGAATTGCCTTGTATGAATGCAGAAGAATAAGCTATAACAGCCATTGTTTGTTATCACTCTTCTCTCTTTACATTTTAGACCACTCAACATTTATTACTCAGCATTTATTATATGGGGGTTGGGACTAGGTGATCTTGAAGGTCCTTTCCAACCTAATCCATTCTATGATTCTGTAATTATAACAACAGAAGGACCTAGAGTTCTGCACTAGTAATAAGTGAGATAGAGAATTTCTGCTCTGCACTAAGCCTGTGAAATGATTTTATGACTGCAATTTTTTACCTTTCTTTGTACTAAAAAAAAAAATCCAAGAATTTAAAAAAGGCAAATTTTCTACTATTTTTCATTGGTTTTAGGTTTACAGTTTCATAACACTTTCTATCTTCTGTCTATTTTTCTCCCATGTTATTGTATTCAATACAAATGGTATTCAACAATATGGGAGAAAAATAGAGAAAAAATATTTTCTCTTGGAAATTGAGGGGTTGGATGAAGCCAGGATTAGGGTGAAAAAAACAGAAGAAAAGAAAAAAAAATTAGAATGTAATTTTAAAAATTTGAATATTGGAATAGAAATGAGGGCAGCTTTTAACAAGGCATCACTTCCAGCTGCAGATACAGAAGGGATTCAGTTTTGTGCAGAAGTTAGCTAATGCTTGTATTTCTGTGCCCTGTATTTCTAGGAAGGAAAAAACTTCCACTTCTGCTTGCACTGTATTTCTTCCTTGTCCCCATCCTAACTGGAGCTCAAGGATTTTCTTGTGCTAGGCATTTGACAAACCCATATGGTTTTTTTTCCTGAGCAGAAATGATGGTTTTATCAAAAGCACCTGCTGGCTCAGCCCTGACAGCAGTGGACTTTTGCTTCTGATTTAGCCCTGACTCTTGCTGTATGAGTACAAATTATTGTTTTAATAACTTATCCCTGAGTTTTATTTCGTGGTTTGTCCAGACATTTCAGGGAGAGAGTCCATCCTGTGGCTGGACTGCTGTCCCCATGAGCCCAGGGGAAAGAGGGGCTGAGTGTCCAGCTCTTCCATGTGCAGACGTCTCCCACAGCTGGGATCACACCAGAGCTCCTGCTTTTGCCTCTTTTGGGTCCAGGCTCAGTGCTGGCTGCAAGGAGCTGCCTTCACCTGGAACCTTTAGAGAAGTTTGGTCACCAAGGGATGATGCAGAATCACCACGTTCTTCTCTTAACCACTGCATGGCTTGGGTTGGAAGGGATCTTAAAGATCCTCTCCTTCCAACCCTCCTGCCATGGGCAGGGATGCTGTGCTGTGCTCACTGAAATGCACTGGTGCCTCAACCTGTGGGCACAGCGTGCAGGTGGCATCAACCTCAGCAGGGTGGTGGGGGCACTGTGTGTCCTCTCAGCAGTCTGTAATCCTCTTCAGGCCACAGACAGGGCCACACCCTCTGGAGCCTGGATTAGATTTCTCACCCCATTTAGTGGCCTTTGGGGTTTGCATCTCCAGACCCCATGAGCTTTTCTCAGAGTGTGAGCAGTGCTGCTTGTCAGACTCCTCACACACGGGTGAGTGGATCCAGTGCAGGGGGAGCAGATAAAAGGCTTTGGTCAGTAAAGTGACAGTCAGTAACAGCATGTAGGACACACTACCTTGCATATATCCCTGGGCCTGAAGTCAGTGGAGATCAGGCTTGTGTGTTCTGGGTTTTCTGTCTAACCAAGTGCTGTTGGAGCTGTCTCTTGTTTCTGTGACTGATTTGGAGAAAGTTGGTTCCCCCTTTGACTCAATAGTTGGTTTGATGCCATGAACAAGTAATGAGAGATGGCAGGTCTGCTGCTGGAAGAGAAACCTCGCTGGAAAGTAAAATCCCAGCCCACTCCTGGCTAACTGTTTTTTAAAACATCTTGTGACACTTTTTATTTCAAAGCAGAAATTCTACCCTCACGCCAGCTGTCTCCTGCATTATCTATGAGGTTATGGTACCTCATTTAATGAGCAAACCTCTCTCCTCACAGAATTCAAGCTTCATTTCTACCTAAAGTCTTTGTTTGCAGCATGGGAACTGATAATACAAGTTGGTTGGGGTTTTTTGTTGTCTTTTTTTAGTGCTCAGAAAATTTGAAAGAGTTCCTGCCTCCAGCCTGATTTATGGATCAGAAGAAGCTCAAATTCTTCAATCTCAGTCAATTGGGGGAGACCTGCAAAGTACATATTTTCAGTGTATTTCAGGTGAGAAAACTGAGAAAAGCTGTAGAGATGACACTAACAATTTTGGAAAATAATAATATTTTCATATGATGAGTTTGTAGTTAAGTTCCTGGATGAACTGTGTGTTCTGCAGTTCAGCACCAATTCACTGCAAGATATTTACAACTTTTGGTGACCTTGATTCAGGGAAGAGATTGATGTTTCTTTCAGAAAGAAATCTTTTGGCTTTATATACTACTTCAGACAAGTCATCTGACTTTAAAGCCGGTTTATGTAGTTTGCAATACGAATGAGAACAGATTTAAACCAGGAAACATTCATCAGACTGTGCAGATGTGCAGACAAAAGAAGGATTAGATGTTCAGGACATATGAAAAGCAAGCTTTTACCTCTTCACAAATTACCTGATTGGCACAAAAAATAGGAATAATCATCCTTGCTAATGTCAGAAGGGTATTATAAGGAGTTCAGAGATATTCCTCTGCCAAGTCTTGCAGTTTATATACTATATTGCATCTGGTTTAAGTTGGTTCAGAATCATCTGAAACCCAGAAGAATCACCACACTGCTCTCAGGGTGCTTTGAGTCAGTCTCACCTTGTGTCTGCTAAAGCTTGGGCTGTGAAAGGAGGCAGAGGGATATGTTCAAAGTAGAAACTCTCTGGCAGTAATAACATAAATGTCCTGTTTGTAAGGTGGATACTAAAATTCTGACAGATCAATGGCTTTGTGTCACATGCCATGGTCTAGTTGGAACAATCACCTCTTGTGTTAAGAACTGAATATATGAAGCCTTTTATTACTAGGATGATTTTCATGCAGGAGCTCATCCTGGCAGTACACTAAGGTTTCTTGCACCTTCCCCTGAAAATGGAGACATCCAAAAGCAAGACACTGAACTGAGAGAGCCTGAGAACAAACCTGGGGAGGAAATCGTGATCTTTTGCCAACCGATTTGATTCCATCTCTCTCACAGCTGTATTTTCTTTATAAATTATGTAAATGGCAGCACAATTACAAGATATTACTGCTGAAGTTCTCATTGAGGGTTGAGGTTAATCTTTCCTTCCCTAAGTCCCTGTAAGGTCAGACAGCTCAGCTTGCATTTCAGCTGAGGTTTTTGATCTAAGTTGGTTGATTTTATACCAGAGATTTGGAAAGTGTTTGACCTGGGCTAGGAGCAGAGCTGTGGAGTAAATTAATGGTGAATGTGTAAGGGCAAAAGGATCTTCAACCACTCCTAAACCTGCAGGGTTTGGCTCTTTCTCCCTTGCAGTGGCCAGGGTGTTGCTGCAGGGTCAGCCAGCCTGACTGAAGAATTTGATGTTTCCCTCCTTCCTCTCACCCTGATATTTGTCACAACCTCTTTGCCATGGGGTTACTGTATCAGGCAGGTGTGATGTGCTGGAAAAGTGGTTCATGAGAGTCCTGCCTTGGGCAAAACTATCTAGCAGACTTTAAATATTTGGGTGTGTGGTCAGACCTGTCTCATCTGTTTATATCATCTGGTGATTAACAACTTTCTGCATTAATTTAATTCAATTTTAAATCCTTAACTCTCTACTAAAATAGTTGAGTACTAAAGATCATTTGGCTAATTAAATTCATGTCTGATAGACATATGGAAATCTACATAAGTGGCAGTAAGCAGTGGAATTTGTAGCAAGCATTTTGCATATGAAGTTCTGGGAAACCTAAAATTTCTTTCCTGTTTTTTCAGGCTGTGAGAGGGAAGATGACTGTGGCTTTGCAACTGTTTCTCCTGCTGGTACCGAAGTGCTCTGTGAATTATACAGCGCTGCTGAAGCCAACTTCAACTGTACCACCTCTGGATTGGTAAGAATGATCATATCTGAAAGTATATGTTTATCATAGTGCTGTGTGTTCAAAGTAAATAGACAAGATCACAGAAGAAATGCAGGCTGTTACCTGACCCCTATGGCAGCAATAAATCCCTGCAAGCTTGTAAAGGAGCTACACCCAGATGTTTCCAAAAATGACATCTGAATACCTCAGTGTTTGGTTGAAGCATCACACAGCATTGTTGTCCCTAAAACATGCTGAGCACCTGCAGAAAGGATATCAGGTTGATTTAAAAAGAGAGTTAATCTGGATAGTCCAGATTAGAAGCAGCCAGGTTGGTAATCAGGTCACCTGAAACAATCACACTTTCTGAGTCCCTTCCTCTAGCCCAGGGTTTGAACTGTGTGCTCTTTATCACTCTACTATTTTCCTATTCACTTCTCCAAACAGAAATGTGGTGTTGAGGAACTGAGCTCTCAGTTTGATAGTGTAAAGATTGTCTGTATGAGAAAGAATAAAAACCATCCACATGGAGTTGTGCTGTGATTACCCTTGTGCTGCTCACTGCTCCCCATGAGTTTCTTAATAAAGAAAATGTATTTTAGGAGAGGAAACCATTAGGTTTTATTTATTTTGCTTGCCTGTTTTCTGTCTCAGGTGCAAGGTGTCTTGGGGAACCCTGCTGCCACTAGCATCAGTGGCCTCAGCTGCTTGCTTCGTGTCAGGAGCCCAGAGCGAGATGCACTGATGGTCTATCTGAAGAGAGGTACCAGTTGTGATTCACTCACCTAAATCTGTCTCTCTGTCCAAGCTGGTAACTACTTCTGTAGAGGCTTATGTGTGGAATGTGAGGAACATCTTTGTTTATGAGGACACAACAAAGAGCTGTACATCTGGTGACATCCCAGAAGCTTCAGCAAATTCTTTCATATCTTGTTCCCTAGAAATTAGGAATACATTTGTATGCCATTCTGGTGATTTTTGCCAGCAAGTAGTCCCATAAAAACTCAAAATATATCCAATGTTTTTTCCTATTCTGTTCTGTTCTGACTTCTCTTTACTAAGCAGTTTGTTATTTGAAGGCAATAAGGCAATATTAATGACCAGACTGTACATAATTTAAGTTCACTTCATTTTTCATTGTGAATTGTTGTAGTAATATACCAGCAAGAAGTAAACTGCTCTCCATGAATCCCAAAACATTTCATCTGAATTAATGAATACATGAGACAAATTTTATTTATTTATGTGTTTATTTATTCATGGCCTGAGTGTGGCTGATAGAACCACATCCACTGTGTGACCAGCTTTTAGTGTCAGGCCAAACTGGAAGCAAGATAACCAAATGCTGCAGGATTTGAGTCAAACTCTCTACTCTTACTGTGTTCTTTGTTCTTCTATCCAAACCTCTGAGTCATTATTTATTAATATTAATAAAAAATGAAAGACCTAAGTCTCACCTGAAAATAAATCAAGTCCCCATAGCTTGTTGTGATTGGCATAATCTTGTTAATACCAGATCTATTCTAGTCTTCTACAACCAAAATTCTATGAATCATGCCTTCCTAGTTAGCAGAAGCCTTAATTGCAGATGCAGTTATGCTGGCCAAATTACACATTTTACTTTTTAAAAGAGATAAATTTGTTTAATTTTTATCTGGGAGTTACTAACAGTGTGACTGAGTGCTTGAAGGTGGGATATTACTAACCTTACTGCAGAGATCAGTTTAGGAGCTCTTTGCTGGCAGTGCATTATAACCAGCTATTCAGGAATAATGGCACCACATCATTTGAAAACCTCATCTTGCTTCTGAAACTCAAAGACCAGAAAAGGACTTTGAGTTTTGATCATAAATCTTTCAACCAGCTCCAGTCTGCAGACAATTCAAAAACATTCCTTGAGCTCCCCCTGAGCTCCTTTCCCTTTCTGTCTGCCCAGGACAGGAATTCAACTCCTTTGGACCCAAGGCCTTTGAGAGGACTGGCTTCCAGAACGTTCTGTCTGGCGTGTACCGCTCCATGGTGCTCCCTGGCTCCTCCCAGACTGATGCTCAGCTGCTGTGCAGACAGGAGTGCAGCCGGGACTCCTGCTGTGATGGATTCATCCTGAGCCAGCTCCTGCTGGATGGAGGTACTGCCTGACTGCACAGGAAAGGGTTCTGCAGTGGGAAACCAATGCTAAATGAGTAGAGGTCATTGCTGGGCACAGACACCCACCTTTGCATTGTACCTGTGTGAGCAGCCTGTCTCTACATCACTGACATTTTCTTTGGTGTTGTGGAGGTTTGAGTAATGCCCAAGGCTGTCTGGAGCAGTAAAGGCCTGAAGTAGCAACCTGCTCTTGGAACAAAATGGACAGTTTGAAGGGATAAGCCTGACAGAGTTCCAGCAGTGTTTGGGCAATGCTCTTGGAAGCATGATGTGACTACTGGGGCTGTGCTGTGCAGGGCCGGGAATTGGACTCAGTGATCCTTGTGGGTCTCGTCCAACTCAGCCTATTCTGTGTGTGTGTGTGTGTGACATCTCCATCTGGATGAGATAAATTGTTCTGAAAACACCTCTCTCCATACATAGCAGGGCTTGGTTGCCAGAAACTGGTGCCTTTCAGCTGATGCAGGAACTAAGAGGTTGCCTCCAGACAGAATTCTTGTGGTGGTGCAAATGAAAATCAGCTTCCTTTTAAGAGCAGGAAAAAATGATGCTAAACAGAATTATATTACTGCATACAGAAATGCTAAAATCTCCCAGGTCTGGATGTCTGTCTAGGAGAGCAAGTGGTAGTGGGATGGATGGAGCCTGGCGGAGGTGGGACTTTGGCACAACCAGATTTTTTGCCTGCAAGCTCAAGCACTTTATGCCAGTGCTTACTTTTTGTAGTATAGTTTCAAGCTCACATGGTATTGACTTTCCCCTTGGAGATGCATTTCTTGTAGGAAATATAAAGTTCTAAATGACATGCCTCAAAGATTTAAAGACAAGCTCTCTCAACAGCCAGGAGTTGCACCTGATGATTCTTGTGGGTCTCTTCCAGATCAGCATATTCTATGATTCTGTGAAGTCCAGGCATGTGCTAGTGGCTGCATTTCTCCAGTTTGGAGTGGAAACTGATCCTAGATTTAAGAAAATCTGTGAAAATCTGCCAGAAATTATCTGTGAAAATTATCAAGAAAATATTTCCAGAAAATTGAGAACATTGTGGGGTATTATCAGACAATAGTAATATTTTATTAGGTGATAATAGAATGTGCCTGAAATCTCTGAAGAACAGGCTACAAATGTTTAGATTGGGTATGAGTAGCTAACCTTAGCACTCAGATTTGAACACATGATTCTAATTTGCTTATTTGGGTTGTTTGTTTTTTTGGTAGCAATAGTGAAGGGACTCTCTCAGTGACACAGGTTCAGTTGGCACCCAGAGGAAGTACTGGGGGCTTGGGTGAGTGCAAAGCATTAGTGCAGTGATGCAGCTGTGTCTTTTCCTGTCCCTAGGAACCATTCTGTGCAGTTTGCTGAGCTCCCCAGACGTGCTGATCTGCAATGCCAAAGGCTGGAGTCCAACACCCACCTCAGCCATGGGTGGGATGTGCAATGGTGTGAGCTATGATGAGAAGGAGAAGAGGTTTTCCTTCACTCTGGGAGGACAAGTGTTCAGTGGAAGTATGTCAGTGAATTACCTCAATTTACTTTACATTACTTTACTTTAAATTACCTTACATCCCTTTAATTGTTGTATAGACTCTGTCTTATTCACCAGCCTGCTCTTGTATTCCAATGTTTTTTTCAAGTAAATATCACAAGAGAAGAGTTCTCTGGCTGGATGCATTGCTAGATAGATGGACATCTCACATTTTGCCACATGAACATTAATAAAAGTTGAGACTCTGTTTAATATGTCAATGCATAATATTTGCATCATTTAATTCAGGCAGATCCAAGATAATAATCTGAAGAAAAGACAAAGTCTGGAGCAAAGATAAAAAGGGATATGTCCAGACCTACATGGTAAAAGCAATGATAGGAAAGTGAGTAAAGTTTGGCACCCTGGACCCAGACTAGCCCTGTGACACCTGGGATCTTCCTTAGACTTGTGTATTGTGATGCATAGTTTAGTGATGTGTTTTCTATGCAATTACTGAGCATTTTAAAAATATGGTTAATTTAAACAGCTATTCTAACAAAATTTTTTCTTTACTAGCTTCTCAGTTGATGGAAGAGGCAGGAAGAAATTTCACTGCCTTTCAGGAAATTTACCTGTGGAGAGGTAAGTTATCTCACAAAATTTATTACAAAAACTTATGGGGAACTGTAGGGTGTGGCAGATGTCTATTCTATAATGGAAATGTCACTTCATTCCATGCTATCCAAATTAAGATACAACTCAGAAGCCTATTTTGGCAGGGATGTGTAATCTGGAGTAATTCTTCTACTGCCAGTTTCATTAAATTTGGGTAAACTTTTGTGTCTGAGAAAATAATTTATAAGTTTTAATACCCTTGAAAATGATATCATGAAGACACCTGCCTTTGTCCCATCAGTGTCCAAGTACCGTAATAATTTGGCACTTTACGCCTAATTACATGGGTTATATTTGTTAGCAGAACAACTGTATTTTTTTATTTTCTGAATCTCACCATGTATGTGGCAGGACCTGCACAAATGATTTGTAATAATGCTTTATAAGTGCACAAAGCCTTCAGAGCTGATGCTGAATGCAGAGTGACTGTGGATATTGAATTTATTGTCATCCAAACAATGCATTTTGGTTTAGGTGTTCCCCAGAGCTCTGCACAGATGGTTTTACTTATTCTTGATTCAATGTTTGGAGGAACTACCAAAGGAATTTTCCTAAGTGGTGCACTTTATATGTTTGTTCACTTTTGGGAACTGAGGATTGTCTTGTCTTGTGAAAGAAAGATAAAGGGAATTACTCTGCTCTTTGACTCCTGTTTCATTCCAGACTCTGATATGGTCACCCGGATGGAAACCTCTTTGTGTGAGGCTGCTGCTTTGAAAACAAAGGATGATCTCACGTTATCAGGTATTAGAGCAACAGCAGACAGAGCAGGCAACAGAAGAGAGCAGAGGGGGGGGTGCAGAATTTAACCAGAAAATATCATATATTTATATATATATTTATATGTATACATTATGTTATAGGTATTGTAAAGGCCAGAGGATTTCTCTGAAGTAGGATGTCTGATACAGGTTTTGAGAAAGATGTCCAAAATGTAGGCATGGCTTTATGATTCTTACCTTGCCAGTAAGGCTGGTAATGAAAGTGTTAAAATGTTCAATGTGAAACTTGTTCTTTCAGACTTACTGAGACACAGGAAATATTACTTGTCTGATAAAAAAATTCACATAAACCCAGGAATGAAATCCTTGGCCTGGGTACCTGGGTATCCTTATTGTTACTGACAGTATGATTGGAAATATGGGCTGTAGAGAAACCCAGGATGAAACTGCAATCACAAATCTTTCTTCCATGCATGATGACAGTGAGGGACCTGTGAACTTCTCTTAGTTCCTTTGTTATTCCAGGGTTTGTTCTTTGCTATATGAAGTCATATATAGGTCCAAAATAATTTGTAGGCGGTTACTGGAGTTCATTTGAGCCTTCAGCACCATAATCTTAAGAGAAACTGAGCAGTAGAGCTTGCTGAGGGCACCTTGATTCATTTTTAATAAATTATAATCTTTGCTGAGGGGTCTTGATGAATGTCTGAGCACATGATTTAATATGTGCAAAACCCTGAAAGGAAGTAAATTGCTGATTTTGCATATGGAATTTGAAAGGAAAGTAAACTAAACTAATTAAAAAACTAAAAATGCCCATTTACCTAGCAGAACTCCTTTACAGTTAGGGGTATTTTAAAGTCTAGACTTAAAAAGAGAGAGAAAAAAATGCATTACTATGGTGATTGAAGTTATCTTGCATTTATCTGCCAAGGCATGAGTACAGCCCTCAGGGTTCTTCATTTACCTTGCTGGGGCTGATGACATCATTAAAACCTGCAGTAATTCAAGGAATGCAGTTTTTACCTCCATCCCTAAATCTTAAAAATTCAAAGCTACAGTTCATTTTCAGCATGTCAGTGGGTCCCATCAACAGCAATCATCAGCATGTCTTTACTTCTTGTTTTCATTATTGTCTTGTTTCTTCACTGCATGTAAGATTAAGTAACACAGTGCCTCACAGTCTTGGAACTGGGGATGAGACCTGCTGATGACATTTGATAAATGTGAAAGTGTTTATGAAGAAATTTGTAAGAGATGTGAAGAATGTCCATTTCTTTTAATACTGGACCCTGATTTAAGGGGATAAACTTGGAAACAAGAAAATAGCTGTGACTGATTGTTTCAGAGGGAGCTCAGGAGATATAAATCATTTCACACATGTCTAAAGGTCACAGGCAGTGACAGAAACAAATTATTTAATGTGGTCTGTGGGAGCATAAATTCAGAGAAATGAGCTTAAATGACTGAAATAAGTATTAAGCTTGTCAGGAAAACTTTCTAAGACTGAGAGATGTAAAAGCTT